TTATAACCTCTGATTTGTAATATTGATAAAAATTATGATATAAAGCTATTCCCATTTCTGAACTAATCAGAATCATGTATATATGAAATCTGAGAACTTTTCGTATCATAATTTATCCAAAATACTTTAATAATCATTTACTCAATAATCATTGATTATATAAATATAAGAATTACATTATAAAAAGGCTTATAATCAAAGACAGAATATACTAATTTAATAGTGTTCTAATTGTGATAATATTTAAGTGTATTAATAAAACCTCGTTTTTTTCTGTTTAATGTTTCTGTACAGATCTTACGTATTTTTGAAAAGCCAATCAAATTAAAGGCGTGTTTTAAAATATGTATATTAGTGATAAGTACTCATACGAGTACTCATATATTGTATTGGTATTGAGATTGGGTTTGATGTAATATAGTGTGAAGCTATTGCTATCAGAACTTCATCTGTTTTTTGTATCACATCTTTGCTTTATATTATGAGTTATGTATGGATTGGTTATGGATTTTGGAGTGGGGATATAGCTTTTTGATATAGTATTTGGTGTATTTCGAGATACATCTCTTTGTGAGTACCAGGTACAACTTACAAGATATCAATAAATATATACTCGAGTATAATAGTTTACGATAGAATATACAGTAGACTTTATGATATTGTTCTATTCCATAGATAAGTATACTTACTGTACTTGTATACAAAGTCAATATTATAACCTCATCTCATCTCATCTCATCTCATCTCAACTTATTCTCATCCTCACACACCATCGGCATCCCAACATCCCAATATCCCAACACTAGCATCCTCGAATCTTTAATCTCTCAAATGTTGTCCAAGCTCGCGTCTACATACTCTACAAGTAGTAACTAAGTAACTAACTCTTTATTTATATCTAAATATTTGATTTTTATCTGTATCTGTATCTATATCTGATTACTACGAGTCTTTTATTATATTATATCATACTCTATGTAACTCCCTCCATACACCCTATTCTCTACTAAGCCCACTAAGCCACCCAGCCCGCTCCACACCAAACCATAGATCAGAAGTTGTATTATTATGCATGATGTTATATTATACGATAATCGAGTGGATGTAATTACTCGAGTAAAGAAAATTGGATTGGGATTAGGATTAAGACTGGAAATTTGAAAGGATGGAAGAGGAGGAAAGGAAGAGGGGGGAGAGGAGGAATAGGAGGATGGATATTCAGGATAGATGATTGTGGGATGTATAAATTGAGTTGCGTTGAGTTGAGTGAAGTAAACTGTAGAATAGAGTATAAATATAAATAGAATAGAGCATTTTAATTGAGAAACTATAGTGTTTTTTATTATACTCGAGTAGTGTATTTTATTCAATAATATAGTTAGTTCAACTTAATAGAATGAATAATGTATTGTTTCTATTTAGTAGCTACACATTTCAAGTTAAAAAGAAAATTATAAATCTCAAATACGAGTAGAAGTCTGGCATAAAAATCAAGATTTGATAAATCATGGATGTATATAGTATTGAGATTACAGGGTTGGTTGGAGTCGGGGTTGGGGTTGAGGGTACAGTATAGAGTATAGTATTATATTTAAGAGTCGAAGTGGTCTTGAAATATCATAGTCTAATATTGGAATCACTATAGGATTGATTAAGGGTAGTGGATATGAAATTGAAAGACAATATAGGAAGGGGTATTAGTATAGGTTGGAAATCATATTAGTACTCGAATATAAATGAAGTAGTGAACTTTTTAGACTAAAAGATAGTACAGTCTGGAGATTCTGCATTTTGGGTTTAGATTTAGGTCTGAGAGATATCCAAGGATATTGATGGGATATCGGTATATATCAGTGAAAATAATGAGCAAAAGGAATAACAGTGAGGAAGATAGAAAGGGATTACAATACGTGAATTGGGGATTATTGGCTTTAAAGTATATTTGAACTCTAGAAAGTTTTTTGTATTGTTATTATTAGAGATGGAAAGAAAGTAAAATAAGGCAATAAACGTTATAAGAGTTAATAAAACCTATTCTTTCCAAAGTCGGTTTAATAGACTGTATCATTGGTTTCTAATAGTACTCAAGTAGTTAGTAATTTAGTAGTATATGTATTCGAGAGGCTGTGTATCTTAGACTGCATGTAGAACTGGTTATTCTAGATGAATTGGATCTTCTAAGTTTTAAATCAAATTTAATGTCTTAATATAAGGTGGATTCGAAAAACAAGTAATCATTCATTTGATCGTTGGATTGCTATTCGAATTTCAGATTGATAAAAACCTTGGTTGGCCAGCTGGATAGGAACTTGGAGGAAATAGGAGAATGTATGTTTAATGAGTGTGTAGCTATTTTGGGGAAAGGGGGGGAGGCGTGGGATATGTTAAGAAGGGCATGGGGGAAAGGGGGAGAGGGTAGGGAAATTAAATTTTTTATAATATTTGTGGTTTTGTGTGTACTATAGTTTGATATCTACTGGTTGTTTTGATAATGATGATGATGATGATGATGATGACTATCCGGTAGAGATGGTGAGTTATGAGAATGGTGGCCTGGGAAGAGAAAATATGAATATATTATTGACTTGTTTATAAGCTTTATACTATTAGAAGTGTAAACAACAATATAGGTGATATAAATGTCTTTTTGATTTGAGAGAAATGATACAGACAGATACTTGTGTTAGGGTGAAGGGTGAAGAGTGAAATGTGAAAGGTGAGGGAGAAGGAATATATGGATATATATGGATATATATGGATATTTATATATATTAAATGTGATAAAACTATAGAATTATAAATAAGGGCTAGGAAGATATATATATTCACTTAGCTACCCAAAGGTGAATAGGATAACTCATCTATCTCATCTAATACCTTTATTTCTGACTCTTCTTAAATCCCAAGCTTCAAGACAATCGATACCGAGACAAAGGAAATATTTTTACTTGAGCTAGTATTGATATATTTCTTTATTTTTTCCACTTCCTGACTTCTGTTTCTCATTCATATCACCTTTCAACCTCACTATTTCTATATAATTATATCTATAACTCATTTTTAAAAAGAGTTGAGTTATTCAATATATAATCATTGATATATATTGAGTATCATTTTGACTTTGCTCTATTGGATGTCGTTTCTCGAGTTACAATATGTTCACTCGAAAATAAATCCTGGGAGAAAATCTTAGACTTGACCCTGTTGGGAAGGAGAAAGATTCTCGAAATCTGTTTAGGATATGTAAATTTCTACAGTCCCAACTCTAGATTTATCTTTCATGGAAGATTGGATCTTGGTGAATGTCTGGTCAACTTTCAAGTCTAATTTTATTAATTTAGAACTAGATCTGAGATAGTGGGCACTTGTGGTTTTTTCGGCTTTCTTCTCTTATACTTTTTCCTTGGGAGCATAAATATACGAGTCTGTCAAGGCAGGCAAACATGTTACAGTCCATTTTAGACTCATCCATTTTAGAATCATCCTTATTTGCCATTTCACTTCAATGATGCCAGAATCAGATATGGTTTGTATGAGATTGGACCACTTGTACACCATCACTGGTGATGGATCGATTATACTTGGCATCGTTGACATCGCCATTGCCGTTGTCATTAAGAATGGGTTGTATACAATTCATAACAGTAGATCATGAACCACCGGTTGGTATGTTGGTCTGAACATGCATTGGATTGGTTGGCTGCTCAATAGGTGACTGACCCTTCTCTGGAAGACCTAGAGGATTGGTATAAGTCTTGGGTGCTGATGATAGCAGACTCGACAGCAGACTCGATAGCAGACTCGACGACAGACTCGACGACAGTTTCAATAAAAGACTCAATATTAGACCCAACAGCAGACTCGAACCAGACTCGACAGCAGACTCGACGGCAGACTCGACGACAGATTCAACAGTAGACCTAATAGCAGACTCGATGACAGACTCGACGACAGACTCAATAGTAGACTCAATAGTGGACCCAACAACAGACTCGACAGCAGACTCGACGACAGACTCAATAGTAGACTCAATAGTAGACCCAACCGCAGACTCGAACCCAGAATCAACAGCACACTCGACGACAGACTCAACAGCAGAAGACGACAGACTCATCAGTAGACTCGATAACGAAATTCGAAAACCTGGCATGAAACAGGCTCATGATACTCGAGTAGATTGGAAAGAAAACTTGAGGAAGTTCACGGATACACTGAAAACAGGGAGACCGCAGCTATCATGCTATTTCCCCAAGCAAAAGCCTGTGAGTTCAGGAACACTATTCTTCATCAGGTCTTGAGAACTGTTGCACATCACATCAAGATGTGGAATCCTCTTGAGTGAGAAAACAACACTTGATATTTTCTCTACTTCAATTTCCTCCCTGCTTGGCTTTATCAATTCTTCCATTTGACCATACTAGATTCTTCCATTTGACCGTACTTTTTTCACGATTGTTCATATATCGATTTCTTGATTTGTGTTGGGTTCTCAGGTTGCAATCATCACACTGATGAAACGTTCCGTAGCCCCTGAATTTGTTGTCCTATCTGTAAAAGGTTGCAATGCAACCTTCTGTTCTCTTTGTCCTATACGAATGATATGAAGGATTCAGATATGTGTGTGTACAACTAAGAGCCTAGAGGATTGTTTTATCTTCAGTTCGTCCGTACCCTCTTCTGCTCTTCTGCTCTTCTGCCCCACCTAGTGCTGAGATAACTTTGAAGTTTTCGCTTCTAGTGGGTAGATCCAGGGCTATCATACACACGTGATGGTTAGAAAGAAAGGAAACTCCAGAAAACCAAATGAACTGAATGGTAATGAAAAAATGAAATGAAAAGGAAAATTATATATATGATATTAGTAGATATCAATAACCTTTGAATCATTAAAAGTTCATGTGTTCATAAAATTTAAATAAAAATATACAAAAATCAATTGATAACATTTATTTTAGCCTTAACATATTGAGATCTCCTTCCGCTTAGCGGGCTTCGTGGTCGGTCCCAAGTCCATAACACCACACCTTCTCTCATCACATCTTGCTTTCTCTCTTCTCCCACAAAACAACAACAATTCAAATCTTCCAAATTTAAACCATCAGATCTGTAAATTCACGCGTCGATAAAGTCTCCATACTAATTCTAAATAACCAAATCCTTTTCAATAAAACAAGGTAAGCAACTATCAGATACTTATCGCGATTCTTCATCGCATTGTTGACGCGCCCTCCATCTTGCGCCAATCCAAGTTGTTCTTCCGCCGCACACATTTTAACTAACTACTCATTATAGAAAGCAATGGCTCGCGTAACTAGATCTGCTACTGGTCAGTTATTCTCTATATTCTCTTTCTGGAACCCGTTCATTAGCTATCGAGCATACGGTCGCAAAATCGCGTAAAGCGAGAGCTTTGCTAATTCGATATATTAGGCAGCATCCCAGTCAAGGCTGTCCCAGCACCTGTCGAAGCTGCTCCCAAGCCAAAGAAGGCTGCCCCCAAGGCGAACACTGGCAAGAAGGTTGCTCCAACTAAGGGGGCTAAGCCAGCTGGTGTCAAGAAGGCCGCTGCCCCAAAGAAGAAGTCCGCAGTTGCTGCCAAGGTATGTTAGATATCGTCATATGTAAGGCTATATATTGATTCAACCTTAGGTCGAAGCTGCCGTAGAGAAGACCGAGAAGGTCGCTGAGGAGTCTGCCGACTCATCAGAGGAGGAAGTCGAGGAGGCTGAGGCTGTTGTTGAGAAGCCAGCGCCAAAGAAGAAGGTATGTTATATTTATACTTCCATATGTCTTAACATACAACCCTGCCTCTCTTTCTATCCTCATACAACTAACATTCTATCTTCTCCAGGCACCCGTAGCAAAGAAGCCCGTTACCAAGAAGGCCGCTACACCAAAGAAGGCCGCCGTCAAGGCCTAAACAGTAATACCTCAATCAAATCAACTGCTCTCCAAAAACACACAGATGGAGGTGTCTCTCTTACGAGCCTTTATAATATAACAACCCTCTGGAATGACCGTATCATCAATTCCTTTCAAGTTGATTCACAACATCTTTTGTTCTGGGCGAGCGTTACTTTGGAGTGGATATGAATGTGACCTGGCGTTTCTCAGGCGTTTTCTCGTTTTTCGGTTGAGGGTGGTAATGGTATGATCAATACTATCATTTGGGGTCTTTCGGGGGACTGTATCTAGATAGTATCCATGGATGCGTATTTGGGAATAGGGGCACACTTTATTTACTTTCAACTTTGGAGAAAAGAATCGTGATGAGGGAGGCTTTGGAAAGAGGGAAAGTGTGTTTAAGGGACAGATGATGGGTCTGAAGGAAATGTAAATGCTTTTATACCGGATTTCGTGTGCCATGTCTTTGATTCTGATATCTTGTGATACTTCAAGTTGAAGTCTCCGCTTCTTTGCCCCTTCATGTGGAGGTATAAATAACCCCATTAGAATATCATCCATTGTATGATCTCTCTCCGCACTTCCATCATCTTTTCTCTATCGCCTCTTCTGTCCGAGCCTATATTCCACCGACTCTAAATTTCCTTCTATCATCTCACTAATCTACATTGCCTTTCTCCCCTAATGGCACCTCCTATCTCCACAGTCTACCAAAACTATCCGCGTCTGTTTCTTTCCATCGCCCCAAACTCCCCATTGCATGAACCCTTATGCACCTATCCTCATCCTCACATAACTTTCCTAGCCAAACACACCGAGCCTACGGATAATTCATCAGTCTGCCTACATACACATACATACTCTAGCAACACATATCCACATATATCACGATATACTCCTAATTCATTCCTCTCTCTCTCTCTCTCTCTCCTTTCCCTCCTCTTTATTCTCTTCTTACAAATTTTCTCCAACCTACTTAACCTTGACTAATACATTCCCTTTAAGATTCTACATCATCTACGTCATCCACCCATACATACATACATACATACATACATACATACATACATATACACTCCACCCCTCCCCCTCCCCTTCTTTTCTTTTCCTTTCAATCTACACCAACTTGAAGTTACGCACTCGTTCACTCATTTACGTTCAAATAGCTCGACTTGGAATGGGTTCGAAATTCGCTTCGAAGCCTTCTCTTATGTATTTCTTTAACACTTCTTCTGTACTCGCACATATAATGTAGTTATATACATAAGGAAGTTTGATAAGGAATAATATACTCACTGTATTATGCTTACAGTATACTCTCACCCTCATAAGAGCGTTTCTTGTGTTCTACTCTATGTACTCACTCTATTCTCCTATCCCATTCCATTTCCCATTTCCCATCTCCCATCTCCTATACATATATATATTTTCGTGTACGAGTATATATATTCATTTATCTAACATCACACTATTCCATCCGTCACAAAAGCACCCCGATCTCAACTCAGCTTCCACCTTCCACCTTTCACCAAATACCACAGATTCCAACTACCACAACCTAAAACATACAATCTAGATCAATCTCTCATCTCCCATATAAGTAAATAGAAAATATTAACGAGCCTTTTCTTCTTGGCATTCTCACTACCACTACTAGTACTACTACTACTACTACTACTACTACTACTACTACTCAGATATATTCATAAATTGATGGAATAGTCTAATGAACTTGAAGATATTGGTACTTTGGCTTTGATGTTGACCTCGATGTGTGTTCAAAGTCTGTGAAAGTGTAACATATTCCCACACTCGATGCAACTCAACTCAACTCAACTCAGTACATAACAAGGAAAAAGGAAGAGAATAGAGCAAAAGTACAAGAAGCGAGTAGAAAATTCATCTATATCAATACAAATAATTTAAGATACCGGTATATAAATCACCCAGATACATACCCGGATGAATTCTGTACTGCTGTATATATGTCTTGATTTTAGATTTTAGGTAGGTGGGTATAGGTATAGAAAGCAATTTCTGATATCTATACTATACTATAACTCGCATCGCCGCTCAACAGCGAGTTCTCAAGAATGGTGAGTCCGGTGGATATATGGAATAGAATTCAATGTCTATGCAGAATATTGAATCTTTCTATCTATCTATCTGAAATATCTCAATCATACACTATATACTATATAGGATCTTAAACCTACTTGGCGTAGCTGGCATATTAGACTAACTCAGCTGTATTGAAGGATTTAGATATGATCTAACTATAGTCTGTCTTACAGATCGATAGGTTAGATAGATTACCAATTCTTAATACAATGAGTGTACTAGTGTATAACCAAGCCACCGCATTCAAATTACCAGTCCCCTTCTTTACATTCCTTCCTTCCTTCCAATATCACCTATCACCTCATCTCATCTCAACTCACCTCCCTCCCTCACTATCCTCAATCCTCAATCCCTATCTTTTACCCCCCCCCCAAGAAACTGACCCACTTCCCATCACCCCTACCCCTACCCCAACGCATCTCTTCTCCCCCCTTTCCTTCCTTTCTCCAAAATCTTTTGTGTATATAACATATTTGGTATATACCACCAAGTCCCCCCTCTTCCCTCTTAACAGCGCATCAGCCCAATTACTCAGTTCTTCTATATTCATATCCATGTCCATATCACATCAATCCATCTCACACCTCCAATTTCCAATTTCCCATATAAAACAAAATCATTTAAGCTTTGTATATCAAATATATTAGTTATACTAGATACATATATATATGTGTATTGAAGAGATTTTCCTTGTTTCATTTATTCTTTTTCGTGTATTATGTGTGTTGATTTTCATTGATGGTTGGTTGTGGATGATGAATATTGGATATTGGATTGTGGTATTTTGATGTGGAGGTGGGAGGTGTGAGGTGTGAAGTGATGAGTGTGAAGTATAAAATATGAAATGTGGAGTGTAAGGTAAGTGTGAAATACCTATCTATAGATATAAATAAAGAAAGAGCTGTTGATATATCAAAACTTGGGATAGGAAAAGAGGAGAAGACTCTGAAGACTCTGAAGATTGGCGATGGCATTTCATGATGTAACACTCGAGTATAACAAACACAAACTGGGATAAAGACCAACCAAGTCGAAGAAATTGATTCCATGAATGATACCGCAAAATTCTACTCTGTAATATAATTACTCGGTAATTGCTTCACAATAGATAGGTATTCAAGACTACGACGTATCTCATTTCTATAAAAGCCAAAGATCAAAAGCCAAAGAGTTTTAATTCCTTAGATACAAGATGCTGCACTGAGCATACATACTCGACTTTATACAAGATATCTCCAAGCAACATGTAACCAGCAAAGCAAACCTTCCCAAAACTTTTCCGCAATCGCCCTCCGACAACACAACTAAACACCCCTACCTTCTCCCTAAATCCACACCCCCAACCCTCACTAACTGCCCCTCCTTCTCTCCCTCTCCCTCTCCTCCACCCCCATCTCTTCCCACCCCAAAAAACCCACTCACCACGACCCCCACAGCCTCTTTCCAAAACCCCTCCACCACCCCTCTACACTCCACCCCACTCTGCGCAAAATCCGGAAACGCATTAACCTCCAACAACCAACATCCACCCTGCTCATCCACCAAGAAATCCAGACCAAAAGCCTCAAATGAATTTGGCAGCGGTTGAAAATGAATACTCATTTCCCTAGCCGCCGCCACAAAAACCTCACTCGTCAAATTGAAAATCTGGGCTTGGATTTTATTCTGGAGAGTGGTGGGGAAGGGAAGAGAAGAGAGGAGGTGAACGGCGTTTTTCTTGGAGTCTGAGGTTTGGATGCAGGTGTTGGTGAGATGGGGATTGAGGTCGATTCCTCCTGAGGAGGAGGAGGAGGATTCCCAGGGAGAGATGTAGGAGGAGCTGGCGAAGAGGGCGAGCATGGGTTTGTAGACGTAGATATTTAGGGCGCCGGAAGCGAGGACGTAGGTTCTGATGTGGAATTTGGTGTTTGTAGGCGCAATAGTTTTAGACTCTGGGGACAAGAGAAGCGGTGGGTGGATATAGGGTTGTGCGAGGAAATGGCGGAGATGAGATGTTTGGATGTAGTCCTTTCCTTCTACTCCATCTCCTTCTTGGGTTTCTTCATCCTCTTCATCAGAGTCCGGTGCATCTTCTTCCCACCCCTCGAAAACAGCAAGTAGCTCTTCAAAAGACGAGAACAACCTAATACCCTGACCCCTATCACTCATCCCCGGTTTCAAGATCCACCAATCTCTATCTTCGGCTTTACCCCCTTCCTCATCAACCTTTTCATTCCTCGCAAAACTTTCTTTCAAATCCCAGCACTCTACCACAGCATCATCCAAGAACTCGGCATAATCTAGCTCAAAATGTTCCGCGCGTTTGATGTTTGTTTTTAGAATAGATTCTGGGTTCTTAACACACCATATATGGGCTGTCTCACTCAAATAGTGCTTACGAATGAGAGCTTTGCGAATCACATAGGCGTTGGTGAGGGATGTGTTTGGTTTGGATGTAATCTCGTCAAAGGGAATGGTTTCGTAGGATGAGATATGGAGGTATGGTGATTCCGGCGTTGGAAGGTCGGATGGAGAGGAGAGCAGCGTATATGAAGATTGAGGGAGCTGTTTTAGTGCCGAAAGAATTAGTGGTTGGACATAGGAATCTTCGTAATCGATGTAGGCGTAAAAATGAGGCTGCGTTGACTTGGGTTGTTCTTGAAGAGAGAGTTTTGATATTGATGGTATTGGATCCGAAGATGGTCTGGCCGAAAGGTTTGGTCAGAGGGGCTCTATGAGGTTGACAAGGTTACATGGATGGGAAGGAACTTGTATTGGTCTAACAATATCTAATGCTCTATTACTATGCATTTAATAACTCACAACTTCAACTCTCCCTGTGTCGCCGCAGAAGCATGCATGAAATTCGCTTTCAACGGTGTGACACTATACTGGTGTTAGTCTCAGTCTCAGTAGAAGTTATCCATCTCAAGTAGAACATAGAACATACCTTGTGTAACCCTCCTTAACAGCCCAACCATCATTTCCTGGGCCAGATTCCTCTACACTCTTATAAACATCCGTGAACCTTGGCGCCCACTTGAAATGTTTATGTGTATGCCCAACAGCCTTCTTCTCCTCGTCTTGCCCTTGCTGTCCTTCCTTTTCCCTAATTTTCTCTTCCTCCTCATCGGCATCCTCATCCTTTCCTTCCACCTCCTCAAAACAACTGCCTTCTCCCCAATAGTTCTGCAATAGATTCGTCCACAAGATCTTCCTATCCTCTACTCCCTCCACCAACGGAACATTAACCGTATACAAATCCACTCCCTCTCCCCAATTATTGTACAAGTACTCAATAAGCTTCACGCCAATCCTACTCGCACCTCCAATAATCTCCGGATCGTGATTCCTCGTGAAAAACGCATAGCTCAACGCAATAGCCTTTCTCTTACAAACCGCCGCCTCCATCGCCCCTCCAATCGTCCCACTACTTAGACTGAAGACAGCCGTGCTATTTCTCCCATAATTTGGTCCACTGACCACTAAATCCACTGGTCCCCTATCTTGGAAATAATGATATAGACCTATCTGTACGCACGAAGCTGGTGTGCCATCTACCAATACCCATTCTTCTGTATTGTCGTTGGAGGGGCGAGCATGTGTGGTACCGTTATCTTCGTGAAGAGTTCCGGGGTGGAAATAAGTAGGCTTGACAGTTTGGCCTACCATGTGCGCTTTGCCTATCCATGAGCGTTGCGTATGAGGAAGAACGACGGAGACAGTGTGACCGGCGGCTTGAAGGGTTTGGACGAGGGAGTGGACGTAGGGGGAAGATTTGTTCGATGGAGGTCCATCATCGTTTACTACCTTTATAAATTGTTAATTCAAATACCTATTTTCAGCGAAATCATGATCGTTTACTTACAAGAATATGCATTTTCAATGTGGTTATCTGAAAAAGTTATGTCTGTTGATGGAGATTTTGGTGGGATGTGCGGGGACATGTATGATATGGGGCTTTTTTGAACAGGGATTTTACCTACTACTATATGGCATCATTCATATGGCATAATGGCGAACACAAACACAAACACAACTGTAATCACAAACACAATCACAAACACAATCACCATCACATCAAATCATGAAAACAATGAGTTATTAATATGCTTGATCATTTTATCTCGTTAAGGTATAGTAGTAGACTCATCCTCGCTATGCCTGAAAACTGAAAACGCCATTGCCTGGTATTTTACAAAAAAAAGGTGCGGGAAGCGGTCCAAAATTCTGCTTTGTGCAATGGTATCGAAGAACCCATCAAATCATGCAGTGAAGTTCGTCAAAAGAAGTAAAACGTATCAAGTAGGGGATTAAAAGAAATAGACAAGTCCCTGCAGTCGTAGAAAGCTCATGAAGAGATCACTCGAAAACCTCTGCAGAAACTCCCGCCCGGTTCGTCCGTCCAATGCGTTCACTAATATGCTATCAATCTTCGTTTCCAATGGCCCAGAACAAATAAAAAGTCATAATGAAAGCCCTAATTGCGTACTTTCTTTACTTCCTCAGTAGGTCTTGCAATAGATTCTCCATCCCGCTTCCTGGTTGCGCGCTCGAAATCATTGTCACTTCCAGAGGATTTGAATGGGCTAGTAACTTGAGAGCGGCCACGGCGTGGGGGAGTTACTGGAGAATCGACGACATCATATCTCTTCGTAGCAAGTGTAGCTCTCTTGATAGTTGGTGAAGAAGCCGGTCCAAATCTTGGCGCATCCGGAGTCACAAGGCCCTGGCTATGGGATGGGGTGCGTAGCTCAACATCACTGTCCGTTGCATCTTCGGTGTCAAACTTCTCCTCAATGTCAGTCAAAGCTTCCTCTTCGTCTTCGGTGACTTGGACTTGTGGAACAACGGGGGCTTGTCTATTATTGGTGAACAATTGACGTCGGCATGAACGTGTAACTGGTCCATTGAATTCGCCAGCAAAACTTTGATCGAAAACCATGAATTCAGCACGACCCGCGCCTCGAGTTGGGCTATGACTTGCAGATGCGTTCGACTTCTTTTTGAAGATAAGTTTACCACGACTGTAACAATAGAAGTTAGCAAAGAGAATCTTAAACCGAGAAAAATTGTGACTTACAAGTTGGCAACATGTCCATCCTCGCGACCCATAAGCTGCTCCATGGTTTGGTCCTCCTCTCCTGGAACGCGAATCAATTTGGGCTTGCTGCTTCTGCCTCTGGTATTCTGAGGAGGGCTACTACCAAGGAAAGGGTTATCAGAATGGCTGTCGACTTCTGGAATGCGGTCCTCAGAGTCGGTGAAGATAGCAATTGGTTCATCTGCAGATGAGCTACCAAGACCGAAATTGTTGTACTTCTTGCGGCTCTTCTTGGGCTTTGGCATCGCATTTGCGGAGTCATCGGCATGGATTGAGGTGAAGAGAGTTCGCGAAACTGCATTGATTCCATCTTTCAATTCTTCCGTTTGCTTGGGGTGACGTGGGGTTTTAGAAGGTGTTGGTAGCATGCCATCGCCGCGAACCATCATACCAGGTCGCTGATGGTTGTCCATATTCTGCTCAGTTTTTTTGGTTTCGGGAGTTAGACCGAGAGCTGTCGCCGCGGATGTTGTACTGTCGAGATTTAATGCTCCAGAAACGTGTCGGCCAGCAATTGTGGTTGCCGATCTAGGTGCTCGTCGTTTTATCGCAGTTTGAGGAGATTTAGGTGGTGACGAGGTGATATGTTGAGGCGTACCAGAAAATATAACTTTTCTGGCGGCTCGAGGTGTTGATTGCGGAGTAGAAAGATTGTTACAAATTTTATGTTTGATTGTTGGAGGCGGTGGGGTTACCGCGTCGCGAATTGCCCTTGACGCTACTCGACTTGATTTTCTGGGCGAATATGGTTCGTAATTATCATCGTAGCCGAAGCGCGGTGTTGATGGTGTTTTGAGTGAAGTTGAAGGTGGAGGAGTACTTGGTCGCAGAAAAGAGGTAGCCATTTTCGCAAAAGAGAACCTTGAAGGTCGGTAAAGGTCGGTGAGGTCGTTTGGTAAGGTAGTTTTGTGAGAACACACTCTGCTTCCACAGAGATCAGAAAGACGTGTAGATCTGTGAAATCGAGGATGTCAATAATCGGCTGTTGATAGGTATTGTTGTTGATGTGGTGTGATACAGCAACTGTCAGACTGAATATTGTAGCTTAAGATGATGACACTGAAATGAGAAGCAAAGCAATCAAACTATTTCTTGTTGTATAAATGGAGATATTTGCATAAAGGACTTAGACAAGAATAACAAAGATCGAAGAGATTGTGATATTTGTGGTATTTGTGTTGTTTATTGTCATGGTTAAAAAACCAGGAGGTCGGAAGAAAGATTCCCAGCCATGTTGATTTCGTTAGGCTTCGTTAGTGTCGAACGCTCGGACAATCTATGTAGATTAATGAGTGAGAAAGTTCACCTTGGACGTGACTTTTCGTGAATTCACGCGTCAAAAGTTCTTCTTTAGGTTATTTCGAAGAATTCTAGAAAGACTAAAGTTACATTCCTCCTTAGCAGACCCACTGACCCTGCTGACTTTTGACCTAACCCCTGGACTATAATGGCTACCCCAGATATTGGCAAGCTAGACCTGTCAGACTCAGATAACGAGGACCTTTTCGCATCCCCCTCCAAACCCTCAAAATCAAATCTAAAAGCCCCCAACAAAAATGCGGATAGCAGTGCGCCGGCGCAACGAAGTGGAGGGTCAAAATATGATGCTGAAGTATCAAGGGAGGCGGCTCTACAGAAAGAACTAGAAGGCGTACGCAATATCAATGAGCTTATAGAAGGAGTACTGGGTAGCCTGGATCTTGCGAAAGGGAACATGGATGTAAGGAGTTTTTGTATCGATAGACATGGGGCTATAGCTAAGAATTATTCAGACAGTTTCACAGACAGTCACATCGGCTTCAACGCTACTCAACACATGGATTCAGATATTATCCCAAACAGAACATAATCAAAGATTGATCTTGAATCCAAATTGGCGGGGTGCAAGTCAGGATATTGCGGATGTGGAAAATGAGCAGGTATTGAAAGCTCAAGCTGCTGAACGTCGGGTGGCAGAAGAAGAACGAAGAAGAGAAACCGCGAGGCAAAGGGCGGAGGATGAAGAACGGCAAAGACAAGCTGGCACACCAGCGCGTGGCACCAGGGGAGGGAGAGTTAGAGCTAGAGGAGGCTTGTCAAGGACTGGAAGTGTTAGCTCGTCAGGATATGGTCGTGGAAGCTTGACTGGGACGGGCACAGGCACAGGCACAGGCACGGGCACGGGCACGGGCACGGGCAGAGGTGGGTCAGGCATTGGACGAGGTATTCCACGAGGGAGAGCACGAGGAGTACGATGAATCATTCAAATCATTCGCTGCAATATTCTACATAATGATATCTCAAAATGTATCAACCCGGATCGACCATTACCCAAACTATACCCAGGAACCACTCCAACACCAACTCCCTATTAAAAAGACGTACAATCATTTTTTCTTGAAAAAGTCGCTCATCTTTTTCATTCCACTGGTGTTGACTTTTTTTAAGTTCTTGACACCTCTACTCTCACCAGCCTTCTTCCTCTTGTCCTCCTCGTCTAGTTTGCGCTTCTTTTCTGCACGCGTCTCTATTTCATCATCATCGCCAACTGTTGCTCGCTTTCTCGAATAATCTCCCATCGATCGTGCTGCCAGAGCATCTTGCCGCAGTTTCGTTAGATATGCAAGATGGCTCTCCAAGGGGCTGAAATCAACAGGTGATGCCGAAGATCTCACGAAGTCCTTCAGTATGTCGCTAAGGTGAGGGGCTATGTAATTCGAGCAGATGAAGAAAAATGCTGTACGGATGCGCAATAGATCTGCGACACCCTCGGGTGCATCGATCGATGGTATGCTTGTTTTCTCATCTTCAGTGTTACTAGCCAAATCGCCCGATGTTGATGTTACTGCTGTTGAGGCTTCGGAAACCGAGCTCGCAGCAGTATCTGCGGATGAGTCTGCAGCTTGTGTATCTTGTGATTCGGTTCGTGGTGTCGAAGTCCCCGATTCTTCTTGTGTACTCGCTTCCTCTTTTAATTCTTCTTGGGTTGATTCTCCTCGCTTGATGCTTAAAACTGGAATGTCCAGCGCTTTTCTGACTAGTTTCTCTTCCATACTAGCAGGCATCCCATGTTTAACCATCTTCTTCGCCTTCTGTAAGAGTTCCTTGGATAGCTTTTCCTCATTTATTCTGAACATTATTTCGTCCCCAGCATCTACCGTATCGCATACTGCAGCCATTCTCTTTTCCAGGCTCGTTCGCAATGGGCCAGTTCTTAGGAAAGATACCAGGTGTGGCGATATGGATATTAACTTGTCGATATAATCGTCGCCAGCTAAGAATAATTTCTTCGGGGGGTCTGAGACTTTGGTTGTGGATAGGGGTACAAGAGCAGGGAGAATAATGAATAGGGAGTCAATTGGGGTCGCAATGAAAAGGTCTGCTCCTTTCGTGACATAGCCTTTGGCGGAAGCTTTTTCTGAATCATTCGCTCCATCCTTGGATAGCTCCTCGCTCAGGGGAACCTTCGATTCATCTTCTGGCACAAGTAACCAACTTCTGGGTGTTGTTTTTGGTGCAGCTATTCGAGTAAATTCATTGAAACCTCGATTGGGGCATACAAGATATCGATCAAGCTTTGCATATCTAGGGTTTTCGAGTGTGATAATTCGAGCTTCTGTACTGATATCTTTTGGTAATATAAAAACCCTTGGGGGATTGGCATCATCTGGCTGTAATGTGATTTTTACGTCAGTGGCTGTCGAAGGTTCTGTTACCACTACAGCAGCTTTGGTGGCTTGTCTCCCTCTAGTTTTAACCACCATATCTCTATCGTAGAATTGTCGTAGATTCGTTGAATAGGCCGTAGAAAATCAGTCGTGCACTTGGGTTTGAGTGATTTCCAAAAATGTATATGAAACTCAAGCACTTTAAGAAGTCGCGTATAACGCGTTGTATAAAACGCGTCAGCTTAGTCACAAATTACAAGGCTGGGAGCGCCTATTGGCTTATTGAAATCCGGGGTTTTGCTTCAACTTCCAAAGTTATTAAATCTCAACTCAACTACTAGTAAATTAAATTACCATCTGAACAAGTCAAACTCAAATTCTCAATGAGGCGATAGTCTATTGCACCAGCGAACGAACTACATCAAAAACGGATAAGGGGTCGCATCATAACTTGGTTCAAATGGAATTCTTGACTTCTGCCGTTTGATAACCCACGCTCTCACTACCGTCAATATCAACAGAAGCTCGTCGTTCTTCAAGCATAAACAACATCAAAATTCGATTCTATTAATTACTGTACAGTGTGCGCGATCACAGTTCTTACAACTTTTTACCGACTGATCAATACAAAACAATAATCGTGGTATATAAGAAAAATAACAATATTTCACGAGAACTGACATCACGATACCAACTCAATTCAAACCGCTTTATTGCTTGCTTGTTCCATTGTTTGCACATTATTATTGTGCTGATTATGTCTCAAGGTATGGGTGCTATCATGCTGTGTATAGAATCATGACTAACAATAGAAAAGGCGGTGGTGCTGAAGAAGCTCAATGGCCACCAAGATCTCCCCGAGAAGCGTTTTTAAGTACACCCGGCGGTCGCGATCGATTGCGACGATTCGCAACAGGATTTTCTCCAACTGCATCTCCTACGAAACGACCTACTGCGTCGCAATCACCACATGCTACCGGCAAAGATCGATTGAAAGCTGATATGTATATGGAAGAAATGGGGGATGACGATGAAGATGACGAAGAAACTTTGCAGTTAAAATTGCAAGAAATTCAAGCGCGACTTCGATTAAAGAAGTTACAGAAGAAGAACAAGCAAAGTTCGGATTCAGAGGGCGAGAAGAACGAGAACATCGAGATCCACAGGCCCGCATCGATTCTTTTGAGAGCAACTTCTGCAGCGACAAATAGAGCGCCCTCGAGATTACCAGGATTAAGAGAGACAGAATTGAGAGATAGGCAGTTACAGCGCCCAAAATCACGCGCTGAAATCAATGTTCCAGCATCACCAACGCGTCGGGCTCAGCCTGCCGAACTTCCACGTTCACCGGGAAGGGTATTACTCGGCATAGATAAGGGTTTGAGAGGAACAGATATTTCTCTGAAGAGAGCACCAACTTTGAGGAAGAATTTGGAAACAGACTTCAACAATTCGAAGCGAACTGGGCCATTTCTACAAAGAAGTCATTCGCAAGCTGGAAATCGGGCATCTTCATCGCAAAATTCCAGCCAGGATGAGAAACCGAAATCTTTCAGCGAAAGAATGGCTGCAGCTAGGATTACAGATACCGAGCGACAGGAGAGAGCTGCTCGTATCAAAAAGAGCCGCAGCTCAACATTTGATATAGACCAAAAGCAGATGGAGTCGTTCAAAAATAATGCGGTTGAATTGCCAAACCATCCCGCTCCCACCAAAGAATTTACTCGAGAGGAGATCTTGAATTCCTATAATAGACCAAGCGGAGAATTGAGGCGACATAAGACTACCTCGAATTTGCGTTCAACCTTGACAAACGACAATGAAACATCCACCAAACCAGTTTCACAAGGTGTTCAAGCTTCCTCGGATAGTTCGAGACGTTCAGGATTGAAGAACAGCGATGAAATATGCACTGGCCTGAGAAGAGGCTCACAAGATTCTCAAGGTTCCATTGATACCTCGAGGCGTTCGGCATTGAAAAATGGCAATGAAACATCCACCAAACCGAATTCTCAGAGTTCTCAAAGTTCATTTGATACTCTACGTTCAGCAATGAGGAATGGCACTGAAACAAAGTTCTTAAATAGGCCAAATTCACGTGAAAATAGACCTGATTCACAAAACAAAAATACAGATGTACAAAGTTCTTTCGATAGTTTGAGAAGAACACGGCCAGACAGCAATCCCACTAAAGTTCTATCAGACCCTTCCGATGGCGAAGCCTCGCAATTCGAGCCATATTCTTCCTCTCACCTCTCCAAACGAATCATTCCTCACCAAGTACTCACCCGAACCCTTCAAGGAAAGAAAACTTTCGTCATAGCCGATTTACTCAGGACAGTCAAAGCTCCTGACTTTGCTGGTCCCGAGATTGAAGAAGATGTAGTTGTGTTTGCAACCATCGCCGCGAAATCTGCACCCCGTGCGCACCAGGACCAAGCTAAGAATGGCGGCAAATTTATGGTCCTTACCCTTACCGACCTCAAATGGGAAATTGAACTTTTTCTTTTCAAAACAGCATTTGAAAAATTCTGGAAGCTCACATCTGGAACTGTGATTGCGCTCCTCAACCCTGGGTTTATGCCTCCAGCTCGGGGGAAGACCGACACAGGCAAATTTAGCCTTACACTCAACTCAAGTGACGACACTATACTCGAAATCGGCACGAACAGAGACCTGGGATATTGTAAGAGCGTCAAGGGAGACGGTAAGAATTGTGATACCTGGGTCAATAAACGACACACCGAATTCTGCGACTATCACGTCAACCTTTCCCTTACTAAGACCCATGCAAACCGCATGGAAGTCAATACTATGAATTTTGGCCCTAAACGCAATTATGGCGGAGGTGGAACAGAACGAAGATACAAATCTCAGGATGTGACAGGCTATAAACAACGCCGAGAAGAACTCAAGAAGGGAGAAAAGACGAAATATGACAGAGAAAGCCATAGTCAAATATACATCGGCAAAAGAAGTGCCGTAAACTTGTTGGACGACGTCGATTTCGATCCCGATGCTTTCCACCGAGGAAGTACAAAGGAAGACCGAATGACGAGACAGCTCCTAGCTCAAGAGAAAGAGAGAGATCTTGGCAGGAAATTGGGAATGGTGGGTGGAGGGCTTGGAGCCGATTACATGAAGAGGCGGAATCCGGTACATCCTAACCCGCAAGATATCAAGGACGGTGGGTACAGAGAGCCATCTCCACCAGATGCCAGAAAGCTCGGCCTTATCGGCACTAAGCCCTCTGTTCGATTGAGTCCTATTAATAAGCGCAAGCGAGTCAATACGATTGGTGGGCTAAAAAAGAAAACTCGCTTCGTGACGGAAAAGGGGATTAGAGAGGCGGGAAGAGAGAGCCTGGGGGGTGCTGAACTGGATATCGAATTAGATTAGGAGTTTTGTGTTTTTTTTTGTTTTTTTTTCAATTGTCGAATGGAAGTTGGGCATTCATATATCATGTTCATGATTCGGCTTGGGAATCACTTGGCGCAGTTTAGGCACACTTGAGTATCAGCATATTATATCCAGAAAGGGAAGGAATGAAGGAGTATTAGTATGATTATTGACATTGGAATTGGGATTGGGATTGGAATGGGCAGAAGTGAATGAATAATGAACTAATGAATCAATGAATACATATTACAATTGTATAGAATACTAATAGTCAATCAATCAAGTATAATTAAATGCTTTTGAATTATTTATTGTAGTTTTTGAGTATTTTGATTCAAATTGTGATTTGAATATACTATCTGTGTGATATTAATGCAATGTGTATAGTAGGGCTTTAGATTATTAGTATTTTGGATTTTGTTTGCTTTTGGACTCCGACTAAAAGCCCCTTTTTTTTCATGCAGCCAACCGACTGTATATAGCCGCCGCTGTTTGATGAAATTTCTGCCTAATGTTACACAACGCTATGGCATCACACCCATGAATAATAAAATATGGGTATAGATAAGCCTTTTCCAACAACAATCCCATGGGCATTCTATTCATCTCGATTTGTTTGAAGTAAAGTCATAATCATGGGTATCGACGCCGGTTTTGATATGGTTCCCCGCCTATCTGAAAGTGCAGTGGATAGGAAGAGTTGGCAATTTTTAATTGAATTAATCAAGAAACAATACGAGAGTGACGGCCTGGTAGAGGTTAGACATAATTACATCGTCTTTAAAGCAGGCGAGCATCCCAGGCTTCCATTTGAAGGCCACAAATTGTTACGATTCAGCTCAAAAATCTCAGGCCGCTGTGCTGGCGGGGTCAAGGATTACATCGATACAGTGACCCAGGTTGCAAAGCTCCTTTTTGGATCTCGTGTCCGTAAATGGAGTGAGAATTTTGATGAAACAGAATTCTACAACTGGCAAGTTGTGCATGAATCGTTCAGGTCCTATGAGCAGGTATGTATATCATGGTTTACTTATCGTAGATCAAACTTCTAACGATATTTCAGCCTGGGGAACTAAACATCCCGACAACGACTGCTAAGTACTTGTCTGAGAACCATTCAACGATTGGGCTGGACACGAAGCTCTTCAGCATCGAGCAAGTTCCAGGAAAAGGAAAGGGTTTGGTAGCTCGCTTCAATATCGATACCGGAACACGAATTGTTTCTGAGAAACCTCTTTTCACAATTACAAACCTGTCACCAATAAGCCTACTAGAAAGTACAATTGTTGCCAAACTGAAAGAATTGTCAAAACCCGAACAACGAGAATTCCTCTCCCTCCACAACAATCTCCCCGGAAAATACCCCTTCAGCGGCATCGTCAAGACCAACGCTCTGCCCTGCGGCCCCGACTCTATCGTTGGCGGTATCTACCCTACTATCTGCCTCATCAACCACGAGTGTACCCCCAATGCCAACCAGAGCTGGAATCAAAATCTCAACCGTGAAACCATCCACGCAATCCGTCCCATCAAAGCCGGCGAAGAAATAACCATCTCTTACGATACCGGCAATGAGACCAGCACCCGACAAGCCCATCTCAAAAGCTCTTTCGGCTTCAATTGTACCTGCACTCTCTGTAGCTTCCCTCAACTCGATATCCAAGCGAGCGATACCCGTCGTCGAAACATCGAGCTTCTGGATAAAGCCATTGGAGATGCAGGACGAGTGATGATGCAGCCCGAGAAAAGTCTAGCAGATTGTCACAGTTTGCTACGACTTATCGAGGATGAGTATAAGGGTGCAGCGAGTGTATTGGTGGCGAGCGTTTATTATGATGCTTTTCAGATTAGTGTCACGCATGGTGATCAGGCGAGAGCAAGCATTTTTGCGGAGAGAGGATATAAAAGGAAGGTTGTGTGTGAGGGGGAGGATAATCCTGAGACGGGGAGAATGAAGGGTTTTATGGAGAGGCCGGCGATGCATAGGAATTTTGGGGCGTCGAGTAGGTGGAAGACTTTGAAGGGGTTGGTGCCTAAGGGGTTGGATGAAGAAGAGTTTGAGAGGTGGTTGTGGAGGGAGGGGAGATAGGATGTTGTGGGTTGGTGTTGCTGTTTTTTTGTGGTTTATCTGAGATCAATGGTTTTTATCATTCTCAGTTCCATGTGAGAACTGCGGTGGATATAGGAAGTTATAAGCCAAAATGCGATCAAGTCTAAGTTCGACTTTAGTGTTCTTATTGTCCCACAACTCAATGATGCTTAGACTCAAATACTGCATCGACATTAGCCACATAACTGACATCAATTAGCTTTTTTGGAAATTGTATAGTATGATTCAACAAAGCTGACCCAATCTGTGCAGAAATCAGAGATAGAAAAGTTATAGATATTCCAGTATGTACGATCTTTTGGTATGCGAGGAGAAAGAAAATATTATGTAAGATTGCGATCTACTCCAGTGGAAAGATGTACGAGTACTAAGTCTCTTTCCATGTCAGAATTCGGAGGATGTTTGGTGGTAGATGCTATGATTTCTTTGGTTGACACATGAACTGAGTCTAAGAAGATATTCAACTCACTGTGCGATTTTGGTAATGTGCAATGGTATAGTAATAGTGTGTAGTAACATCAGTGTAGACTGAAGTACCTAAGATTAGTGAAAGTGGGATGTTCACTTTTCATACTGACCCTGGAGCCCTTTTCCCTCAAGTTACGTTGTGGGAAGGTATGATTGTTGATTGAAATCTTATTGTAGGTCCTGATTTATTTGGAGGGTTGAGAACAGGAGAATCAAATGGGTGATAATCGAAAGCAGACGAATGGACTGATTACTTATAGAATTTTGCAGCTTATTTTATATAGTATGTTAAATTGTTACAGTCCAAGAAATCTCAAACAACATACAGAATCTCCACGATGATTTAGCTCCAGAGTAACGCCTTCTCTTCCTATCGGGTATATTCCAGAGATCTCGAATCCATAAGCCTTTCTACCATTCTCTAACGCCTTCCGTAAACACCTAATCCTTTCAAAAACACAAGTCTCATGCCCTCAACTCAAGCCTCACCAATAATCTCCCATGCTTCCACTGTAGCGCCCGCCACATCTCCAAAGACTCCACAGCTAGTACCAATACACCCAGAAATCTGAAGCACAACCGTATCTCCCATATACACCACTTTATCATCAGGTAATGTATAAGTAGTCTTGTAACCATCCTCAATCTTCACCTCATCACCAGCATCCTTCTCGCCATCTCCTTCTGGAGAATCTTCCGAAGAAACCAAATCCGCCAACGAATCAATATCATTAATCGTCGCCACATTTGGAAGAACCTCGATATCGAAATCAGGAAGAGGAAGCGTGAACATATGTCCCTCTGAAAAATTAGAGGAAGAGTTGGAGTTTAAAATCATAACCAATGCACTAGTAGGAACTCGTTGTCCCCATACCACATTGATAGCTTTTACCCGTTCACCCTTGACAGAGCTAGTATCTATAGAAACAGAAGACTCAACAGTACTCTCGGGCTGCCAACTCGTTCCTACGTCCCCATCATTGATGCTCTGCGGCCAGCGATTTAATTCAATGGCATCGGATTTGATGATGGGAAGACATTGGATGAGATTATTGGGCGTAGTGAGATCTTGCCAATACATGTCGTTTTCTAATGTGAGGGTCTGGTTGAAGAAAAGTGTGTGAATCTCTTGTGGATGACGGGATGCAGGGAGGTTTTGGATCAGAGGAACTGAGGTCGTGTTTTGGGGTGAATAAGGCGATACTTCGATGAATGTAATGTTGGTATGGGTAGTATTCATACTGGCCTTAAATTTATGTCCTTTGAATTGGAAGGTTGGGGGTGCGAGGTATTGGGTGGGTGGAGAGAGAGTGGGTTGGATGGTGAGGAAGTCTTGCGAGGTATCTAGACCTAGGTTTCCGTAAAGAGGAATTTGTAATGTGCCACCGTGACCGGTCAAGAATGGAAATGCGGGAGGATAACCTCCATTAGCATTGGGATCATCATTGGTTTGTTCGCTCATGAGAAACCATGGTGCGCGGCGATTGGCAATTACGGCCATCTTGTTGTAGGTCGAGGCGGAGCAACCAGAAGGTCCATATCTTAGCGTGGCTATGTTGTTAATGGCGAATGTCATGGCGGGACCATCAAGCGATTGTCTTTGCGTGTGATATCTGAGGTCGGCTTGTTTTCTCTCGAGGGTATAGCTCATGGCCTTGGATGACTCGGGGAGGGAGAGAGGGTAAAGGAGAAGGGTGACGTCGGCTTGTTTGATGGTAATGTTAGAGGGCATGTTATCGTATTCGAGAGTGATACCGGAGGAAGAAACGGGGATGGCGATGTTTTCGACAATGTCGAGCCAAGTGGATGGGAGCATCTCGTTGTATTGTTTTTTGATGGAGATGATGGAGCTCAAGATTTGAAAGAAGGAAGCTTGAGTGAAGGCACCGTTTTTGACATGGTTGGCCCACTCATCAGGATCAGTCATGTTCCAGATATTCCATTTTCCCTGATCATCCTTCTGAAGTAACCCCTCAATCGTATGTCCCACACTCTCGACCGCTGGCCACATCTTTTGCCTGAAGAGTTGCTCGTCACTAGTAACCTGTCTATAGTCCAACATCGCCTTGGCCACATCGGTATTGATATGATACTCATAATCCAAAGTGGGGCCCGTTCCAGTTGCATTTCCGTATCTACCCGAAGTCCAAGAGTACAACACCGAATCGTTATCGAGCTTGTACTTTTCCTGTACATAAGCTTCTTGCGCGTTGGCTTTGGCTTGCTCATGCATCTTGAGACGGTAATTAACCATCTGAAGAGCATACTCGGGATGACTCATGACTATACCCGGGAACATCCAGATCTCCATATCCCAGAAATACATACCAGCATACGGATCCGCAGTGAGCCCTCCGACACTAACACCATTGTTGTTGAGGTTGGTATCGTTTTTGAGGAGTGTCTGGAGGAGCATGTAGGTATCAATAACCGCGGAGATCTGCTGAACCTCAGTCAGGGTATCGTTTACTGGTAGACGGCCAGTGACAGGATTTCTGTAACTGGTGATCTTTTCCCTCTGCATATCCTGATTCCAAACTGCAATATGCTCGGCGACAATCAGGTCCCATCCATCTCTGGTCGCATTTCTGGATGCTTAGGTGGCTGTCAATTATGCGTCTAGGAAATAGTCCGTCGAGGCAATGCCAACAAACTTGCGGAAGGTTCTCGGCTGTCCATATTTCAGCGGGAGTGTCTATTGTTGTCCAATAGTCATGGTATCGTTATTGGAATATACGATAGCTCTTGATGACATATAGTTGGGACCGCTTGAAAAGTTTGCCGTGGAGACTGTCCATGCCGAAATATCTTGAAGACCATTTGGGTGATTCGAAACATATATCGACGCAGTATCGTTATATACACCCTTCTGTCCCAAAAACGACCTTACCGCACTTCTACCATCCAGAATATCCGTGACAGTGATGTTTTCCGTTGTCTCACTCAACGGTGTGATAATGAGCTGAGTAGCAGCAACATTGACCCTTGCTCTACTGGTGAACACCGTATACTCAATCTGGAAGCTTGAGCTAGCATTCAAGCTCGGTGTCCATGTGTAGTTCCATTGCAGAATTCCATCTTGAAAGTTCATCGTGCAATTATAATCGCTGATAGTAGATGGATCTACAGAAGCATTGAGAACATGCTCACCAACGGAAACATATATGCCAGTGAAGTGCGGTATACCAGAGATGACACTCTCATCACCTCGATCGAGAAGCTCCGGATAGTTTGTCTTCGTCGTATTGGCCTGACGATCGAAGAATCCAGCAAGACCTGCGAAAGTCTGACGAGGATTGAATTCCGGCCAGCCTTCCGTCGGTTGCTCACCATCCCGATGTGTTTGATTGAAGTCCCTCTCGAAGCCAGGACCAATCGAAGCCGTAGAAAGACCGATGTACTTATGCGAGAACATCAGCACACGTCCTGTATAATTCTACATAAAACAACACCAAAACGATGACAGGAAAACATACCCATTTGATAAGTGCATCCTCGCCAAGAAATTGCCGACTATTGGCTCCTTCGAATGGAGCGTGAGATTATCATCATCCCATCAACTCAACGGATCATCCGCAAGCACCCCAAAATCCCTCGTTGGCGACATGGTCCCATCTGGGACCGTCTTAAATTTCCATTGAGAAGGCGCATTTACCTCCTCACCATAATCCGCCTCGCCTACTACTACTAGTAGTAGAGACGCCACTACCATCCACCTTGCAAGCCATTGGAAGAGCATCATGTTGGTCGGGTGAAATACTACTTTTGTGCGTTTTTCAATTGTATGTAGTGAAAGGAATCCAACTTGAAACGACAGAGAGCAAAGTCAAAAAGTAAGAGAGGGTCTTGCAAATGTAAATCTGGAAGCGAAGATTATTGGATATGTTTGCACCGGAGAGAAAAAGCTTAGGAGGGGAGCGAAGAGTCATATATGTAAGTCGTTTCTCTTAGCTCCTGCCTACTCAGGCTGTAAATTGGACACGTTGACGTGGCGAGTATTAGATCATACACCCCCAAAGCTAAATGAACCAATTCTCACTTCCAAGCCACTAATCCTCATAGGTCAGTATTCCCTGTATTTGTTAGGCTAGACTTTCACCAAACATCTCCTAGACTATCTGCTAAAAAATTCTGTCGATCTACCGGGAGATACTCATGAACTTTTCCTTCCTATCATCATGATCATATCGATCTTCATCAGCTAATTACAACACCAGGAGGTTTAGGGAGAAAGAGGGATGGATGGATGGATGGATGGATGGATGTACAGCCAAGACTGAGACTGGGACGGGGACGGGGACTGAGAAAGAATGGAAAATCCAAAATGATAATACTCGAGTACAACACCAGCATTTACACATCATCGTCATTTATAGAACAAACATATAATCATAATCAACAACTGCCATAAGGTAAAATTCTTCCTCCCACATAAATTTCCCCAAAAAGAGCCTCAACTGAATGTGGAGGACAAGGGCGATCTCGGCATTCGAAAACTTTAAAAGGGGCTACCCCAGTAGCTCGCTAAGACTAGCGCTATAATCCATGATTGCTACTACTGTACTCAAGGTATGGTAGCTTGAGCTAGTAAGCGTTATCCCTCATCTGATTCGATCGCGACCAATAGATGACGATGTGATGACAACATGGCGCCAAGACTATACATTAAATTCCTGTGCATTTCATTTCTGGACTCGAAAAGAAAAAATTCAGTATTTTACACAGAGCACTTACTAGTATTTTGCTCGAAGCTTGGAGTTCAAAGTTATTTCTGAATGGGGATCCCCGTCCATATTCAATCAAGGATTCAGAGTCAATCTATCAAATCTGCCTTCAACTGATATTAATATGATCATACACCCAGTTTAATAACGTGTTTCCAAAAAAAATATCATTATTTTAACTTCTTATAAATTTTCATTTCTCAAAATCAAATCTTTCGAATTTCAATTCACAATATCTTTTTCAAAATAACTTCAAAATAGAAAAGCTCTTCAATATAATTGAATTATTGATTATTAGAGTTATTTCAATCATTTTTGAATATTGAAATAACTTATTTATTAAAAAAGTTATTTGAAATTGAGATGAAAAGTTGAAAGAGGTCAAAAATCACGAATTTCTTTTGGAAACACGTTATTAAACTGGGTGTATGATTGGTGATTAAGCGAAAACACTAATTCACTCTATTATCAACTAACTACGAGTACACTACTCCTCCTCAAACCTTGGTTTTTGGAGTTTGATTTTACAAGCTCCAAAACCTTACTGTAATTACACCTGGTTATGTTATCTGTCAAGATTCAAGAATCAAGCTTCTCTCTCCGCCAATTGAACATGCATACCGATCGGGATTCGGTACTATGGTTTAAATCCATCACAAATATATACTAATGAGAAACACAAAATCCAGACCCAGTTGTCCAACACTAAATTATTTTTGAATATGTAATTAACAGTATTGGTATGGAATTCTATAGTTATTGTATTTATACAATTCATCCCATAGATAAACTACCTCCCTCCCCCATATCCATTCAACCCAGTCCACTTGACTTACGAAAAGTTGTATCTCGAATGTCACAGGACCTTTATCGAACAGCTCTACTACCACTAGTCTAGCACTAGATACACCATAGTAGTACACGGTATACCCATATTCGACTGGACACAATGACAGCTACCAGTACTTAACTACTTTTATACCGGCATAAACTCCGCAATTCGGAGAACTACCTAGTAGTATATACTATGTAAAATTAGGAATATCCCTCGAAGTTTTTTCCAAGTTTCCGAATTGCGGACTTGCTGGCGGTTATTGGGATACCGATTGTTGTAGTCAAAATGTATACCGTATATTGTGAATTTGAAGTATTTATCAGCACTATTGGGGAATTTTATTTTACCAATGTTAATAATATCAATTTGGACGCGAATATATTTAGCATTTCTTTGATATGATTTTTGTACGAGTATTTTATAATAATTAAAAGGTGTTGATGTAGCTATGTACTCGAGTATACAATAAATAACGTACAGTGTATGCATTCCGAGTATCACAGAAAATCCAAATCCAAATCCAAATCCAAATCCAAATCGAGAGTTAATGAGTATAATTGATAAGCTGGATAACTTACCTCTACTCTAGTCCACCGTATCTACGAGTAGTTGAAGAGAAGAGGAGTTGATGTCGATCTGGCTTCATCTACTATAGTTCAAGTTCTAGAGTGTGATCAAAGAAAATAGATTATTTCTATCTACTATCTTATTCTAGAGTTATTATTTCTATTCTCTCTTTCTATTTTATTACCCCTAATCTTTAATTAATCTCTATTATTCTAATTTTATTGATGTTATATCTCTATCTACTCGAGTACGTATTCTTATCCTCATTCCTATTCCTATTCCTAGTCCTGAATCTTCAAATGATCTTATTAGTTAGTATTCAGTGTATTCCATCCCTTCTCACTCCTCATTCCCTACTCCCTGCTTTCCTCATTCCCCATTGCCCGCTCTCCACTCCCCCTTCAACATCAAAATTCATTATCAAAATTCAACATCAAACTTCAATACTGTATCAAAATCCAATATCAAAAATTCAAAACCAAAGCATTATAATCCATCAAAACAAATCTCACCTCACCTCACCTCACCTTATTCTCCCACACGACTCAGATCATCCCAACAACCATCCACTTACGTTATTTCTCTTCTCTCATCATCCTCATTATCCTCTACTATCCCTCCTGATTCTCATCATCACCTTCACCTCACCTCGTCCTCACCTCACTCTCACCTCACCCTCACCTCACCCTCACCTCTTCTTCTCCCCCTTCTTATTATTATTCTCCCCCTTCTTAATAATCACCCTCACTATCCCATCCCATTCCATCCCATCCTACCGTGACAATAACAGTGACCTCCCAATTACCCAAATAAATAAAGTAAAATGTTACATTACATCGTTACATTGTCACATCACATCACATCACATCCCAGGGGATTCACACATCTACTAAACACCATCACCATCACATCACCATCACATAACCCTCAATTAATCATCCCTGACTTATACACCAAGAAATAGTCACCGTATCACAACATCATAACATCACAAGAAAACGAGTATCGAGTATCAACAAAGTCAAATAGCATTCTTCAATAGCACTTAATACCCACTATAATACCATAAAAATCCCAGGCCTAAGTAAGCTCGCCGATAACCAAGCTACTTTAATCTACATACCACATTTTCATATTCTCCATATTCGCGACATCTTAATTCTCAATAACAGCTTCAGGTTCAGTTGTGCTCTCTACCGTACTCTCACTAACGACAGGAGGAGAGTCACTTGGTTTTATCGGCTCAGCGTCATTACTGTGATCATCGGCAATAATCGCTTCCTTTTGTATATCCTCTCGTTGTTCCGATTCGATATCCTTTTCCGCCGATGGAAGAGATGCACTCTTCTCGGCGCCCTCTGCAATTTCTGTAGCATCATGGAGACTTTCTCCTGCCGTGTTTGTTGCAAGAGTTGGAGTTGAAGATTCGGCTGCTTTGGTAGTAGGTGGGGTAACTTCCTCTGTCTTGGAGTCTGCCTTGGAGTCTGTCTTGGACTCTACATGTAAGACCTCATTCGAATCAATATACCACAGTGTAGAGGGTGTTGAGGTTGCCAAAGTTACAGCAGATGATTCTTGAGCGGTCGATGAGATTGGGGCAGGACTTCTAGCAGGCGCTCTACGAGCAGGACCTCTGGCTCTACCTTTTCTAGCATCCGATAGAGGCACCTTTTCTTTCTCCTCGACTTTCTCCTCTGGCTTAGGCTCTTCTTTCTTTGGAGCTTGTGGCCCGAGTTTTAAGCGCGAGTTAAGGTCTGCCAAAAAACCACCCTGCAAAGCGGCAATTTTACCACCAACCGGTCTCGAAGGGACAGGTGGTTTTGTCTTGCCAGCGGTAGAAGAGCTATTATCCGAGCCTATCGATTTAGCGGAGGAATTGGATGGGACGGTGGTTAATGGGATATTTTCCGACGATTCACGTGCAATAGGCTTTGCTGGACGGGCAGGTATTTGTGGTTTGGACTTCAGTGGTAGAGGAGGGGCAGCATCATCTGCAGTTGACACTTGCTTCGACTTCTGTGCGGGGCGACCAGGAATGGCTGGTTGAGCTTTATCGGGCGAAGTTGATGTTATAGGGCGAGCAGGAGCGCTTGGTTTAGTCATTGCGATACCAGTCGTTGCTCGACCTTCATCATGCCCAAGTCCAAAGCCAGCCGCTGCCTTCTCCTGATGAAATACGACAGCGCCAGTGGTGGGTCTTTCGTCCGGTGGGCTCATGATGGTGTCTACCTCCGGAGTTTGAGGTGTTGATACCGTCGTCTGCAATTGGAGACTATCTGGTGTATCTTCCCAAACATCTCTACTTGGGAAACGCTGTTGCAGATTCGGTCGTGCTTCTGCTGCAAGATGTGGTTTGTGGGACCATGCTTTCTTTTGGGGATGCAAGAAACTCTCTGTGCTCGTAGATTCTTTCTCGGCCAGCTCCTCCTGTCGTCGAGCAAATGCTTGCTCCGGGGTCTCTTTCGATCTCTTGTGGGCGTCTTCATTACCATCATCAGGATCGGGAAGTTGAGGTGTCGACACTGTCGCAGTGTATTGCAAGCTGTTGGGCGTGTCTTCCCACACGTCTTGACTTGGAAATTTACGATTTTGCATCTCTGGACGTTTCAAACGGTCGACTGCAGTTTCAGGCTTTTCCACAGCAGTGCCGGACTTTTCCTCTTCAGGGAACAATGGCTCGTATTCCTGCACTTCCTCTAATGGCGTCGATTCCGTTGCTCGCACTGCTGATGTATGGATACTTCCAGGTCGACTAGTTTGCTTGCTTCCGGATGTGCTGCCATAAGTTACATCATCGTAGAGGTTTCTATGTTCGAAAGATGGGGAAACAGCAGCCTGCAGCTCGTATCCAAATGACTCCTTAGACACTTCATCGGAAGCAAGAATTGGAGCATTATATCCATGTTCTTCGCGAAGCTCATCATCTTCTCCGCCAGCTGCTGAATATGGCCTTGGTTCATTCGCCGGATCAATTACCCTACTAGAACGACGGCTCGGGGCATCGATATGAATAGTATCATCGGCATCCGCTTCACTTTCATAACCGCGTTCGGACTTGTCACCGAGACTTTTCGATAGAGCTCCTTCGAATTCAGCTTTCTGCGAACCGTCGAGGGGGAAGCTTTCCTTTTTCAAAGGCGAGTCGACGTTTGTTTGAGATGCATTAGAATGCGCGACGTTGTAGCCAGAGGACTGATGGCCACTGGATTGTGGGCGGGGAGAAGACATGCGAGATGTATATTCTTCAGAAGCTTGAAATCCAATCTGCTCGGTAGGGGTACTCATTACTGCTGGAGATGTACCTAGTTATGATTAGAATCATACATGGATAGCAAATTCGTACACCTTACCAAGACCAGCACCTCTGCTGGCAGTATCTCTAACAATCTTATTCAAATCGTCACTGCTCATAGCCCACTCCGCTCTGCCTTCGCCGTGAGGTCCGTGATAAGAAGTAGTTTCTTTCTTGTAAAGCTGTAGAATACCATTAGAATGTAACTTGGGTAGTACGTCTCATTTGATGGCACTCCATCCTTTAAGTAATGTGATATAACATGTTTGTGCAATCTTTGTTTCACCTGTAAAGCTAGACTTCAAGCAGATAGACTGAAATCATCTGTAAAACTTACCTCGGGATGTTTCTCATAATAAGCCTTCTCAAAGCGATCGTAAGGGACGATACCATGTCCGTGAAGGCCATAACTTCCCGGTGGAACCTCTCCTCCACGACCACTTATTTTACGCTCATGGTGTCGCTTTGATCCATCGTTGTGAAAGCCAATACCAGGAGCATAAGGAGCTGAGTATGGTGACGGAGATGGAGCTTGAACATCTCCTGCATTTGGATACATAGGAACACGTTGGCCGATTTCAGGGATACCATGCTCATCTTCATGACCGGTACTCGAGGGGGGACGCTCGATGGCCGAAGCATTGCTCGCAAAGCTTGATTTATTCTTCAAAGATCGAGAACCAGCATCTTTATCATCAGCTTTGCCTAAGCCATATGCTGCAGCTTGGCCAGAATCAGTACGAGTGACCGCAGATACCCTAAGCTTAGCACTAGACTCGGGGTGAGAAGGCTTAGGAGCATGAAGCTTCAAATCATTTGCAACATTCCTTGTTTGTGTTGGCGATGAGCTGAGATCCTCCGAAGCTCCGAACGCCTCCGCATATTCGTTGCCCTCTTGTCCGATGGAAGGAAGAGCTACACTCGATGGACGACGTGGGACCTCGAGCTCCGATGTTGAGCTATTGGCACTGCTCATGGCATACAAGGACGACTTTCCATGGTTTTGGGTAGGAGGCATATCGTTGAGTGGAGATCGTGCGAAGCTCTCTCGAGCAGGGGAAATAGAACGATCGGCACGTCTGTTGGTGGGTCGCGGAGGGATTTGTGGTATATTACTACCAAGAGAGGGAGCACCAGAAGAGGTGTCTCCTCGCTCCTGGGACCTACTAGGTCTGGGAGGTACTTGTGGGATCGCCGTCGACATATTTGTTGAAGATATAGAGTTTGTGAGGATTGATTGAAAAAGTGACGGTCTAGATTCTTGATTTATATTAGTACTCGTCATATGCCATCAGAACTAGTCAATGCTGGCAGGCTTAAACTTCAGACAACAGGGTAAAAGAGGTAAAAGATAGCCAATGTCAATCCATTATCCAAATTATTGATTTGGGAATATTGTGAATGTAAAGTAATGGACTCTTCTTATGGCATGGCATATGCAGAAATTCAAATGGCATGTTGTATGTTGTACAGCACGACGAAGTGTTGCCAATTGAAACTCGACCTCATCGCTGTAAGACTAAAACTGATATGAGACAGTAGCAGACTTGAGAGCGGTAGAGCCAGAGCCTATCTGCATAATATAATCTGCGAATAAACGACTCGATAGGGGTACCGAAACGACTCGGAAACTTACCAGATGAGAATAAATTGAGGACAATGATAATAACAATATCTTAAAGTTCAATCATCGAAGCTGAGATCTTCAAATTGAGGGGTGTCAACTGTCAAGATTTAACAAGTTAGGTATGAAGTTGGGGTTGATTTGCGGTTCTTTGATATCTGGCTGGCTTAAACGCTACGTAAGCAGTAGGTAGTAAGTAGTAGTAGTAAGTAGTACCTATTTCTAATCGTCATCGTCAAAGCATGAAATTCAACACAAGTTATTACAAAAATATATTTATATTTTCTAGCTAGATTTTACAAGAATATAAAACTCTCTACCAATATCAGATATCAAACTTATATACACATAATATTCCCTTCAAAATATAACTATTACAATACACAAATTCAACCTCGAACACCTACCTCACTGTACTTTATCACTTCACCACTTTAAAGTATACCGGTATCCATAGGTGGGGTTCTATCATTCAAGTGAGACATAAATATCATCCCTCCAGCCAATCCTATGTAGCTACGACTCGTACCCTTACTGAATTGCCTCTCACCCCACCATCTATAGCCAAGAGACAAAAAGCGAGGAAGAATGATTGTCCCCATTTCGAAGAAGAATATTCGATTCGAGGAGCAGCTTATGCAGCAGCTTCGATATTCAGTGAGTCAGATTAGATTGAATGGTTTCAATCGTTCATATATATATATATACCTGAACAATTAAGGGTTAGCGATGACAAGGGTGGGTACAACAATGGAGTTCAAAGTATAAAGATGTGAAATTCATGATAAGGGAAAAGAAGGAGAGAGAGAGGGTTTATTTAGGAGGTGTGGGAGGAGGCCTAAAGAAAAGTAAGAGAGTACTAGGTAGTTATCGATATCAAAAAATTGATTTGGTTTCAAATCTCAATATAATTATGCTTTTCAAAGACCATTAGTAAAAAATGACCGTTTTTCTTATGTTCTACGAGTATTAGGGATTCTCTTATTCTGTATTAAGGAAAAGGCTGGTGAACCTCCACTCCATCTAATTTCGAATCCTTCTCCTTTGCCTCCCCATTCCTCCAACTGCCAAGAACAGAACTCATCGAAAATGTAGAAACAGTCGTCGCCGTCGCAAAACCTTTATCGTTGTTTGTATCTGTGATGTATCATGAGCCCGCCATCATCGCATGATTAAAGTCACTAAAGTCACCAAAGTCCACATACCCCCTCATACATAGCTCGTGACCTACTACCACATACATGACACTTTGTATTTGTGACACCAAGAATCAACATCGTCAACGCCACTGCGCTGCGAGTTCGTGACTTGCAGTTGAATAAATCTCACATTCGCTCTCATAAGCTCATGTCACTTAATCAGACAACACAAATCCACAAACAACAGCCTCATAACTCATTTGGCATTGAATTTCGTACCTCCGTACCTAATTATCTCCCATTAACTCCATGCGAAAAACGACAACATATACGAACAAGGCTCGCATCCAGATACACTGAGATGGCTTGTTTTGAAAAAGGAAATGGAAGGTATAAAAGTACACCGCGCAATAGGAGAAAAATTGAAGCCGCAGGAAACTCCAGGTTTTCTTGGGCTGAAGAATCAACCATGAAAACGCACCAACAGCCAAAGTTGATGTGCTGCTATATCCTTGACGCCTTGCACCAATCCCACATGCTCTCCCATTTTATAATCCATTAATCAACTTGAGAGTTTTGCTTCATCCTTCATCTTCACGAAACAAGTTCCGCACTCTTCTTTGAATCTGCACCATTGGTTCCATTTGCTTTCTTTGTTGACTTTCGAGACTTATAGAATCATTTGTGCGACACCTTGACCTCCAAGTGTTTTGCTTCCCACAAATCCTTGTCCTTTGGCCCCAGCTAATGCGTAGAAACCTGCTGCAATGGTGAGGAGGACCGCTGCGGCGATGAGACTTGATGCATTAATAATGATGCTGAGCCATTGTACAATAGCCATTCCCATGTAGATAGCGGCGCGCATATAATTAGTTGTGAATCGGCGCATGAAGGTATCGAATGTCGAGGATGTGGGGCAGATTCGGAGAAGTAGTGGGATCTCGATGAAGATGATGAGGAAAGAGCTCACACTGGAATGAAGCTGTTAATTTTGGTATGGAGAAGCAGGGAGAGGAATCGAAACTCACAGGCATAGCGCACTGAAGATGATAAGCAAGCTTACGTGGAAAAGATTCGCAATTCCTAGGGCAAAGCATAGAAGTATGCATACCACGCCGGTCCTGTATTAGTTTGTCAGACATGATCCAAAGTTTTGTTCCACGATCCTCATATGTTCAGTATGCAGCTTCTAGATATTCCGAGGAAGAAGAACTGGTATGCCAAAATAATATTTGGCGTGCATCTTCGATAATGCTTCATGATGTAATGGCTGGAGTAGGATGGATGGAGAGCTCGGAAGAGTCGCATTTTCTTACCATTGACCATAAATACCTAGTATCGCAATTAGCTAAAGTTATATGAGCTCCAGGAAAAGAATACAAACTGAAATTGCGTGTTGCGAACTCCTCTGCGATAGTCATGATTACTTTATTTGGGGTTTAGTTGATGAGTATTTGAATGGGTCGATGTATCGGCAAAGGTCAAGTTGATGTGGAGAGCCCGTAGTTCTTCGATGTTTGTTGTCGTTTCTTTGCGAACACATAAATCGTTTCGTAATATAGTAGTTTTTAGTTTCGTAAGAGGGTGCCGGAGTTAATCTGCTTGGACTTTGATGGGAAAACGGTTTAGAGAAGTTGTATGGGTCTCGAGATTGGGAAATAACTGAATCCTACAACTAAGTTGTTTCGCGTTCTATGAGTTCAAGAAGCTGCGTATGACGCTAGTCCCTATAAAGAACACAAAGGCTGAAATGACTGGTATGAGGCTGAGCCGCATGAGAAGTATTAAATATTAGGTAAAAAACAAAAGGAAATGTTGAACTTCAGAGATGTTGAACTTCAGAGATGCCTAGAGAAAGATTACGAAGACATGGCAAAATCATACATGGTCCTCAAGATATTATTGTCATTCTCTACCTCATCGTACCTAGGTAACATTGAAGCTCCTGCAATGCCGTGGGGGGCTGCAGTATTATTCTCTCCACATATATTTATCTGATCGGCAAATGGATCGATCAATGTCATTGATAGAGGGGAAAAATGAGGATCATCGACTTCTGTCGTTCTTATGTCTCTTCATATTGATATCTTCGCCATTTCCGTTTCATTCTCAATAGAAAGCCGTTATAAAGCTTTGCAAAATGGACCAACTTCTCCTCTTATCGATCGACTCCTATTTACCCAACATTCGCGTCAAACTTATCCGAAAACCAACTTGAAGACATCGTTGAAAATGAAATAGCTTCCAGCTCCATCTGGCATAAGCTGGAAAGCCTGACTGTAGTTCATGGGTCTTTGCTCCTCGTCAACCTAAGATATTTTCGTCAGTCTCCGGGATGAATCACACCACAACAATGACTCATGATTGCGCGAAGCCTATTCAGAGATTCCCGACTTACCAATATGGCTCCTGTGATCAAAATCAAAATCCCTCCATGTTCTCCGGATGGTTGCGCATCGAGTGTCGAGACTTGGTGCTTTACTTTCTCGAAAGGAAGAGACTGTGCCAGCATATGTTAGCATTCATTTAAAATAAGATGAATGTGGAACCTACTCCGAGTTTCTCTACAATAGCGCCAGCTCCAAGGACAGAAGCGGACTCAAAAGTCAACATGGAACTTTCGCGCTGAGAAGTTATCAGTAAGAAGTTTCTTCGAGGTAGTGAAGATACTGACGTAAAGAGGAGCTAACTGCGTTCTGTCCGCATCGAATTGGTTGTAGTAGTATTCGGTGAATTGCTCTGGTTGCGGATGGACTAATTAGCATGATGCTAGAAGTTGTGAATAGCCATGCATCGTCGCACAGAACACCCAGGACGGTTTGGTGGTGTCTGCCAATTCTTATCTGCAATAAAATATGCTATAACTCACTTGCGACATCTTGGAAGTCTATAGAAAAGGAGTCAGCCTCGAATCCTAGCTACATAGATAAATGAACCACGACAAGCACAAATGGAAACAAATCGAGAAAACTATATCTGTAAATATATTTAACGTGTCAATCAATATACTTACTGGCCATCTTGCTCTAAGTTTTTGTGAGTTTTCTTGCGATAACTTATAAGAAATGATATTTTGTCGTGTTGGTTTGCTTGTTTTGGAGGGGAAATTATAGAGGGGTTTCTATGGCGATTTTGGATAACTAGACACTTCAAGTTGGACAGCCCACCAAATCATTGGGCTGAAATCACACCTTACCTTATGTAGCCTAGCTTTATCGCCAAATAGCTCGAGAATTTATCTTTTTGGATTCCTTTAAAAAAATGTATTCAATGTTTAGCATCTTTTTTCTTCAACTCAAACAAAATCATTGTCAACTCAACTCAACTTAACTCTACTCGAGTATCTTCTTGCCATCATGGCACTACCTATACAATTTCACTTACTGATTGCCGCCTCCAGAACTTAAGCTCAATGGTATGTTTACTCTCCTTTTGCTTTATAGCAATCCGCACATTTCATCGCATTTTTTGTATGATGACAAAAGCTTCCATTAAGAACGGCCTTCTGAATAATCATGTCGATTTATTTAATTATATATCAAGCTCAACAGTCTGACTCTTATCTATCAAATGCATTTTATCATTATTGTTATACAAATCTACTTTCAAGGATTTAGCTAACAATCTTCAAGTCATCTAGGAACTTACAATACTAGAAAACAACGTTGGTTATCGTACATCGCAGCGCACCTAAGTAAATATAATATCGTTGGCAGAGGTTGGTGGACAATAGTGATGGTCAATTCATTTGGAATAGGAATATAGAATCCATGGGGCAGCATGAAGGCAATTGTTTATCTGTGTCTGGATGTATGATATATCCTTCGGACATTTTCCCGATGGTGTACATAGCAAATCTTCATCTCAAGTTTATCTGAAAGAACCTCGGAATGCTTCCATCATGTTCAGTTCACGGGTTCGCATTGAATGAGTGAATCAATATGACCCATCTGCCAGCGGCCTTTGACAAATGACTTTCCACTTTGAAGACTATTAGTGGTGTGTTGTATTATTCATTTCCAACAAATGAACTACTTTCGTGACAACAACTTGTGACATTTGATTTGGCATGATACTAAATTCAAGCCTTCAAGTCCCTCTTCTTTTTTTCGACAAGTTCTCTTGACTTGCTGTGTGGATTATTGAACTCGTAACATGAGCCGTTGTTCATCATCAGCCTAACCTGGCTGAGTAGCAAAACTTATCTACCTATTAAGGAATTCATTGTTTTCTGGGATTGCATCTCTCTTGCGTGGTACACAAAATCTACTCTACTCATCCAAAAGTACAACGACAAACAACCTTACAACTTTTAAGGAATCAAAGCAATTCCTCTACCGGTACTCACACACACACAACTCTCGAGCTCTCTCTCTCTCTACTCGTACCTACTACCATTTGCTTACACTACCTACCTACCTACCATTCAAACGCGCGCAAGGCTTCCAGCAATCAGGTACGCTAAGCTAAGAGCAACACCAACTCAACTTCCGTACTTCAGCCTCTTTAAACAATCGGAGCCTTCCAAAGCTCGGCCTCTTCAACTTTAACCAAACCCCTCTCCCCCCACACGTATCAACACAAAATTACAATATTTTACATATCAGGCTGTGCAGTTTTGCCTGACACAAGTCAGTATATTGGTGAGGGAAAATGCCGTGCTTTAAAGGTATTGCTGTCAGTGTCCATGCCGAAGGAGCACCACTTCCTGAATATGGCATAAATCGTCAATCAAGATTCAGTCGTATTAATACATTCATCCCCGTCCCTCAACCCAAACTCCCCCGCGATTCGACGGCCAATAAGCATGAACCCGCCAAATTTGCTATCTCCATTACGCTGTTAACTTCAGGTCTTCCGATACCCTATAGCACACCGAAAGCTACTTCCTCGAACCCTTATCCTCAGCCTCAAGTTGTTGCCGGCGTGCCCGGCCTTGGAGAGAAGATCAGTTTCAATGGTCAGGTCGGTCCCTACATACCGATCACCAAATCGGAAAATGAAACAATTGCTGCATATATCTACTTTGATGGCAGAGCAAAGGAAGAGGTGGCCACACTTTTACGACCGAGCGAAGAGACATGGGTAAATTCTCGATGGGTGCAGGTTCCAGATTCTGAAGGCGGAGGACTGGCTGAGCGAGAATTCTTGTTCCGTGAAGTTGGCTTAGAGCGATGGTTGAACGGACTTGATCTTGATGGACAAGATGCAGCTGCAAGAATCGAAAAGCGTCGACAAAAGTTCGAGAAGCGTCGTAGGCGCAGAAAGGAGGAAAATGGCAGTGATGATGAACTCGCAGATATGATGACACCAAGAAAGAGATCGACTGCACGAGAGATCCTACGATATGGGGCAGATGAGCAATCCCCAGTTGAGAAAGTTTCAGATGACGAAAGTTTTAGCTCTGACTCGGACGACGACGACGCCCTACCAGAAGCTGCAGGACAGATTAAGGTCGCCATGTTTCGAGTACTTGCATCTGGAGAAATCAAACGCGGCGAATATTCTCCACAATTCGATGCTCACGATGATGATGAAGAAGGAGAGAAGGGCAATGGAGAAGCAGGAGAGGGAGGAGATGTTGATCACACCACAAGTTTTGCAAAGCCCAAGTCTTTGGATCCAAAATCCATTAGCACACAAACCGTCACTGGCATAGATGGGCCTGACAAGCCTTTTGCGGTCTTTACATTCTTTTATCGAGGTCAACGTAGGTTTTCATCTTCGCTCTCTATCACAATCCCATTTTTTAACATGTTACTACAGGCCAACTGCAAAAAATGGGCATCCTACCGAATTCAAAGCAGGAAAAGACAAACAGCAGTGCTACGAAACGACGATCAAGACAGTTGGACTTTGGTAATCTGGCACCATTGAAACCTACCGGAACTGTTGGATTTTCTGCCTTTAGAGATAACGACACGTCCGCGAAGCGAAACAAAACCAGGAAGACGAGCAACGGTAGTGTTGGTATGATTGAAGACAGTGAAGATGAAGATGAGGATGATAATAGGAGAGTAAAGTTGGAAGAAATGGATGAAATAGATGACTCACAGAAGACATTGAGTACGGAAGATGCAAAATTTCAAGGAGAATTAGCAGATGGACTCGGACGAATCAAGGTACGGCCATCGTATTGTGTTTGTGGTTGGGTATGCTAACATTGATTTTAGTTAAAACGCCAACATTCTGCCGGGAATTTGAATACCAATTCGGGCAGATCTCCCAACTCGGCCAGCAATACATCTGGCAATGCCACTCCTGCTACCGACGGAGATAAAAATGGTCTAACTTTACCAAACAATGTATTCGGCAAGAATTTTACAGAAAACAACTTCATAGGCAGTCCTATGAAGAAACACAGAGCCAGCCTTCACGGTGATGACTCTCTCGAAAAACGACTAGCAGTATTCTCAAGTGGTCTTGATGTTGTAACAGCAGCTGAAGCGGCACAAACACCCCTTCCCGAACCAGCAATGAAGGATGTCGATGAAGAGGAATTATGATGGCTAGGGGCAATATAGGAAGGAGCCATATAGGAAGGAAGACGAAGGATTTGATACAGACATCATGGCATGATGATCATCTGCATGCTTATGAGTGTCTCAATTACCTCTCAATCTATCTGATGGTTTGGAAAGCGAAAACAGACATGGCATGACACGCAGTGAGCGATATTTGGGCTGTGAAGACGCAGGCAGGCTTATCATATTAATCATATGATTTGATATTTGTTGATATGAGTGAGCCTTCACATGGGATCCTTGTTTCTATGGATTTGATTGGTTGTTTGCATACAGCACAACGCGTCTTGTAAAGATCTCTCTTAATACCCCGAATGCCTGCACAATGACTACGGTTCCACGGCTTCAAAGCTGGGGGGGTCACTTGGTACTACAACATTGGTAAGACCTGTCTCACGGTGGGCAGAGACTAGGTTGATTACTTATTCTCAGATGCATGGGAATCGTAAGTATGCACGCATGCAAACAGACAGACAGAAAACAGATAGGAAGAAAAATATCAATACATATACCATATTGTTGTTTGGATTGTGAGTTGAGTGTGAGTGAGTGTTAGTGTGTGAATCTGATGTGATTTTGAGCGCTTTTGTTGGAGAAATCAGAGATGGAATAATTATAAATAAAGGGGGTACCGGTATGTAATCGGTATATGAAAAATAACAAAAGGGTTACTTGGGTACGTACTGTATGTGTTATGTGTTATGTAGATGTTTTGTTTATATGTATGTGCAAAGACTTCCTATACTACGAGTACATGGATATGGATACAGAAGAATAGCAAGTGCTAAACATGTTTGGATGTATGCGAAGTGGGAGTGGGAGTCGGAATGGGAGTCGGAATGGGATGTTGGGATCTTAGGTATATATGAGAGGATGAGATGGTATGAGGGGGTTTGAGAGGAAGTGGAGTGGTGTGGTGTGAAAGTATGTGGTGGGGTAGGGGGTGGGAGTGGAAGTAATAGGGTATGAGTACCGTCTTCCCTCAACTAACTGAGATTGGATCCAACTGTATTTGATCTACTCGAGTAGTCGTCGATCAAGCCCAAAAGCTGAATAGATTATAGTATTGGAAGAATATGGAAAATGGAGTTCATTTTGGATCCATATTTGTATATTAAAAGTTTTAAGTAATTAAATCTAAAATGTATATAGTTTGGTTTTGTTTATAGAGTAGGTGGTTGGACTTGATCTCAGTTACCTAGTAGTTGAGGTAAGACGGTATAGGTACTAGGTAGGTAGGTAAAGTTTTGTATTGCATTGATGGGGGGTGGGTTGGTGGGTTAGTAATAAGTGATTAGATGAAGTGAAGAGATAAAGAGAGGGGTTGAGATGTGTTGAAAATTTGAAAATGTGAGAATGTGATGTGTGATGTACTAGTATTTGATGCTAATTTTGGCGCCAGAGCTGCGCTAGGCAGGAGCTGGAGCCGAGGCACAAAAAGGGGTTGGGTTGTTAGTTTGCTTGTTAGTTGAGGCCTGTAAGAGGATGCGAGGATATGAGAGCAGATATTAAAGAGGAAAGGAAAATGACTACCTACCCCTTCCTACATATATATCTCTTCGATGGGGATTTTCACTTCAACTACTTTAACTACTTCTACTACTTCAACTATATTCAACTTTTACGAGAAGAAGATATCCAACTAGTACAAGTAGTACGAGTAGATAATTTAATATAATTTAATATAATTTAACATAATGTAATGTAATCTATTCAAACAGGCTAGCTACTGTAGCAAATTAGCAATCAATATATCAGTAATCTGCAACGCATCTCAAGATTCAAGAATCATTGAAATCCTTTGTTGGAGTTCGTAGTTTGAATAGGTATTGGTATTGTGTGTTGTGTGTTGTGTGTTTATGGTTCTATGGTTCTATGGTTTGGTTTACTAGTTGACTGATGGTTATCTGGATTTGAGATGGGTTAGTTGGGTTATACAAAGCCGGGCCACGCTCGGGGAACTTGTTGTTGGGTATCATCGCAGTGTCAACTCAAGCCACTTGATCGCCAAGTAAACTTCACAAACTTCGTGAGACGAGTGAAAGGTCTAATCGCTCCGAGTCAAATTGAATTTGCTCGAGCGGTATAGATGTGTGATGTATATTGTGTTGTGTGGTGTAGTTTCTTCAATACCGTATACTTTTGAAGAATTCGAATAAGCTAAACAGGGAATCTTTCTCTTGGTATAGGGAAAACTGGATCAAATTCCATACATTTCGATTTAAGGAATTCTGTCAATAGGAATACGAAAGTTAAGCCTGTCAGAATAACCTTATATAAGTCCTAATTCCTGCTTAGCTTAATTATCCGAATTCTTCAAAAGTATACGGTATACTGTATATCTATACATCAAGCTATTATTTAGGTAGTGGAGGTGGAAGATCAGAAGATTCGAGCTTGAGTAAGTATGTATGTTAAGATGGTGGAAATGGGGGAAGGATGGAGGGATGGAAAGATGGAGCGGTTGTAAAGTTATATTGAATGGATAGATTATCGTCACCGATGGCGCTACAGGATAGGTGTAGATGATTGGAAGAATTCTTAAAGCATTCATGGAGTACCCATCGGCTTTTTCTCATGTACTCTACTCGAGTATGCTATGGGACGTTTTCGAAGCAATATTTGTAGTTTTTATTTACTTACAAAGTATTATAGCCCCAAATGCCAACTAGAGGATTTGAGGATAAGAGCAATACGCATTAAAGTATCATCTACATCTAAGATACCTGCATCGATATTATTCATCGAGTATAATATCGAAAATCATGCAGATTAGGATAACAGCTAACAGGAAGCATGTGAGAATAGTACTATAGCCCGCTGTCAGACGGATTCATAAGACCTTCTGGTAAGGTAGGTGATACGAAAACCTAACTTTTACACTGCCTCAAAATCTTTTCTAAAATGTGCGGGTGTCTGAATGAAGATGGGTTCAAATGTTGCAATGCGCTCATTCGTGAGAATTGGTAATCTTTCTGTGGTTTCTCTTGGGCTCGCTTCAGCAGGGACTGCGACTGGACTTAAGCGACGTACCTCGCTTCGCTCCTATCTACCGTTTCGTCCATCCACTTAAATCATCCTCGATGATACATCTAATGAACTCAAGCTCAAGGGAATGTCCAGTCACCATCAAACTCTGGAGATTCAACCGCTGGCATGGAGATTGGACCACGATGAAACTAATGGTCTTGGCAAACCTGTTTTCAGTATAGTCAATAGTTAACCAATTGAACTAGTGCATTAACAGTTTAGTTTAATAAATCTAAACTGTTAATCGGTTTATTTGATAGATTAAAACTGTTAATTGAGTTTTGATTTTCAAATTGCTAATTTAATTATAATTTGTTAAATCTAATTATCAACCGATTCAGTTCATGATAATATTCACATTGCTAAAACTATAGTCTTTCAAACTGACAGTTTCCCGATTGGTTCGCATTACTGACTACACTGCCTGTGTATGAGCAGCGAAATTGATTCCTATCTGGAAATCTGGCGAAGGTAATACAAACCGGTTTTGGTAACGGTTTAGTTACAGATGATGATGATGATGATGATGATGATTATGTCAAACTTTTGCGTGCGTCTCCTTCAGGCTCCATTACTCGTTTGGTCAGCTTTCGATGCGTCGAGTGTGCAAGGAATTTCCGAGCTGCATTACGACTATCTTGGACGGCATCATCCAGATGCTAACGACCCAACCTATACTTTAGCAGTGAAACAGAATCGCTTTGCTTGGAAAAGCTTCGTGATTGCAAATCCGTATGATTAAGCCTCTTTCAAGAATCTCATACCTATGAAGCCAATCAGAGCAGGTAAAGATCAGCGCATCGCATTTGTCTTTACAGGCCAGGGAGCTCAGTATCTTGAGTGAGGCGAGAATTCATTCCTTTCCCTATTTTCAGGGAGAGTTCATGCAATCTGGATGAACATTTGATCGAGCTCGGCTGCCTACGGTTCATCCAAGAAATTACAGGGGTGAGCATGCGATTATTTTCATCGATACCCCAGATTATTGCCAGCCATTTACAACATGTCTTCGGTTAGCGCTTGTGGGCTTTTGGAGATCTTTGCTATCATATCTTCGGTCGTCGTTAGTCACTCATCTGGAGAGATCGCTACTACTTATACGTCTGGAGCAATTTTCCGTTCCTCTGATTTCATGAGTATCATTTATGACGAGTACTGCGCAGCCATGGGGTTACTTGAGATGGGTAGAAGAAGTGCATCTATTTCAATGATGTCTATGTTTGAGCTATCTTTGACAACAAAGACCGAAGATATGTGATAGAAGGTGTTTCCTTCACCGATAGAATATCACTCGAAGAATAGTTATCGAAAATTGCGGTGATCGTTGATGAATCGGTCGATTGGTTGTTCAGTGGTGCGCGTTATGGCCGATGCGGTTGCAAAAATACCTATGATTGATCTCTCTTTCGTTATACAGGTGCGTATAGACTTTAGCTATACTGTTAGCTAATATCATTAACTGATCCAATGCGCTAGGCGAATGTCGAAACTAAGTCAGAATCCCAGTTCTGGGGAAATTTCACATGTGTAGTGACAGCAAAGCAAGACTTGCGGAATTCATAATTTGTTGCAGTAACTATAGCTGTCTTTTTCTGGTATATTTGTGTGGAATAGATTTAAAAGATAACACGAAAGAAGAATGTAGAGTTAGGAGCTGTAGAAGTCGCAAAGGTAGAAGCAGATGTAGTGTAAAGTGAGAATAGAGTGGGAGGTAGAATTACTTGGATAGCGGTAACCTTAAGAGTATGAAGTTTTGTAACCCACGCTTGAATACTCGAGTATGTCTTCCTATATACTCAAACCAGCCACCAGAACTTTCTGAATGAGTGAATCACTCACTATTTATTCGATTTAGTTTATTGGAAAATCCAAAAAATAATGACAAGTCAAACAAGAAACGCGCCAAGCCAATCTCTCAGCCCTCGTTTCCCTGTGCCACATCTCTGCAGCGTCGCAATAAACATTAATAAGCAAGTCAGCGACACCACTTCGTGATATAAATTTCAACTTATCTTTCACAGTGTAAAGATTCCCATCTTTCCCCTCAACTATCCAATTCAACATTGAAACAAAAATGACACAAAAATCCGTTCTCGTCACCGGCGCCAGCGCCGGCAAAATCGGTCACGCCCTCGTCCTTGCCTTCCAACAAGCAGGATTCCTCGTATTTTCCTGCGTGCGCGATGCCTCTGCATCCGACGACCTTGCAAAAATGCCCAACGTACACATCATTACGCTAGATATAACATCCTCTGCATCCATCACTGCAGCCGTGGAAATCGTGAGAGATCGTACTTCTGGTGCGGGCTTGGACGTTCTGATGAATAGCTGCCGAGTGGAATTCGTCATGCCGTTACTGGATTATGATGTACGTGAGGGAAAGAGACTTTTTGATATTAATGTTTGGGGTACTTTGGCTATGATTAAGGCTTTTACTCCGCAGCTTGTGGGGAATAAAGGGATGGTGGTTAATATGAGTTCGATTGCGGGGTTTATTCATAGTCCTTGGCTTGGTAAATATATACATATATTCCTTCACATTTAGCAGATAGATTAACATCCTCTGAAGGACTCTACGCGGCATCCGAATCCGCGCTCAATACTCTGAGCGAGACTCTCCGTCTAGAATTGGCACCTTTCAATGTAAAGGTCTTAACCATAGTATCAGGCGCCGTCAAAGCCGATATCTATAAGAAACCTGGAGAATTTAGCTTACCCCCTGATTCTATATACGCACCGATCGCATCCAAGGTGGCCGATGTTGCCGAGGGGAAAACAAATCCAGAGATGATGGAAACTCATGCGTATGCTTTGAAGGTAGTAGCCGATGTGTTGAAAGAGAGAAATGGACTTGTGTACAGGGGTAATTGGGCAACCGTGACACATATTCTTAGTTGGTCTCCATCATTTATCCTGGTAAGTCACTCCTTTGACTGTTGATTGCAAGCCTAATTCGTGGTCTTAGGATGGAATAGTTTCAGCGAAACGAGGTCTGGATGAGCTTGCTAAGTACCTGAAAGGCTAGAGGAAATAAATAGCAATGAATTCCTCAAGTTTCCAGTGGTCTGTGTGGCGACCTTGTCAAGTGTGTGAAAGCTCCTTCCCCTGCCTATTTATCTCTAAAGGCAATGACCTCGATGATCGAGATCATTCATCTCGCCTAAAGGTCGTTCTAGAGTACATCTTCAATTAGAATGTGACGGGACTGTTAAGAGAAATGCCTCGTTTGCCAGGTATGCAAACCGACACTTAGATGTACCTTATTACTCGAGTAATAAATAAGCCATACATAATTAACCCGTAACCCCACACCCGGGCAACCTCCTCTTCTATCCTCTCCTCTCCTCTCCTCTCCTCCTCTCCTCTCCACACCAGTAAAATCATGTCTCAAAATCATAACTCATCATCATATAATTCATAGCCCATCATCAAACACATCATTACTCTAGTCTATTTATTTACTCTAGCCTCTCAACTTAATTTAGCCATTCCAAATTACAAAACTCCACAATACCTGACCACTAACCTAACAATTAATAACCTGAAATCCCCCCCCCTTCCAAGATATCTTCGAGAAATTCGCAAACGAGACTACATGTACAGTAATACATTGCATATACATAAAGCACTACTCGAGTAATCCGGAATATTCATGAAAACATGTCCACAAAAGAAAAAGATTATGTATTTAATTTGCCACCACACAAAGTATCATACTTCTACCAACCTATATGCTTATGTGTATTTCTCCCATCCTTGTCAATCCTCGCTCTCTTAAACCGCAAACATCAAAATCAACACAAAAAAGCAAAAGAACCTAACAGCTCATATCTCAAAAAGGTATAACTGCAAATCCAATCATCCATCCACCCCACGCTCTCGCTAGCTGAAACAGAAATCAATCCCCCAATGTAAAGCCCTTCTTCCCCTTCTCCGTTTCCCCGCTAGAAGACAAAAGATACCATATCAAGTGTGAATTGAAAGAAAAAATATTGCAAGAAATAGAAAGAAAGGAAGAGGGAATCCTTCATCCAATGCGTACACTCCATCATCATCATCTCATGAACTATCATGCTCACAGATTCTCATGTCATAACCCAAGCCCCCATATTCAATCATCATTCCTTCCCCAGTCGTCTTGGTCTGATGGATGAGATCAACAGTTTTGAAGATAATTGCTTGGTACCAAACCTGGTCGACTATTCTTTCCAGCTACTTCTGCCTCCCACCATCCATCATCTTGATGCGTCATGACCGCAAGGATATCTCCCTTTGCAAAAGTAAGTTCTTCGGGGATAGCTGCCTGATACATGTAAAGTGCACGAGCTGGCGAACTATTAGTATGAATCAATTTATCAAGACAGTTGGGAACTTACCAAAATGTAGAATGGGTCGACCTTGACTATTAAATTGGCGAACGTCTGCAACACTCTTACTTCTGCTTCGAGCAGTCAATTGTTGTTCGTTTCCACCGCCGTAATGGCTCATGGCTCTGGAACCGGCGCTGGCTCTACTGCCGCTTCTTCCTTGGGAGCCGTAACCATCATCATGGCCAGGTGCTAATTGTATTGCCATACTGTTATTTGCCATATTTGTGGAATGACTACTAGAAGGCCTATCTTGTTGCGCAAATTGGGCCTTGACATGGCTGCTGCTAGGCCTCTCTTGTTGCTGGAAGGGGGCTTTGACGTGACTGCTATTAGGTCTCTCCTGCTGTGCATATGGGGCTGGCGAGATACCACGAGTAGAAATACTTGGCGAATTGCGTTGATGATAAGTGCCAGAGTTACGTTTTGGCTGAGGAGTGGATCCGGTACGAGAGTGTGTGCTTCCAGCGTATTTGGGGGACGCAGATCCATGAGTTTGTCTCACCTCCGCTTGCGTTCCAGGTCGAGGTGAAACACTTCGATTGGGTGCTGGTGACTTAGCTCGAGGCATATCTGACCCCCTCGTTCCGGGACGTGAGCCATACCCGGTTTGTTGTGAATCTGGTCTTGCCTGGGGAGGACTAAACATGTTTGCCGTTTGGTCGACATACTTTTGACGAGTTTGCTGCATCGACTTTGAAGTGAAAGCGGGTGATGGAAGGCCAAGTCTCTCAACAGGAGCTGGGTCATAAGATGGTGGAGGTGTACCGCGCATACCGGCCATCAAAGCGCCATTGACCATTTGAGATCCTAGTGGTCTGGATGTGGGTACCGCATCAGGAGCGGGAGTAGCCACCCCATGATATTTGTCAGCAGATACCCTAGTAGATGATGCCTTAGTTACAACTTTAAGATCAGCTAGAGCTTGGGCTATGGGATCAGATTCTTCGGGTGCTTGACTTGCAGCAGGGTTACTTTGAGCAAACTTGTTCTTCTTTTCGGGTGCTGCGACATCAAAAACGTTGTTTCCGATATTCAATTGAAAGTTGGCCCGTGGATCAACAGGCTCTGGGCTATTGCTTGGTCGATCGGTTAGCATCATAGTTTGTGGTGCAGGCTGTATCGTTCTCGAATTTGGCCGTCTACTTGAAGTGTTTTGAACATTGGTGTTTCGGCCAGACCATGTGCTGCGATTCGACGGAGTTGGTTTAGCAACAACAACTTCTTCCCCTCCCTTGGTGCTCTTTCGTCGAAATGGACTATGAAAGATCCCACTCTTTTTCTTCTGGAGCGGTTTCTCTATGACTGGGGCGCTTTGCTTTACTGGCGACGTTTTCCCACTGGGAGGCTCCTGGCTCGAGAATGAGGTAGGGTTTGAATAGTCGCTTTGAGAATCCCGACTAGATGGTCTTACTGGGCTATTCGCGGCGGAGCTCATGTCTGAAGGTGCTGAGGGAGGTCCTGTTCTACACAGCATTGTCATGCCATCCATGGGGTTAGAATTATGAGGCACTTGGGCAATTTGGCCTTGTTTTTGAACCAATTGACCTTGCTGCTGTCCATATGGCATTTGAATTGGTTTTGACCAGTCCATCTTGGGCATCTTAGAGCTTTCAGGACGCTGATAGTCAAGTTGGGGCTGTTGCAAAATTTGAGGTTGATATTCAAGCTGAGCTTGTTTCGGCCGTTCTTGTTGACGATAATTAGTCTGAGTCTGAGCATGGGCTTGTGCTTGAGCTTGTGCCTGCTTCTGTCTTTCAGTCTGTTGCTGTCTGTCAATTGGTTGATAATCAACAGATTGTTTTCTTTGCCTTTCTGCCTGTTGATGATTAACATGCCCTTGCTGCCTTGGTCTCTCAGCTTGTTGATATTCCTGTGGAGGTTGCTGTCTTTGCCTCCCGGGCTGCTGCTGATAATCGATTTGAGACTGAGCGCGAGCTCGGCCCGGCTGTTGATGACCGGCTTGAGATTGCGCTCTAGGTCTGGCTGGTTGTTGATACTCCGCTTGGGAAGGTGGAGCTTGTATAGGGGGTTCTGGTTCGTAGTCCTCAACTTGGGCATGTCGCGATCTATCCGGTGTTGACATTGATGGTGTAAGCTTCTGAGGAGTGACGGTTGTCTCTCGACTCCTCGGCGTTTCAACCTCATGAGCCAATTCTTTAGCAAGAGCTGATTGAGGATCATGGTGAGATTCGTAAGTAGATGGTTGCGGTGAAGAACTCCTGTAGGCTGGGTTTATGGTTCGTTGAAATTGTGCAACCGAGTAAGCCTCGTCCTCAGAAGCCTCGGATATTGAATCAGCATCACCGCGACAGAAATTTATATACTTTGGCGGATCTGGAATTTCCTGACCAGTGCCACATTCATTTATAAAAGACATGATGTCTTTCTCTACCTCGCAATCTTCAAGCGCGAGGCGAACTTTCTCGCAAGAAGAATCATCGCTTACACAAACCGTGGAAGCAATATTTGCAAAGCTCCATAAACTACCTTTCATAAAGTCAAGTCTTTCCTCCTCAAGATCCTGAAACTTATCCGCGGCCGATTTCCAGTCTCTATTCCAGCGACCTGTAGTTTCCTCGAGAATTTTGACCGCATTTTCGTACTCGGTATTTGACGTCGCCAAGTTCACTTGAGTTTTCTCCAGCTTCGCTTTGTTTTTTCGTTCTTCCTGGCCCATGACCATGTGTCCCTGTGCAAGGTATCCTTTGATCTTGAGGCATTCTTGTTCATATTTGTCTCGAGTCTGCCATTGAGTAAATAAGTATTCAAAAGCAAGATTTGGACCTTCTTACCTTGTTGACCTGATTTGTCTGTTGTACCTTGATCTTTAATAATTTTTCTGTGCCATGTTGAACAATCTTTCTCCTCTCCTTCATTGCACCAGCAAAAGCCGCCAGCGGCTCCTCCAACTCGGTTTTCATTTGTCCAGCGATTGTTTGATGTGCCTTTCCCATTGCCTCAACCTCTCCTTTCAGAACATCTAATGAATTGCGCAGAGTTCCTGTCTCTTGAGATCCCAATGGTTTTCGAGATAATTGAAGCAATTTGCGAGCATATTCCTCTTCGAGAGTGGCACGAGCTATGTAATATCAGTTATGTACTAATACCCGTCCAATGTTAACTATAACTTACCATTATAGAAAGATTTTAATTCATCACAAGTTTGTTTAGCATTGATCATACGCTGTATCAATGGCTCGACACCAGCATCATCCTTTCCCCAGAAGTTATTCGCGAAACTCATGGTGACGGATGGTCCATCTGATATTGTTCCAGGCATCTTGCCTAGGTAGAATTAAGAGGTTACCAGGCAAAGAATTGAATAGAGGTTTTAATGAATATGAGGAGATTGAAGAAGCCAAAATAGAGCTGTAACTCCTGAGGTTTGTCCAAAAACCTAAAAGAATGTTCGGTATGCAAAAAGGTGGATTAATTGCGGAGTTATTAAGATGGTTATACGAGTAGTTACACTTTGACTCTTTGTTGATTTAATCAGCTTGAAATCCGTTGTCATGGTGATATGGGGTTATTATCGGATGGAAACTCCATGATTTTACCGATGACGAATGATTACATAATCACGGCGGAGAGCTCCAGGGACCGCGGCGGAACACTGGCATTCCCGCCCTACTGTGTCATTACGAAAGTAGTAGAAAAATGACGGAAATATCTTACTACCCTTAATATAAGTTGGAAGTTAAGTTGTGTTGTACTTGTAGCCTTCGAATGAATGTATTCAGATGCTTCCGAGCTTAGGTGTGTATGTATGTATTGTATTGTATGTATTGTATGTATGTATGTATGTACTCGTAGATAGATAGATAGATATTATATAGACAGCAGGGAAGTTGTATCTATCACGAATCACCTTAGCACACATTCCTACCTATTCATTATGCATAGAAAGATACAAGTATTCAGTGTCATAGGATTGCATTGTACTTCCCACTCCCCTCTCCACACAGTTTCATTTACAGTTGAGCCGCCTAATATCAGCTGTGAATGTTGCTTTAAGCTTCTGATTGTACTCGGCGCCAAGTTGTGCAGCAGATGAGATCCTTAAAGAAGCTCGGCAGCTCGAAATGTCCCATTGATAACTCGTCATATCATAATTTGTTAGTAAGGATGGATGCATCCTTCTATACCTGGGACCTGGGTAGATACTACCGAACTCCGGTACTCATAACTGTAGTTACCGTAGAAAGAGAGAGTCAAAAAGTAGGTTATTACTCGAGTAGAAAATAATATATACTAATTCCATTGGCGTAAAACAGTCTTTATATGACCATAAAATATTCCTGGAATGAAGATACAGTATTTGCCTCTAAGTTTATAAACCAGTCTATTCAGACAAAAAACATTTGATGTTCCTTATTGGATGCCTTACAAGAGCCTCACTTTGTAAGGTTCATTATAACCGAAACCGAATATCGCAATGAGAGTTTATTCGTCCTTTAAACCTCCCCAACTCCAACCTCAATTGCCCGCCCCCACAACAGACACATCGCCTTCACAAGTTCATACTTCAACGACAAATCTCCTGCCCCCTCCCCTTTCTCTTTCGGAACTCAAACTTATAATATCGTCGCGCATACTCAAACCACAATTCATCCATGTCCACTCCTCCCAGATAGATCACCTTTCATCTTTAACAAGATTGAGAGGTAGCTCTGCAGGGAGTGGGTCTGCGCCAAAATAAATACAACTATCTTCGATGGTCAATTCAAGAGGGGGGACTTTCACACCTTCACCGGCGCAAACAATCGTGACAGGAGTTAGTCATTCACCTCACGGCTCGCATCACAGTACATTCAGTGCTGGCGCAAGTCCATCTACCAACAGTCCAATCGGTGCAAGCGGAGTCAATAAGATTGTCGTCGCTCAGGTTTACCTATTACTCGGTACAATTAAAGAAGATAAAGATCGCACAAAGTGGGAACAGCAAGCTGAACAGCTCAGAAAGGTACGTGAGATGAGTAAAGTATTTGTTTGTACCTTGTGGTTCCGTCTAACATAAAGCTTGTTGTAGCTGGTTGATGAGCACGGCATGGAAGTATTCTCAAAATTCTTCAGCCGACTTGTGGTTGGCAACGCACCGCAGATATTTCCCGGTATCAATCGACCCGTCCTTAATCCAGCCAACTACCAGATTCTAGTGAATGAAGTACACAAGGTAGTCCACGATGTCGACCAGGCTGGGAGGATTGCGGAATCTATAGAGACAGGGAATGAAGATATCTTCCGTGATTTTGACCTTTCAACCTTTATGGATCATTTTAAGCTAGACGCGCTCGAGAAGACAATTCTAGCACTTGCTTTTAAAACTGGATCAAGATCAGATCTCAAAACCAAAGGTTGTTAAATTCTTACTTGCTAACAGTCCCTTCCTTTCCATTGAAAGCTAACAGTTCCATAGCCGATGCTATCCTATCAGCAAATTATCAAGGGTTTGTAGAAGCTCTATCTCAAGTGAATCAAGGTCAAGAAAGCCTTACAACCTCTTTCCTTGCCACGATAGTCGATCGATTTATCCAAGGTCACCCACCGAATTTCGATCGTCAAGCACAAATTCTACTTTTTCGAGCAATAAACTATCGTTTCAGCGATCAACCAGAAGATATTCCTGCACCCACAGAGATTCTCGCGTCGCTTTTCCTAATGTCGATAATCACAGAAGGCAATAAGTTGATATCATACATACAGAGGACTGGGGAAGCTTTTACATCGGATGAGGATACATGTAGAAATTACATACGACACGCTGGCGATATCAAACTCGACGAAGCACAAGTCGCTGCTGCCTTACTCTACACTGCCATCAGTCAAACTCCTACATTCTCTCCGCATGTATTGGTTAGCAGTCTTCGCAAGGAAGTTTCTGCAGGATTCAGTTGGCCCCAAGTTGTACAAAATTTCGATACACCAGATCTAAGGATATCACCACAACAATTCCTAGCATTGTACGAAGCCGTTCGACCAATTGCGCTTGAAGACCCTGCCATTATCCCACAACTGTTAGGCGGTGCCTGGCAAAATACTGAAACTCAGCTTTCTTTCATCAGTGCATACGCGTCACTAAGCCCGAACGAACTTGATGCCTCCACCATTCCGAAACTTAGGCCATCATTCACTTTAGAAGACTATGTCGATGCTAAGCCAGAAATTCGAGAACGTGCTGAATGGGCAGTAAGACATCCTCTTGTGTCCGTGATCACATTGACATCCGTCTTTATCGTTGCCCTTAGAGAGCCCCAATACTCGGAAACAGTGGAAGCCAAACGATTATTCCAAAAAGTCGTCGTGCCGAATCTCGACATATTCCTGGTATCGGCATTTGGCGTACCGCGACCATGGCCTGACTTAGCAGTAGAGACAATCAACAACCTTTTCGAGCGCTTTCTATTCAAAATTGACGGCAACTACAATTTTGTTCTAGCAAGCTTATGGCGAAAAGATAAGAGTTGGGTGGCACAACGCTTGATGGACGCGCATGTCAAAGTACCTCTCGAGCTTCCTCTTGTGTTGGATCATGCGGTAAAGCACGAATGGCTTCATGAATTGGCCTCGATGCTCAATGGTTTCGGCCTTGATCTTGCTGCCTTAGCACATTCCCGTGGTTTGCTGGATCTCAAAGACTGGAAGGCCACGAATTTGCCTCGAGAGGAGGAACTTGGTACGGCTCTGTTGACTTTCCTGAGCATAAAAGCTCAGCATGAGCTTGCATATCAACGTACCCGAGGAGAGCATAGTATCATGTTACCTGTGAAGACTATATTCGCGATGTTGAACGTCTTGGAAGAAATTCTACCGAAAGAGCCTTCCGCACAATTGATCTCCGTACAGCGAACTTGTATCACTGCCTACCCTCGTTTAATCAACTATGGCCAGGACGACGAGCTGGACCGAATCATCGATAGTAATGGTTTGGTAACTAACATGCTTAGTGAAGACGCACAGCACATGATGGAACAACATTATAAGCAAATGTATAGCGCAGAACTCAAGGTTCGGCAGATTGTTGATGCTTTAGCTGGTTACAAATCTGCCCGTGACCCTCACCAACAGGATGTATTTGCCTGCATGATTCACGGGCTATTTGACGAATACAGTCTCTATTCCACCTATCCACTGGAGGCTCTGGCAACTACCGCTGTCTTATTTGGTGGCATAATTCAAGATAAGCTCATTGCGGACCTCCCTCTTGAGATTGGTCTAGGCATGATTCTTGAAGCAGTCCGAGATCATCTTCCAGAGGAATCTATGTACAAGTTTGGATTGCAAGCTTTGTTACAATTTATTCCTCGTTTATCAGAATGGCCAGGATTCTGTCATCAACTATTGCAAGTATCCGGCCTCGAAGGCACAGAACCCTGGAAAAAGGCTCAGAATGTCATCCACGACCAGCAAGAGGATATGTTGCGCAATGGGCACCACGAGTTAATGAACGGGGGCGGAATCACCAATGGTAACATCGACGAAATGCTTGCCGCCGAGCCTGCAGCTCCTCCATTCAACTCTATCAATGTGGATCCCCTGCATCCCGATGTAGACTTCACGGACCCCGACGTTGATGCACAAGACAAAGTGTTATTCCTGTTGAATAACATCACCGAGCTCAACATCGATTCGAAGTTTGTCGAGCTAAAAACTGCCCTTGGCGAGACGAACCAAAAGTGGTTTGCTGGACATTTGGTTGAGGAACGAGCTAAACTACAACCTAACTACCACGCACTATATCTTGGGTTGGTCAAGCTTTTCGAAGACAAGGTTCTGTGGAACCAGTTGCTGAGAGAGACTTATATCAGTGTTTCGAAGCTGCTCAATGCTGAAAGCACTTTGCTGTCTTCAATAGAGCGCTCGCATTTGAAGAATCTTGGTGGTTGGTTGGGCTCTCTGACACTCGCTCGTGACAAGCCCATCAAACACAGAAACATTGCTTTCAAACAACTATTACTCGAGGCTTGCGACACACAACGACTCATCATTGTCATTCCATTCGTTTGCAAGGTTCTCCTCGAAGGTAGAAACTCGGTTGTCTTCAAACCACCGAATCCATGGCTTATGGATATCATTCATCTCTTGATTGAATTATACCATAATGCGGAGCTCAAGCTGAACCTCAAGTTCGAAATCGAAGTTCTCTGTAAAGGATTAAGTCTTGATCATAAGAGCATTAAGCCCTCCACAGAGTTCCAGAGTCGCATCCCTCCTGTTGAGGAGGCTACCGAGCCAATGGCAGTACCTGATGGCCTGGAGAGGTTCGAAAATCTTTCTGTGAATGGCCTTGGAGGTGGAATCGCTAGTGGCAGATTTTCTCCACAGGAAATCCTTGCTACCATGCCTGATCTCGGACCTCTTCTTACTTACCCACCCAGCAACGACATGGTCAATACACGCCAATTGCATGATATCCTCAAAACCGCCATTACTCGAGCAGTTCATGAGATCATTTCGCCGGTAGTAGAACGTTCTGTTACTATCGCTGCTATCTCGACCGCTCAAATGATACACAAGGACTTCGCAACCGAGCCGAATGAAGCTCGCGTACGCTCTGCAGCTATCAACATGGTTAAGAAGACGGCTGGCAGCCTTGCTTTGGTCACTTCTAAAGAGCCACTACGCGCAAGCATGACAAATTACATCAGAACATTATCGGTCGAACATCAGTTGCCCGAAGGAACTATAATCATGTGTGTGAACTCTAACCTCGACTTGGCTTGTAGCCAAGTCGAAAAGAAAGCTGAGGAGCGTGCTGTTCCTGAAATCGAAGAAATACTGGAGCCAGAGTTGGAAGCTCGCCGCCTTCATCATATGAGGCGACCAGATGATCCATATATCGATCCACAATTAAGCCGTTGGGCGTGGACAATCCCAAGCCCATATAAGTTACAGCCATCACTTTCTGGTCTCAATCAGGAGCAAATGGCTATATATGACGAGTTTGCTCGTCAGCCACGACTACTACCGATAGCTGATAGAGGCTCGGTAGCAGGCTCCTTAGCCGGCACTACTCATGTCGCTACGGCTTCAGATGCAACAAGATCAATTACCAATGATCTCTTACAGGATCAATTTCCAGTTGTTCCAAACCTTCCAACGCCTGCCGAAACTCCTGCGATGCCACTCGTAAATAATCAACAACCTCCTTACAGCCAACCTTCAGCTGCTTTATCAAATGGAAGAATGCCAAATATGGGCATGAACCCCCAGGGATTGCCAGACAAGGTGCAAAGGCTGTTGACTGACCTACAACAAACCACTGCGGATATTCCAGAGCAGCACTATATGGAACTTCCTCGACCACATCCCGTCATTGAGATATTGGATGCTTTATACAGTCTAATTATAAGGAGCCAGCAAGGACAAGAACCTTATGACATCTGGATTGCAGAGCAAATCTGTGGAATAGTGTTTAGTGGCAGTGAAAACACTTTGGTGATTGAGTGCTTAGTGCACGTACTCGAGAACATTATTAGGATTGGTGGTCGTTGTGCAGTTCGTGTTTCCATGATCGTTGGACAGCAGGTTGGAGAAGCACTTCTCCAAGTCCCACTGATCATTGCCTTGGTCAAGGCTGAAATGATCGATTGGACACGCGTCGACTTCGCCACCTCTACAGCCTTGGCTGAGCGCAGAAAAGGAACGTTAGAATTCTTCCTCTCTCTCTTGGAGCAGGTTTTCTTAAATGATCGACCATTGGCATTGTACACTGATGTCGCGAAAAGTTTGGAGGTCGCTTTCGAATGGATCTCCAAAGAGCCTTCTTTGGAGGTTGGTCAACAGCTCAAAGAAAAGCTCGCAGCTTCTGCCCTCCCAAAAAGTATCGGTCGCGGTCAAGATGATCGTCTTGCATTTCGTCAAGACCAAATGGAATATGTCTTCGAGGAATGGATTCACTTGTTCAGCAACCCCATTGCTCCGGAAAGAGCAGCCTTGGTTTTTATTTCCCATATGTATAACAGGCAGCTTATAAACGACAAGGAGGATCTGTGCCTGTTCTTACGCCTCTCAATTGATACATCAGTCGAACGCTTTGAACAGCAGATTCAAATGCATGGCTTCTTAAGCGATGCGTACGTTCCTATCGATGCATTGGCAAAGCTTATATCTTTACTGGTAAAAGGCTATGAGCGTGAAGGCGAAGTGAGAGGCGACAAAGCTGCATTCCTGGAATCGGTCTTGTCCGTCATAACATTAGTTTTGAATCATCATCATGTCATGCGCGGCGAAAATTTCAACCAGAAGGTCTTTACACGGTTGTTCTCTTCGATACTGTGTCATTTGAATGCCTTCTCAGCCGAATTAGCTGAAACGGAGAACCACCAGATTCTTTTGACGTTTGCTGAAAAGCTAATCAAACTCCAGCCTGCTTATTTCCCAGGTTTTGTGTACGGATGGATGACCCTGATCTCTCACCGTTTCTTTCTTGTGCCGTTGATGGGACTTTCAGATGATATGGGGTGGCAACCGTTTGCGAAACTGTTGGAATATTTGCTGTCTTACATGGCCGAGCTACTGAAGCCGTTGCAATTACCCTTGACGACAAGAGATATCTACCAGGGAGTTCTCAAACTCTTCGTTGTATTGCACCACGATTATCCTGACTTCTTAGCCGCACACTCCTCAAAATTATGTGCCAACATACCAAGTCATTGTGTGCAGTTGTTGAATCTCATTCTTGACGCTCACCCAACAATGCCCAAGATACCAGATCCACTACAGCCAGGGTTGAAGATTGACCGCATTGATGAGATCCGCATATCACCAGAGGTTGTCAACGACATTGAAGGTACCTTACAATCAACTGGTTTGTTCGAAATCCTTGAACAAGCTTTACAAAATGGTCCTTCAGAGGATGCGGTGGCTCACATCACACATACTATACAACGTAAGCAAGTCGAAGTGACTGGTTCGGGATTCGTACCTGTCAACGTTGACTTGCAGCTGATCGAATCTCTCGTTTTGTACATCGTTATGTTTGCGGTGACAAGAGCAAGACAAAAGGGTGGACCAACTTTTGTTCGTAGTTCTACGGATGCCGCTTTGGTATCAATGCTTGTTCACGAACTAAATGCAGAAGCTCGACACTATCTATTGACTAGCATGGTCAATCAGGTTCGATTTCCTAACTCGCACACACATTATTTTATGCAAGCGCTTCTGGAACTATTTGGAAATGATTTCAATGATCAGGAAGAGTCGGATATCAGTCAACAAATTCTTCGGGTCTTGTTAGAAAGAGCATTCATCTCCCTACCAATTCCTTGGGGCGTGCTTGTCACAGTCATCGAACTCGTCAAGAACGAGAAATACACTTTCTTTGACTTACCGTATATCAAGTCGACACCAGAGGTAAGACTTATCATTCTCTCACGCTACTCAAATGGCTAACAATATTCCAATTAGGTCGCTGATCGAATTGCTGGTATCGTGCAGCGATCTCTTTCAAGATAAGATTGCATACCAACAATCAGATCTGGATATTTCGGTTCCGGCACAAATATATAGATGTGTCGCCCCAGAGATTGAAATTTCCAAAGATCTGTCTCCTCATTGTTACATAACCTCTTAGGTCACATTCGGCGTTCATGTTACAGATCTTTTCGGTTTGTCTACTGCATAGCGAGTGAAAGGAATTGGGAATTTTGCAAGATCTGCTATACTTATGGTGGGAACAGGGAACGATAAAAACTTCTATTTAATGCATCTTACATGATTAATGTTTCCTTGCCTACCTTCTGTATGACAGAGAATTAGGGGTGGGCCAAAAAATCTGGTGGCGTGGGGGAAAACAGACATATGGCGTGGAAATGGTTTGGCTTACTTGCTGTTATGTGGGAAGACGGCAAACCTTTTATGTATCATACAATGGAGTTCACCATATTTTTCAGGAAACATTTTTGTTTATTTGTGAGGGTTTTCTTTTTCGTATGCGATTTGCTGTTGACTCCTTTTCTATGATAATCAATGTTTTATGATGATGGGGTCAAAGGTGCCATTACTAACTCTCTTGAAATGATGCCGTGGATGAACTTTCACCTTAGTTGGCGAAGATCTTCTTGTGTTATTGAATCCCAACTGTTGTGGTATGATGAAAGCTGGTGATGATGGCTTGATAAGCTCGCGTCTAGAAACCTTAAAGCTGCCCCGCAACGGGAAATTGGGGATCCGCAAGCTAGGCCAAAGATCAGAACTAGTTGATTCTCGTCTTGTTTAGTCCACTATGAAAAGAAAAAGGGGAAATGATAATCCTACCAGGGAGCTATTAAAAGGATGGTGAAGGGTAATTTATATATATATATATAACACCGTTAATGACCCCATATTTCTCTGTTTCTGTTTCTATATCCGTATGTAGTCATCCTTACTATACATTACTAGTTTACCTCCATAATAATAATGTTTGGCAATATATTTCTATTGACGGCAGCATTGCCAATCTATTTTACATATGCTCAAGGAAGCTTCACCGCTTGGTCACCACCTGGTCCGGGTGACGTTCGCTCTCCCTGTCCTGCGATGAATTCCCTCGCAAATCATGGATTTCTCCCACATAATGGGAGGGGGTTTACGATTCCTGATGTTATTGCCGCATTAGATACCGCTTTGAAGTATGCTCCTCTCCGCTGCATTAATTTCTTGCTCATCAGCACCCTCCCATTCAAAGTATACGTACCATTCCCGCCATAAAACTAACCCCTATCCTAGCGTAGGAGCCGATTTCGCCACTGCTATTGGCGGCGCAGGCCTACTATCCGTTCCTGGCAATAGCCTCGCTACATCTTTCGATCTCGATAATCTCAACGAACATAATTTCCCCATCGAACACGACGCTTCGCTTTCACGTGCTGACTATTTCTCCTCTCCAACCCACGATAACTATTCCTTCAACCAAACAATCTTTAACCAATTCTTCTCCTTCTATTCTTCCCACTCCCACACCTCTATCCCCGTCGCTGCAGCCGCTAAATACGCGCGGGAAAACTATGAAGAGAGGGAAGATACACGGTTTTCATATGAGGCGCAACAGTTTCTTTCGAGCTATGGAGAGACGGCGTTGTATTTAAGTGTGTTGGGGGATCCGGTAAACGGGGTCGCGGATACAGAGTGGGTGAGGGTTTTCTTTGAGCAGGAAAGATTGCCGTATGAAGAAGGGTGGAGACGAGGAGGGAGTCAGACGAATTTGGAGTCGTTGGGGGTTATGATTTGGAAGTTGGTCCTGGCGAATGGGGATGTGGTGCCCGAGGGATTGAAGGTTACGGCGCAGACGCTGGGGTTGGCGTTTGGGGGGTATGATCCGGTGACGGGGGTGTTGGGGCATGTTTTTGGGTGAGGGGTTTGAGTGGGGAGGCGGTTTGAGGTGAGGGGGTACGGTCCTCTATATTATAATTCATTATGCTGGAATGCTTCTTTTGCCTTTATAAACTGTTTTAATTATCTATTATATCTCTTCCATTAGTAATAAGTATACCATTCTCACTTCTACCCCTTTGAAATGGAAGAGAGAGAAGCGGCGGAAAGCTCTGACTGAAACTAGTGTACCCCATGTACTCGAGTACATCGATTCTTGCAGGGAGACAGGATTGCAGATCGATCAACTGAGAATATGTACAAGTGTACATGCGAGTGCAGCATCAGTTTGTTTGAAATCCTAGATATATGTAGGAGAAAAGCTCCATGTTTTCTTCCTCTTTGGGATTTGATTGTAGGCTCTTTAGCCTTTAATATTGTTTCGCCTTGGTCTACCTTCACTCAACCACGGTCCTTTGTAGAGAATTTAGTGTGGGAGTATATATGAGAGTAGAAGTGATGGGAATAAGGAAAGATTCACAATTCTAGCTTACAATCATCAGAAGCGTATGATTGATCATCACCTTTTCGATGATAATTTTGAAAAAAAAATATTAAAGCATTATGGGACTACCTAATTATATGGCTGCCGCAATGGGCATGTTGTAAATATGATTTTGGACTTCGATTCACATCGTTTCATAATGTTTATTCACTATATCTGACTTTAGTGGTATTGATTGTCATATCATGTACGAGTATGACTGGATATAATTAATGAGTCATGTTAAATGCCCTAAGGCCCCCGGAGGGTCTATAATGGTTTTGACTTCCTTCCTCTATTGCTCGTGCTTTACCATCTTTTCTTAACTCGCATTGCAGCCAAAAATGACCTACACAGAATAACAAACGCTATACTTCACTTATTCTGAACACAACCATAACTTTGACATAACAGTCAACAGTCCAACTAAGTCATGACTACCAGTCCTGTTAACTCTGGTTCCTCACCCCCTACTATCACAACTTTCATCAAACCATGTTTTTTCCCTTCAAATCGTCGCGCCGAAACGCCAGGGAAGGTATACCCACTTAGACGATTAGATAAAGGCTTCCCTTCCGGCTCTGATGTTAAATCCGACGTTGAATCCAAATCTGGTCCCCAACAGGAAGTACAAAATGAGCTTCTGACAATCTCTTCGGACACCCCTTCCACTCTCAAACCCACACCTGATTTGTCTCACTATATCCTAGCTTGGAGCCTTCTTCTACGATATTATACCGGTCAAGGTTCCGCAACATTTGGTCTTACTGATGGTAGTACTCCCGTGACGTTTCCGATAGCGCTCCATGGTGATCAGTCTGTGAGAAATGGTCTGATAGCAATAAGATGTATTCGTGATGATATCACGAGAGACCCCAGTTTTCTTGAGGACGCACCTGTTGATAAGCTACCATATAATACCGAGATTCTAATCACGGACAAGTCGGAGAACCCGCAGTCGATTGATCATGATTGCAAGTCCTCCGAAGAAAATGTATGGTAAATCCTTTCCAGACAAAATTAAAACCCACTTACTCATACATCACTAGATACTATTTAGACTCACAGTGGGTCTGAAATCCCAAACAGCAGCACTCCTATATCACCCACAAAGAATTAATCTTGATCGAGCTGAAGAAGTGGCTGCCAAGATTGTTGTTCTTATCCAAGAAATTATCACCAAGCCCGATGCCAAATTAAAAAAGCTCAGCATTTATAGCCCGGATGAACTGAACATTTACAGAAACAAACAAAGACCGGTAGCTCTGGTTAAGGGGATCCTCATCCATGAACAAATTTTAAAGTTTTCCCTTGAGGATACGGATTCTACACATCCGGCGTTGATTACTAGTCAGCGTATGATCATGTACGGGCAGCTTGAGGGCCTCTCGAAACGTCTCGCAGCTCATCTCATCAAATCTGGCATGCTCCCACACAGCATTGTTCCCATATGCGCAGAAAAGTCGATATGGGTACCCATTGCCATCCTAGCGATCTTGAGAGCAGGGGCAGCTTTTGTACTTTTGGATCCGTTGTCGCATTCGAAAGAGCGACTCAAGAGGATCATTCTATCTCTGAACTCGAAAGTGCTTATCCAATCTAGCGAAACTCCGAATTTCTCACTCCCGGATACTACGCTGGTAAACCTTGACGATAGAATACTGACCTTGGAATCCGGATGTATCCCGGACGAATATACCTGTTCCTCTAATCTTGCGTGCATATTTTTTACGTCACGCGGTATAATCGAGCCAGAGGGTGCCGAGTTTTCTCATACAGCAATAACATCCAGTTTGCTCGAAAAAAACTGGAATGGTCTTCCATATGCAGATTGGGAGAGTATTCTACAGTTTTCTTCATACGCTTTGGAGAGATCCCTTTTCGAAATTTTCTGGCCCTTGCTGCACGGAGGTGCCATTTGTGTCCCGTCAGATGATGAACGGCTAAACGATTTAAGAGATGCCATTTGCAGACTCCAACCTACACATATATCGTTGCCCCTTACAATTGCAAGGCAGCTTCCTCGTAGTGAGGTGTCTGGTGTTAGGACTCTCCTCCTTGACAGCGACTTGATACCGGCAGACATTATCAAAGAATGGTTCAACTGGCGGAGTCAATATGAGATTGGTGTTGCACATGTGCATAGCTATCCTCAGTGCCCAGTATTGTTTACCTCGTACGCAAATTCACGCAGTGACGATCCTCCGGTGCAAAGCCATTCCCATAATGAAGTGCTTTGGATAGTCAATCGAGATGATCACAACCTTCTGGTACCACGTGGAATAACAGGGGAGGTTTTAGTAGGCGGACCCTCGATTGCTGGCTTCAGATATTACAAAAACGAAAACAAGACTAAACAAGCATGCATAGACGAGCCATCTTGCTTTCCACTGAAATCGAATCGAAAAAGACTTCTTGACATTCAAATCGAATATCAAGATAGACGACTATACAAAACGGGACAGCTAGCATATTCTAGCCTCACCCAAGAAGGAACAATAGTGTTCGCCGGGAGCAAGAATAATCATGTCAAGGTAGGTAAAACGTCCCGTTGATCTCTTCGCTTACATTGTGCTAATTACCGGTATCAACAGTTCCACTGACACACATTAAATCTCGAAGAAATCGAACAGCATATTCTTCAGATCATTGACAAATTCTCTAGCATTGTAGTTGTCATCACCAACCAAGGGGATGACAATAATGGTGGCCAGCTTGTAGCTTTTGTCACACTTAAGGAAGAATATAAACATATTCCAATTCGTCTAGGTTCATCTGAGTTCAAGTCCATCCGAGCAAAGGTTGCTCTGGATCTCTCCAATCATATGCGCCCATCCTTTTATCGGCCTTTGAAACTCATCCCAAGAACTCAATCTGGGGAGATCAACAGAGTTGTACTAAAAGCTTTGGGCGAATATAGGGCCATTCAAGAAATTATGGCATACATGAGGGGACTACCGCCGAAAGAAAGTTCAGACGAGGAAACTCTGCTGGGCTCGGTATGGAACTCAGTCTTGGAATTACAAGAATGCAACATCCTTCCTGATACCGATTTCTTCATGTTGGGAGGCGATTCCTTCAAAGCAATGAAACTCGTTGGCATTCTGCGGGAAAAGGGATATCGAATCGGGTATGCCGAAATACTGGAGCATTCTAAGCTATCGGATATGGCACATATCATGCAACCGTATGTTCCTACAACTTTTAGTCTTGTGAAGTATCCAAGGCCAAGGGTTATGAAGAAAATTTTGAAGGATTACAATCTAGATGAGGGTGATATTGAAGACCTCTATGCAAGTACATCTGAGCAAGAAACAATGCTCAGAGCCACCTTATTAAACTTTCGCGCAATGATCGGAGTCTTTACTTTTCGAATCGAGCCCGAGCTTGATCTTGACAAGTTCCGCAAGGCGTGGAGATGGTTCATCAGGCATTGCCAATTCTCAGAACGAGACTAGTCGAGTATATGGGCGCCACTATTCAGGTTGTGTTCAAGGAAGACATGACTTGGAAAGAGTTGCATCGGGAATGTGATAACGACGAACTCTTGAAAGTCGACTTGGGAATGCCTTTGACCGAGTACGAAGTTTTCAATGAGCCGTCTGGTGTTCGAAAGTTTCGGTGGAGCATTCATCACGCGTTGTTCGATGATCAATCATTGATTTTGATCTGGAAAGCCGTACAAGATGTCTATAACTATGGCGAGATACGCAGACCATTATCTCCACACAATATCTTTGCGAAATATTGTCTAGACCGCAACGACAATAGACTATTGGAAGAGCTATTCTGGTCAAGTAAAGCAGATTACACGGTGCCCAGACTGTTCAAAAGGAAAGATAGCTCCACCTCTTGTCTCACGAATTAAATTCAATTCGAAAGCTCGCTAATATGGGAATGGCCAGCGATCACAACCGGAATTTTCAGCAGAACAGCCATTATCCAGGCAGCTTGGTCGCTTGTGCTTGCAGCGCTTGAAGACACTACTACAGACATCGTATGCAGAATGACAGATCCATGTCGAGACAATCACCGATTCCACCTTCCTTCGATTCACCAGATTGTAGGACCGACGATGACTACATTTCCCGTAAAGTTTGTCTTCCGGAAATGGAATATCAAGGAGCATCTATATCAAATCCACGAGGCGGATGTCGAGAGGCGCTCCCACCAGTTTACAATATTCAAGCATGTCATTAAACGTGATGACTACTTTGACTTGCCACATATCATTATCGACACAGAACAGAGGAAGGAAGAGGTCTTCCCGGGTCTCACAAAGATTGATACTTTAGGATGGCAGTCTAGCCGATCACCCTTGTCCGTGCGTTGCATTGCCACAGATGATAAAATCAATATACGAATGAGGTGGGATATTGCACTGATGAGAAAGCCATTAGCATCAACTGTGCCGCAAATGTTGTTCAAGGGTATCTCTGATATATTGGAAGTGATCGATAGTGATACTGAGCCGAAACCAAACGTTTATAGTATTATCAAAGGCTTGCAGGAGTTCCAATCAGAACTCATGAAGAAGTATTATTAGCTGGTATATAATTACCATACTGTAGGTATAGAATAATCGATGCTTTTGAACAATAGTACTCTGCGGATCATCACATACCCTTCGCGTAGTCATGAAATCTGGTGAAGTATGCTACAACAGGAATGCTTCCAACAAGTCTATACAATACGGTCAATATACACCCCTCCGAATCCTTACTTCTGCAACTAAAGGGGCGAAGCTGTGCGATCACGAGTATGAAATACTCGTATTATTCAAATATGATGCATTTACACCACAATAACGAATACGATCAACGTAATATCTGTAATTTTCTTCTCCACATGAGGGAATTCACCTTAACCTCTGACTTAAGCTACCCCTGAATTCTTTCCTCTTTTTACCATCACTTGACTCAGAACTTTGACTCACACTATGAGTCCCCAAATTAGCATTTGACAAGACAAGGACGCACATAAAGTTCTCGAGTCCGTACCCTTTTCCACCAAACTTCTCCAGAACTGACAAGAAAACGAAATCTTACTTACAGCACCACGCTTTTGATTTCCCACAGCACAGCACAGTTCGTTCAGAGGATACTATTTAACCATGTCAAAGCCATATAATCCAAATACATGCTTCTTCCCAAATCGACCGACCTTATCCCAACACCCAGGGGCAGAAAACCTCGTCCCAAAATATGAAAGCATGAATGTGAGCCTTCCCCATCGGCCCGTAGAAGAGCTCTCCGACGCCATACTCGCTGCCTGGCCTCTCATACTCCGATACTATGTCGGTCAGAATTCAGTCTTTTATCGCAGGAGTACCAGCAAGTTTGCTGGGCAAGCTTCAGGAAACAACGTCAGGTTTTGTTTTGTGGAGCTGAAAAACGATTCATACATCAAAGATATCGAACGGATGTCGAGGTTTAAGTTTGAGAAGGGCCGCTGGCTAGTTTACAATACAGAGGTGGCTACCATGTCAAATCAAGATCAACTAAAAAAGATGTGTGAAGATTTCGACCCACAAGTAAGTTAGTTGTACCCTATCTGATTTCAGTAATGAAACTAAGAGATAACACCGTAGATCGTTTTGAAACTCGTCATTATGCCAGATTCCAGGTTGTGCCTCCTGTGGGATAGTAAGGAAATAACCCGGATGCGCGCCCGACTAATCGCCGAAGATATTGAAGTCTTCTTGTCAGAATATGATACGACAATGACAGTTCAAGAACTCAAACTTCACAACCGATACATGCCAGTCAAGTACTGGGTCTCACCTAAATCAGTCACTGCGAGTGAGCCACATCTCTATAGCCATTCTTGGGGTGCTGAAAGCTGGCGCGGCGTTTGCATTGCTGGACGCTACGCAGCCAGATAAACGCGTGGCTGAAAAACTGAGATATGTAGAAGCAAGCGTACTCGTTAGATGTCTGAGGTCAGATAATGAGCAACTTCAACTTCAATTTTCGATCCAAGATTGTTCGAATATCAAGACCATTGAGCTTGGTGATTGGATCATAAGTTCCGAGCCAGAAGCTGAACTCGATGTTCCTATTGGGTTGAAACATCTCGCATACCTAATTTTCACATCGGATAAGACGGGACAGTTGAAGGGAGTCATGGTTTCGCACCATGCTATGGCCATGAGGGCTACGCTTCATCAACTCCAAGGTGGAGGACTAGGCTTGAGTGATTCTTCGCGAGTTCTGCAGGCCTCTCCTTACGAATCCGATGTTTGTCTTTTAGAAATCTTTGCCACCCTGGTTTATGGAGGGTGTGTCTGTGTTCCATCAGAAGAGGAGTTTGTGAACGACTTACCAGATATCATCCGCAGACTGAGTGTCAATTACTTACCCCTCACATTGCCAGCCGCGAGACTCGTTCTGCCAAGCGAAGTCCCAGGTGTAAAATCCGTACTCTTCAGTGTTAGCAGCGATACATCTTTGTTTGATGTGATCCGTGAGTGGACAGGGAAGGTTGAGCTGTTTCAGATATATGGTACCTCCGAATGCTCAGTAGCTTGTGCCGCCAGCAACGGTCTCCATGATGGGAAAATAGACATCGAGGATGACATAGCGCGACTCTGGATCGTGCACAAAGACGATTATAACATACTTGTTCCTCCCAACACATTCGGGGAGTTGCTAGTCGAGGGTCCGCTTTTGGCAATGGAATATTACAAAGACGAAGATAAAACTGCCGAAGCATTCATTGACATTCCAGCTGGCTGGCCAAGGCCAAAGCTCAGAGAAGGTGCTAATAACAATCCCAGAAGATTATACAGAACGGATAACTTAGCGTGTGTGTTCCGATTACGCGACCAAACTCAGTCTTATATAGAGCTCATTAGTAGAAAAGACGAACAGATAGAGGTAAAATACCTTTTTGTCTCCCGGTATCGCTCATTTGACTAATAATCAACAGCTCCACGGACAACGTCTGGAGCCTGGCTATATAGAACATCATATCCGGGAAGAGATCAGCCACGCAAACAGCTGCTATTCGTTCTCAAATGTGATAGTTGATGTTATACACCGGAAATGTGACAGCAGTTCACACCAACTTGCGGCGTTCATCGTGGTAAACCGAAAAAGACGTACGAGTAAATACATTGAAGATTACGGTACAACAAACTTTAGCCTTCGGTGTATTCGTAAAGCATTATGCTCACGTCTGCCCGACCACATGCGCCCGTCGATTTACATGACTTTTGCTGCTGGCGAAATTCTCAGAAAACCATCGGGTCAAGTACACCGGGCCAAGTTGCGACAGCTGGGAAAAAGCTGCGCAGAATCTGTGGTGACTAGTCAAATGGATATTAAAAATGCATTGACAAACCAATATGGAGAATATACTATTAGCATTTGGTCTGGATCACCACACACCGAAAACCAACGCTTGCTCGTCCCCATGTGTTCATTACTTTTAAACATCCCACTAGGTTTTATCCGTGGTAGATGGGACTTCTATGCGGCAGGGGGTGATTTCATCAAAGCTGCACAACTTATCGCAGGGCTTCGACGCGCCGGTTTCCGCATCAAACTTTCTGAAACCAGAACAATCCAGTCTTGTTTGAAATGGCGAAGACAATGAGAACTTGTGGCAGTCATGAGGACATTCCCGAGCCTTTCAGCTTGCTCATGGGTTCGAAATCGGATATCATGAAGATTGTTTTGGCCCAGTGTGGTGTGATGGAGGACAAAGTCGAGGATATCTATCCAAGTACACCTGAGCAAGATAGATTATTGAGAGAGACAATACTCACACCAAACCTGAGGATTAGAGTAACCGATTACTCCCTTCCGGAAACCATCGATCTAGAAAAATTTCGTCTAGCTTGGGACACTGTTATCCTGAATACGCCAATATTGAAAACAAGGCTTGTGGATATTGGCAATGGTAAATCTGTGCAAGTCGTTATCAAGGATAACACCTCATGGAGGGCATTGCATGATTCGGAGCATGTGCACCCTCTGAATATTTCCCACCGCCGACCCGCACACGAATGCGAAGGCTTTACCGTCGGTTTCGGGACAAATTTGGCCATGTATGAAATCGGAAACTGGATTAACTCGCCTGATACAAATGTCTTCCGTTGGACTATACACCAAGCGCTTTGTGACGACCATTCACGAGCGTTGATTTGGAAAGTTGTCAATGAAATATACCACGTTGGCAAAATCCTAACGCCTACCAGCCCAATGAAAATCTTTATCAAACATTGTGAACGCCTAACTTACGAGGATGAAGATCAAGAATGGATTCGGGATTGAGCAGGCGCACCAGCTTTGAAGGCGCCATTGCGTTTGTCCCCGTATGATGTATACGAGCACGAACGCAAGAAGACCGGGGCATACACATCGACGATGTCTACCACTAGAAGAAGTGCCCTCGTTCAAGCTGCATTTGCAATAGCACTTTCAATAACCACAAGCGTTACAGACGTGGTATTTAGATTTACGTCTGATGGTCGCGATACCCCTCTGCAGGCAATAGAACGAATTGTCGGTCCAACAATTGCATTAGTACCAGTAAGGGTTATAATACGTCCTCAAGAACCCGTCAAGGCTCTCCTCGACTTCATAGAGCAAACTTCGGTCGAGAGAAGTTCACGTCAGCATCGAGGATTTGAGACAGTACGAAAGCTCAATGGTTCAATTGGAGCGGCGTGTAGTATTGCAAGTTCACACTTGGTGTTTGACAAAACACTTTGGAATGGCAAACATGAAGATAATCGTGTCAAACAATTCCATGGTATCTATGAGGATAACCGATGTCTTTGCAGCGGCACTTATTATGCTCCTGGCTATATTGAACCCTTGTCCCTCCCTTTATATTGCAATATCGTGACAAGAGGCTTCGAATATGCCATACTCCAAGACCATCCCTTGGACCCTAAGTATTCACAGTTCGGGTTATATCTAGAGAGAACTCTCCGTGAGCTCACACAAAGTGTCGAGGATGGTGGAGATGGAGGGAAGTTGTCAGATTTAATACTGAGGTGTCATTCGCCAGAAGAATTGGAAAGACGTGCATACCTAATCCCAACTATTAGATTTTAGTCGAAAATATTCTATACCGTGGCGATGCAGGCGTGGGTGAAAGTCACAAAGGCCCAGTACATAGTCTTTGGTCACGAAGTTAGTTGAGCCAAAGCCAATAAAGCGTTGACGTTAATAAGCTTTGTCCATGTTGCCCTTGTGACCAGGTTTTCCATGCGGAAAATCATATTCGAAGCAGAAGAAATTTACTCACCAGTTCACCCCACGTCACAAGTTCCTCCTTAAAGCCAATATTTCGCTCAACTTTACCACTCCTTTTCCACCCCACCCCGCAACTCCACCCTCCACCTCCGGCCTAACCTGAACATACCATCCCCAAGCCCTCCTATCTAATTCATCCTTCCCAATATGGTCTACCCAACTTTCAAGCAATAAGTCTAGTGCTCCCATTAGCAATCCCAGATTCTCCTCTTTCTCTTCAGCTACCACTTTCGCAGTTTTCTTCTTCTTACTCTTTCCCTCTCCCTCCCCGCTTGCATCCCCAGGAGGCGAAGCAAAAGCATTCAAAACATATCTTCTCGCTCCCTCTGGTCTATGAATAGGCATAATACCTCCCCCACTCGATGAACTCATAGCTTCAATATCCAATCCCCATAATTGCTCTCCTCCTCCGATATTCCCTGTAACTCTAAGGCGTTGTGATAATGCATCGTTAGAAACTTGTGTCATGATCCGCCAGCGGTCAGGTCCTAACATAACTCCTCCATACCATCTCGAGACCACAAGTAGAACCCCGACTATATTATTACTTTGAAGTACTCCCAGTATATGCTTGCCACCACCTGATTCACCATCGTCCTCACAATGTTCAATGATTCCATGATTACCTTGAATACGGAGAGCTGTAATATTATGGCTTGCATCCGCGATGGAGGGTTCCTTGAGGAGAGTTTGGAGAGAAGTACGAGCTTGACCGGGTGAAGATACAGATATCGAGCGGGCGATAAACGTTGAGGATTTAGATGTGAAGGGTGTGGAAACGGCCCATTCATTGTCTGATCCGTTCTTGATCGCAATGTTATCCTCTTCCTCCTTCACTCCACTCTCCACTTTGCTTTCCACCGAATCACTACCATAACCACCCCTCTTTAAAACCCCCACCTCCCTCCCCATAATTTTTACCTTCGGCCATCCCTTCCCTTCATCCTCATCCTTCCCTTTTCCTTTCAGCCCCAAGCTCTCCGCCTTACTTTTGCTATTCGCACTAATTAGTGCCTGTGCCAAACTCAACCTCCCACTTAACCCTTGTCCCGGCATCGTATACTTCAAAAGCTGCAACGTCCATACTAACACCAAAGGTGCTCTGTTCGTATAAATCGTGGTCTTTTCTATCCGCTCTTCGTCTCTCACTCCCTCCGGGAGCTGCAAGCTTTTCTCTAACTCCTCCTCGGTTTGCTCAACCGGTAAGGAATACGCCGATTCGAATGTTTTGACGCGTTTCGCTCCTCCTTTACCCGCGTCATCTGTCTCGCTCGCGGATCGTTTGCCTGTTGTTTTCCCGGCATTTTTACAAGCAGTGACTAGAGATTTGGCGACTTTTTCGTCAATAGAAAGTGCGGATTGGAGGGTATCAAGAGGCGTAGAGGCGATGGTTGAGATGGAGGGTGTTATGGACGCGGTTTGTAGAGCTTTCACGCGTTGCATTGCTGTGAGTATGGGAATTTTGTTCCGGCCAGTTGTGAAGAGGCGGAGAAGGTCTTGCATCTCGGTCTGGGAGGTCATGGTAGGCAGCGTTATGTGGTGCGGTATGAAATTAGAGATTAGGATCTCAATTGCTGTGCGACAGGGTGAGATTATCCAGAGGGTGTTATCCCAAATTATGCTTTTTGATAGTTTCTACACCTAACCTGTCAGATTTTTATTACCTCGTGAATTTCTGAACTTTAGGTGACTGTTTGAAGTGGCATATAAGAGAGATGATGGATTGCGCCGGCGAGTTCTTATCTTTCGAATTATTTCAGTTTAACGTCGAAGAAATTGAGCTCACCGGGGACAGACAAGGGTCACCGGGAGCCGACGTCATTTCATCACCCCAGCAATCTTAAGTAAACTTCACCCGCCAACCTCACAACGGAACGCGCTTTCACTCCACGCTCCCGTCCAAAGATTCACTCTCATACTCTCATATTACTTATCATAAACAATGTAATGCAACAGCCAAATCACACAACACAATGGTAATTACTCCCACACTCATCACTATACACCAGTTTCCGTCCCAGATACTTGATACATTCCTCTTCATCTCGAGATGTAGCTAACCACGCATCCGCAAATAGAATACTATAATTCGCAAGCCAATTGCGATTGCGATATCAAAACCCGCGCGTAAAACATATCTGAATACTATATTATTCCTATCGACGTCGCTTGTGTTGTTTGGGTTTGCGGTGGTAGCTTATGCGGTGTTTTATTGGAGTTGGGTGCCGGCGGTTGGGGTGGAGAGGAGGGTATGGTTACAATTTGCGTGCGTATATCATTTTATCTGAGAGTTTCTAATGAGTATTCCGGATTACGGGCTGTTAGTTTGAGGAGAGGGGGAATGAGATGTGCTAATAAGTTCATAAACGCAGACCAGGCCAGCATCCCCACGGCATAGTCCCTCTCGACAATTCCCTCGTAACACGCCAAGAATACGATATTCAACTCGAAATACATATGCCACGTTCTCCACCGAATTTGAAAGCCGGAAATTTCATGGTCCATGTGAATTTTCTTGGACCTACTTATAAAAACCCTAGCTCGATACTAGGCATCGAACATCTACTACCTCTCTCGAGAATCACTAGGAATGAAGACGTACTCTTTTCAACTCGGCGACCTACGATTCTTACATATGAGAGTGAGTTAGTATCTGGATTAGGGAAGCTGGTCAAGGCACCGTTGTATGTAATTGGATGGAAGAGAGAGGATGAGAGAATTACGGTAGATATGGCGGAAGGTGTCAGTTTTCCGAGAGGAAATAAGAATGTGCCGAGCGCAGTAGAAGTGGTGATTGAGAAAGATTCGGGGGAAGTACAAATTTATGGATGCAGAATAATTATGAGAGCTAGATTAAGCGGATTGAGGTGGTGGATGTGGAATTGGAGAATTGGAAGTGCGATTGTAGGAATTGGCGCGTTCTGGGGAGCGGAGATGTTGGGTTGTATTATCGGATGGGCAATCTTAAAGTTGTGTTTTGGGGGGATGAAGGAGAAAGGGGTGGAGAAGGGGAAGCAGATCGAAAAGAGTGAGGATATTGTCAAGCAAGAGGCAACGGATGATGAACCGGACCTCTCAGATACTCCGAGAACGTTCCCAACGGTGGGAAGACAGATGCCATTGGTATATCCACCGATGGGTATCAAGAGGGAAGAAGATGAAGAAGACAAGAATTTGGAAAAAGCGGTGATTCTGCCGCTTGGAGGGGATGCAGATGATGAGGATGACGAGGGGGAAGGTAGCTGGCAAGCTAGTAGAAGAAGTGATTCTGGCATGGGTACGAGTTTTAGTGAAGGTGGCGCAGGAAGGATGGGACGAGTATCTAGGAGAAGTCGAGGTGCTCCGGCGAATGGAATGTAAGATTGATCAACGAGATAGAATTTTTGGGATGGAATTGATGGAAAACGGGAATACCCTGATTTGTAGGTTCCAGTGATTGGGAGGGGCCAGGAGTTCGGAAAGATTCGAAAGTTAGATCTATTTATGGACCTTGATTTGTCCTAATTCGAGGTATTGCAAAAGAAATCCACATTTCTTGGCGGTTCAAATCTGGCTATATAATGACCGACACCTTTCTACTTTCACTGTCTAAGTAGACAAAGCAGTAATCATCGAACGAGAGATCATGGACAACACTTCCCGCGAAGCTGTACCGTATCTAAGTTCAAAATCTGAGGTTAACCTGACATTCAGTATATTCCTCCTCCAAATCAAGGATCCGTTCTTTAGCGAGAAGATTTAAGGCTGACAGTGAAGCACTATTGTTTGTCATTCAGATGATCCTTCTTCTCTGAAGACAAGAGAATAGTATCGACAACAAAATATCATGTTTATGGCCTAGTCTTGAGCTTCGTTCGTGCAGGAAATGAGGTGACACAATCTTTGGATCTGTATTCGACAGGCCATGAACGACCTATACATTGGGTATTGATTGTAGTATTGGGGAAATAGAAGGATTTTTGGGGTGTTTATATACTGTTTCATTTCTCCCATTACTGCGAAATTAGCTAATAGCTAATAGGTTTAAGTTTATATTGTTTTTACTGTATCACCTCGAATAATTTGTTTACCCTTCACAAAGAAAAAGCTATAGTATAAAAGGATGTATCGACTCGAAATCTGAAAGTATAACACGTGGAGTCAATGAGAAAGGCCTGTAAGATAGGTCTGGAATGTCTTGGGACTGTCAGTTTGGTTCTGAAAGCTTTGTGATGATAGGCTTGATATTTAAGAAAGTGAGAATGCGGTGTGTGGGATTAGGGGGAGTTTGCAGGGGTAGAAATGATAGAACATGAAAATGAATAGAAGTTAGGTATTGATGACAGTGAGTAAACAATCCTACTAATCCTACTGCTGTTTGATCAGTGAATTGGCCAGAAATCAGAACTCTGCGAATAATGACCCTCGAGACTTACAGTCTGGGTATATAGAAGTACCATTGACTGAATTTACCGTCGAGCTTCAAAATCACGAGTCTCATGTGCGTCCAGGTCGTGTTTTCTGAATCTGCTTTACTTTTGAAAAGAGAATTGTTGTGGGTGCTTTTATACCTCAGAAGATGGCAAATGAGAGGCTGAGTCCAGTCCATGAGGCTCGTGGGGAACCTCAATGATTGGCTGGCTTGTCCGCCTTATTACCTTGGAAATCACTGCGGATATAAGGGGTTGAGTTCCTTATTCTGGTTTCGGGTTCGATATTAGAGCTTAGATGGAAGGTTAAGTACTAGGTACAAAACCTCTTAAGACACTAATAGATGACCTCAAAGATAGAAGTGCTCGGATATCATGCGGGAAAGCCCTACCCGAAAGCTAAATTGTGGGAGTGGAAAGAATTTCCGTTGATACAGGAGGGGAAGAAAGGGAGGCTGCGGTTTCAGAGTGAGAATAGATCAAAAGGCGATGGCGTGAAAGAATCCCGACAGTGGGGAATAGAGCGGTGGTGACAGTGATGGCAAGATTAGTTGACAAGATTAGTCGACAACAGTAATGAGAAGAAATGCTAGTACTGGACCTATCATGGAAAATGGGACAATAATCAATACTACTATTCGTATATTCTTGAAATATATCTACATAAATACATATAAGCGTGAGCCATCGACAAATAGGTTTGCCCCTGTCTCTTTAAATCCGATTCTTACTTGAGTTTACCTCTGAAACATAAAATTCTCAGCACTTTTATACTATACTCCACAAAAGTTTAAACGCACGTCATTGCTATACTGCGATGCAGCTTCCAAGCTAAGCATAAGTTCACTAGTCAGTGAATTACTCCCAGACTGCTCTCTCTATCATTACACGCACATTTGGGATTCCCCTGAACAAGTCACACATATTATTTCCGCTCTCCGCTATAAAAATATCGTATGAGCGATTGCTTACCCCCTCATATATTCTTGAGTAAATAGTTGGTACTTTCTTTCCGTATTCTCTCTCTGCAGCTGTCGCGCATAAATTCTATGAACAGAAGGAACTCCGATAAGGGTGCTGAATGTAGATGGAAACCGGTGGTCTTACACAATAAGAGGGATTATTGGTTATCATGGGCGTTGATATTGATGTGGTGTAACTAAATGACAGCAAGGCCCCCCAGAATAAAGAAACGATCATAATTTCATTCTCTAAGATTGGAGGACTCGTATTGACGGAAAGTTGGAGAGCGATGTAATACGGATGTGCAATATATATAGGTGCCACAGATCTCCGCATTCATTACTCATTCGTCATGAATGTCATCAATCAAGAAAATCTTAGTAGCTATAAGCTCTGCTCTCTCAACATTTAAAGAGCCCGGAGTGACTCTAGCCTCGATGACTGGCACTGTTTATGGTCATTCAGATACCTAGCATGCGAAAAAGTCAAAACTCAAAAAGTTTAACCACTTCGAGGGCTTTGTCATTAAACAAAGATTATGAAAGAAACAGCGGTACCAAAATAACAAAAATTGAAAACATATTACTTCAATAACGACGAAGCATATAAAATGACAATTGAACACCGAGACACTAAAGCATCCCATCAGGGAGAATGATAGCAGAAATCTTTTGCCTTAACTACTCGAGTAGTGCACATCATGCACCAGTTTCGGAAGGTCGTCCAAAGTCATGATTCGCGCTTAACTGGTTCATATGGGGACTTTTTTGAGAGAGGAACTGAAAGACATGACCTGTTGCTTTTATACAATAATTTAAGATTCTGCTTCTCTCCACTGGTCTACTTACCCACGACCTGCGGGGCTTGTTTCTGGCACCTATTTCTTGAGTTTTAAGTCTAAGGAGGTGTGAGTAAATTCATGGCAGTGAATTAGATGGGATTCACATATATCATATATAAATATCAGTAAACGATGGAAATGGATATGATTTAGAAGGCACTACTTGCGGGAAGATCACAGCTTCGCGGGTATTGTGTATCGCGCACAAAGAGGTACTGTATGATAGAATGAGAAATTTGACTTCATCTCGACTTTAATTTCAGTCCGAGTACTTCCAGCATCCAAACTGCAAGTGAACAAATAAATGGGAGACAGACACTTGGCAACAATCATTTTAAACGACAATACAAATGGAAAGTAAACCAACAATAATGCGTCACTCTTTCAATTTCCAATTTCCATTTTTCGACGTTCTTACAACATTTGCATATTCCAAACATTATATTATCCGTACCAAGGCGAGTAAAAACGCGTTTCCAAAAACGAATATCGAGAGCCTTGATAGCTTCCTGCCAAGGGTGTAGCAAACACATAGGTCTGGGTCAGTCAAGCTCGGCTTCACTCTTACATGAACGTCAACTTTTATCTTTCATTTTCTTTTACAGAAAAGAAATCTCAAGCTTCTCTTTCTTTCTATAGAGATGAGAACATATCATCACTCATTGCGCCCTGCTGAGCTCTTAAATTTGAATATTTAACTTTAGATATCGGTACTAGACTTTAGAATGAGGATGATAGGATGGTCTTTAGAATCGCACTCTTGGAATAGAAGTCTAGCTTATATCTATATAGAGGGTTGAGAAAGTGAGGTAAAAGTGGAGTATACGGATGGATAGGGTGGATCTGGCAAAGGCATGATGTATGATATGAATATTGGGTTGCAGCGGAGTGAATCTCGAATGCATTGCACTTTACTCAGTATTGCTTCTCTTAAAATTTAAATACCTACTAACCCATGGTTTAAGGCCACGTCATCAGTATTATCCCTCCTTTAAACTTAAGTAGCTAGAGACTTATAAAGTCTCAGATATATACTCAAAAGTTTATTAATTGCTTCAGTACCTTGTGTTAAAAAACATAACGACAGTTCGTAATCCTCTATATCTCAAGTGAATTCCCACTCCACTCCATACGGTTATCATAATCACAATTTACGGGCTTAACGTGGGGTGAAATACCCCACGCTAAAGTCATACTCAATAACTTGCCCCTATAATTTAGCGAGAAGCCGCAAGTGATCTTAATGAGGCAATGAGTGCAGGCATGACATCCCAAAAGACTAACGCGGCCATGAAACGTACCAGTGTACGTGGTAATTGTAAGCGCAGATATCTATTCCAAAATATCCACATACTCGTAGAGGATTTCTACCTTGAGGATTTCCATGCTAGAATCATAGCACTACTACTCGAGTAGATATAGAGCGATCATGTTCAATAACTAAGACGTATCATCTTGTGAGTATATATTCGAACCAGCTAACTTGATCGGTGTAGACGTGTTTTCACACGTCTCTCATAGGGGTGCCTAGAAATTACCAAACAATCCCTATATTTCAGAAGCTCGAAATTGTGCCCTCTCCTAAGATTGCCTTGGTAAAGAATACAAAGAGAAGAATACCGATCGAAACAATCAACCGGCATTAGCAAGAGAACGCTAACACCTTCACCAGAGTATTGTCTCAAGACATTCACAAAGTCTCTCGATCCGACGCAGCCCCAAACTCCATTGGATCACAGATATTCTTCTACTCGAGTACTCAAATACAACATCAGCCGTTTCACCGCTATGCCTTGACTAGTGGAAGATCTCGGTATTATATTACATATAATATTTGATAAAGTAGACATACTATACCACAGCACAATCAAAATCAGAACATATACATACAAATCAGAAATTAAAGGTACTACCCTCAAACAAACCTCAGCATACAAGTCTTATCAATCCTAGCATCAAAAATCAAACAGACATTTTTAGATTCCTTCAGAACCTCAAAGACAAAGTCACAAGCAATCTCGAGGATAAGTCTTAAAGGATTAACCCTAAGCAATGTCGTCTGCACTTGCCGACGTCTCATACTTGAAAGATACTGCATCTGCATCATTGTACTTATTTAAAAATGATGGTCGATGAGTAAATATGGCACTGGCAACCCGTAAAATTGTTGGCTTTGCCGATTCCAAAGGAATACACAAGTGGTTTTCAGGGCGGTAATGGCTTTGGTATAGATTGCCATGTCTAAAACACCAGCATATTTACAATGCTTATCAGACTATCCCTAGAGTTGAGATGATATTCCCTTGTTTGTGTGAAAATAAATCTCCATGATTATCCGTTTCAACAGTTGAAAGACTCCCATCCTGTATCTCCGCTCCGAAACGCCGGTCCAATGCTGTATTCGTACAGATGATATAATAGCCACCTCGTTGGCCCCTGGTGGTTCATTCGTTTGTCCTCCTATCGCTTCAAATAGTCGTAACAACCAACCTCACCACCTCAACTCATTCTTGTGTTCCTTCGCATCCCCGCCCTCTTCCTTTTCCCCATCCTTCTTCTCCACGTCTTTCGACTGCGATACCTCCTCCGCAAATCCCAAATTCTTGAATTCATCCTTCGCCATCAAATTTCTGCGGCACACCAAATCCATTAGTCCTCATTCTCTAGGCCCCGATCGCACTGTCGGCCCCAATGCCGACTTCGAATTGAATGAACAAATGAAATAGGAACCCACCTATCCATCCGACACGACAAATACGATTTCGCCAAATCCCTACATTCCGGATCATTCATGCCTCGAACCTTCCTCATGCAACTGAGATAATTTTGCATAACCGATTTGCATTCGCCTGTCGTCGCATTATCGCATTAGTATGTCATTCTACCATTCCTTCAAATCCCCATGCCATTCCATCCTCCAGTTCCCATTTTGTTTCGCGCACTCGTGCAGTCGTGTTTAGGCAAAGAAGAGTAAATCATACCATCATGATCCAATGGAAAACTTCCTCTCTCTGGTCTATAATCGACCCACATATTAGCCTTCTCTTTTCCAAATACCTCCAAAGCCTCTTGATAAGGTAATTGACTTACGGAGAAGGTTTGTTATTGATCATACGCCCACCCGGGCTTCCAAACGAACTCATAGTTGTTGATTTATGTTTACCTCGAAATGATCTGATAATTTGGATGAACTTCTGGTCGGAGCGGACTTTCTATTGTTCCGATACTGCAAGGTTAAAGTTTACCCCGGATTATGACGTAAGCTTTGAGAGCTCGAAAGAGGGGTCGGTCGGTTGATGGATGTTGATTTGAGATAGAAAAAGCGTTCGATATAACATAATTCATCAAAAAGTTTCAATACTCTACTTCTAACTAAATTATCTATAAGTTCCTGTAGTTCATACAAACTACCGATACCGAAAATGCCAATGTAAGCTTTTCCCCTCAAAATTAACCCCTCTTCTAAACCAACAAACTAACATACACCCCAGGAAACTAGAAGGAAGTTGCCAATGCGGCCTCGTGGAATTCTCCCTAGAATCCCATACTCCCGCTCCATATCAAATTTGTGCATGTTCCATCTGTCGTAAATGTGGCGGATATGGGGGGTGTGTCAATCTCGGTGGTATCGCCTCTACTCTCCAAATTACCAAGGGAGAGAAATATATCAAGTAATCCTTCCTCTCTTTCCCATCCTTTCCATTAAGACCAACTAATAACTCCCAAGAAAATACACCGCGATCTCTGACCGGGGCAAACCGACCGCCAAGCAATGCACTTCTGAACGTAACTTTTGCAGCGAATGTGCATCGATGCTCTGGCTATGGGATAAAACATGGCCGGAATTAATTCATCCGTTTGCGAGTGCGATTGATACGGAATTACCGGTAGTGGAGGAAATGGTTTGTGTGAAGGGGGATAGTAAGCCGGAATATGTGAGGTGGCCTGAGGGGAAGAAGAAGGTGTATGAGGGGTATGGGGAGTTCAGTATTGAGGACTGGCATAAAGAAAATGGGGTGTGGGTTGAGTGAGGAGGAGGAGAAAAATTGGAAGATTGAAGGGTTGGGACTATGAGATGTTTGGGATGGCGAGGAGACATTGAGGTCATACCGTTCTGAGGATATTCAACCTGTGATGAAGAGGGTGTTCAGGCTGCTCAGGATATTTACAATGATATTTGTCGGGATATCCGTATAAAGAGTCGAAGCTGATTCAGGAACTGTGTATCTTGCATATAATTGGTAAAAAACAATATGAGGTTGTTGATAGTTTGAGGGAGGAAAGAGGGGAGGCAGGGGGGATCCCAAGTGACAACCTGAGAGGGAGAGCATTTAATGACTTCAATGCAACTTATTGCAATACTGCTAAATGACTCTCTACATAAAGTAAATAGTAGTTAAGCTTATCGTCAATCTCCGCATTTATTCCTATTACCAAAATAAAATATCAAGACTATTCATTTATCATCTCCCAATCCCCAAACCCACCATCCTCAACCCATCAAAACCACAACTTCACATTCGAAATAATATCATTAATCAACCACCCAATTAATCTATACCAAGCCTAGACATATAGATACATCTGCTTCTTTTGTGACCCTCTTAAGAATTTCCAAATATTTGGATCTTTTTTAATCCCCATTTCCCTCCATCGCAAAAGTAGTGTCCGATATGCTCAGATATGCAACAAAATCTTTCCTTCTCCAAAGCTTAATTTGGTGTTTACCAAAGATCGAAAACACAACTCTCTGTTTAAAAAAAAAGACATCAAATCAACCTCACATTTTTCCCTCTAATTTATTCAAGAAAAATAAACTTTAGCTTCTTTTCTATATGTCTAAAATGTCCCAAAATGTTTCCAGTATTTAAGAGCACCCGTGATATGATATTGAAAAAGAGGCAGTAAAAGGGTTTTCGAAAAGTGCGATATGCAACAAAACTATCAAAACTCAATTAGGTTTTTTCAAGCTGGAGTACCAAAACCATCTTTCATGCTTGAAATAGAATACCACTCCGATGCTACAATATTTATCTCTGGTCTCAAAGACATTATAAGATATGGCTATTTATCTATCTATGTATTAAGTTTCAAGAGTCCCCGGCTTTGTTGAAGGATTATCTGATATTTTTGAAAAGTAAGTACTTAATTGGGTGAAATGTGCAAACAACCACAATGACTTCAACTAGCTAGCTTCCTTTCGATTTTGAGTACGAAAACCATCAGTTTCATATTTGAAAGAGAATAACGCTCTGGCATCACTATATTCCTATTCGATTATTATACTATTATCAAGTTTTGCTATTTCTTTATCTACATATTAAGTTTCCAGAACTTCCGACTTCATTGAAAGATTATTTGGTATTTTTCAAAAAGTAGTACAAACATAACATTTCAAAAAGTGCGATGTGCAACAAAACCCTCATAAATTCATCAATTCTGAGCCCAAAAACCACAAATTCTGTATTTGAAATAGAATGCAGCCCCAATAATACAATATTTCTATTCAATTATTGAATGGCTATGAAGATATGTTATTTTTCTATCTATATATCAAGTCTTAAACATCTCCGACTGTATTGAAAGATTGTTTGATAGTAATGAAAAATAGGTCTTAAATTGAATGCGATGTGCAACAAAACCATCATGTTTCCATCTTTCTTTAGATTTTGAGCCCAAAACCACAAATTCTATGTTTGAATAAGAATAACATTTCAACTTCAAGGAATTATTGTTCAATCTATAAATAATCACAGAGTTCTGTTATTTTTCCAACTGTATATACAGTTTTAAGAAATTCTGATTTGGTTGAAAGATTGTTTGGTATTATTGAAAAGTAGGTCTTAAACTGGGTGAGACGTGCAACAAAACTTTGTTACAAACCTTAATAAGTGTTTGATAGCAAATTGTATTAGTGATGGGAGGTTTTGGGAATGTAAGATGGGATGAGATGAGATGAGTTTGAATGTAATGTGTATCTGCTTTTGAGATGGAGATTGAGATTAGGATTGCTCATTGCACTTTCATTTTGAGGGGTTTTAAAGTTTCTTTGATACTGTATTTCGGTCTAGGCTATATACTGATTTTTGAAATTGTATATATATACCTACCTACCTATCCTATTTTACTATGAGATCTAAAATGTATTCCATTTTCTTTTCAGTAAGACAGACTATGAGAATTTGAAACGAGTTCCACAGATTGGTTTATATGCAACAAACATCCTGTCTGGTCTTATAGCTTACAGCTAATAGCAGAAGTGAAAAGCAATAAAGAAAGATATAATAAAAATATACGACAGCATACATGACAGTATTCCAACTCTCTCTCACACTCAACAAAACCCGAGACTACTATACTCTATCTATATTACCACCATCAAACCCAAGAACTTTGATTTTCCTTTTTGAGATGCAGGTTGAGGTTATCGAGAACGACTTGAATCATAGATATGCAACAAGAACTTTGGTTAGCTTATGAGCCAATAGATAATGAATGTACTAGAAAGTCAAATATGAAAAGATGAGATGACAATATAAGAGAACATAAGACAACTGATGCACAGTATATCCTCGAAAATTTCATCACTTCAACACTTGTCGCTTGATCAAACCGAGACTGCCCTTATCATGAGGTCCAGACTTTGATTTTCACTCTTCTCTGGGATCAAAGTTGGATTTATCCAGACTTGCAAATCATTCAACTTGCCACTGCCACTGCCTGGTCCTGGTCCTGGTCCTGGTCCTGGTGACGGTGACGGTCCTGGCTGCACAATGAGTACCCGAGGAGCGGGTTATTGAGCTGGTGGGTTATTTGCAGATTATCTGTGGATTATCCACCAACCCTTAAATAACCCGTCAACCCCTCCTCCAATTACCCACCAACCCGCGGATAACCCACGAGTCTGCGGGTTGAGATGTGCAACAAAAAGAAAAAAGGATGATGAAATGAGAGGAGTCCGAGCGTTTCTTGTTGGGGAGACAACCAAATACATAATTGAGGCCCCACCTTTGCGTTCTGGAGACTAGAAGGGATGATCTACAGTAATAATTTGTGTCTTTAACTGATTATTTATTGATCGAGAATGAATGTTGCAGAACAAGGTAATATCTAACAGGCTTGTCTGTCTGTTGGGATAAGAGGGAGAGGGAGAGGGAGATGGAGAGAGAGTTTGGGGATTGATTGACCATCTCCAAACATTTACTTGTACATAAACCTGGGTTTAGGTTTACGAAGATTCGGGGTTACTGTACATTTGGAAATCTGAACAACGAGAATTCCTGTTCAAACTTCGATTTTAACATCCAAAGCAGGAAAGAGACGCCGAGAATGGATGGACGAGATCATTGAGCAAGAGTGCGAAATTCGACATGAGGGGAAAGAAATCAGAGCTTTGCGATTGTGTTTCATTGGTTCTTTTAGATATGGGGGGATATAATGAGGGCCGATGGAGATAGGATGAGATAGGATGGGATGAGAAGTCTGGAATCTATGAGTCTAGGTATATAGAGTATTAGCTGCAAGAGTAAATACTATTATAGTTAGTAATGACAGCGGGAGCTACCTGCTACCTGCTACCTGCGGTATGGCTATATACTTATCCTTCCTAGCTACTCGAGTATAAGAGATATATATATAGCAGTCCCATACCTCGCTCACCTCGCTCACCTCACCAACTAACTACAAAAGATAAATTGATCAATACTCGGTAGAGTCCAGTGAATTAATCGCAACGCGATGAGAAATCTCACATATACAAGTTATAGTACTACGAAAAACAAAAAATCTTGGTTCATACCCATCACTCACCAAGCGCTCCTTAGGCGAGACTTACCTAGATAGCCAATAGATGAACGAGCGCATAACTCTGTAAAAATCAGATATGCAACCAAAGTTTCTCAACTCACCTTTATTCACTCCCTCCTCCCATCACTATCGTCTGATATCCCATCTTATGTTACCTAGTTTTCCATCCCAAGTCTCTCATTCACTCACTCACCAACACTCTTTAAGCGAAACTTACCTAGCCAATAGATGAACGAGCGCATAGCTGTGTAAAAATTAGATATGCAACCAAACTTCCTCAACTCACTTTTATTCACTCTCGAGTTCTCACCTACTCGAGTACATATATATATACCACTCTCCTCTCAGATCCTATCCCGTCTTACAATCCCAACTCTCTTATTCACTCAACGTCACTTTCACTCCCTTTCATCCACCCTCCTTCATCTATCCTCCCCACCAACCCCTTACATGTTACTTAGCACCCAAATTCCCCAATATCAGAGCCCTCTAAGTCAAAAATATCTCGTCGAGTACCGTATATCATCAACATGCTATGCCAATTTCCAAATGCCCGAATTTCTTACTCGTAGAATGCAGATATTAAAGGAATTCGAAAAGCTCTCAGATATACAACCCAAAGACAAACAAAAACAAACATCAAACTTCTTGACATACCTAGGTAGTAGTATTGATATGTGGGAAAGGGCGATCAACGAGATCAATCACATAGTCCACAATACGCCTCAGCCTCAATACAAAAGCCACAAGTATTCACACAGCCACCTTGCTTGCATAACCCTAGGGAAGGAAGAAAATAAGTCGGGAATAATATCGAGATTATGTAAGATTAAGTATCACTTGACTTTTTAGTGTGATAAGATGATCTTCTGATCCGGGCCCTTCCCCTTCCTGAGCCTTAGCTTAGAACAAAGTTAGAATTTGAACAAACTCTAAGTCTAACTTCTAACCCTAAGTTTAGAGTCAAATTGAATGAAAGGAGGCGGGTAAGATCGATATACCAAAGTCGGGCAAAGATTGTTAGCAAAAGGAAACAGACACAAGACAGATATGGATGACGATGACATCATGTTCCCTTTTAAATCATGAAGACTTTTCATCGAACGAACAACTCATCAGCCTCAATGAAGGATATCCCGGTAGACGATGACAGGACAGCCTTATGAATTGTGGTTATGGTTTTTGCCACCACAAGAAATGAATCCCTTGCAGATATTTAGATTTAGTATTAGTAGAAACATTTTCTATGATTTGTTCTCGTGATTCGATACAAGTGCGAGTTCGAGTTCCAACCAGATCCAGATCCAGATCCAGCCGGTCAGCCCCTCCATATCCTATCCCCATTCATGGGCGCAGTTGAGACTTTTGAGAGAGAGACATAAGTACTCGAGTACATCTATACCATACATACAGAAAAATGTATCCATAGCCATACTTGACTTTGCGGCTCAAGTTTCATTAGATACCTACATATGCCATGATATTATTCGGCGACGGCGAAGACAGATTATTGAGCTGATGACCCGTCGAATATAATATTGTCTCGGAATAAGGGTGATTGGGCGGCGTGGGCGTGCTGATGGAGCCCGAACTTCAATACCCAATGACGGTTTGAAAAGTACCCCGCCGATGAACATGGATTAACGAGTTCCAACCAACTTCTCAAGTATATCAGGATTCAGTATATTGACAATGTTGAAAAGGCTTCAGGTTTGACTTGGAGATATAGTACATACCGATAGATAAAGTTAGTCTTAATTGTAGTTGTTAGGGAGTTTTAGGATTTTTCAGGCTGTCCTTATATACATTCAAATTTGACTTGTAAGTCGAAGATTACTCGAGTAGATAGATGGTGGGGTGATTGTGAATTGTACTCGAGCCAACAAGCCCATCATCTTGCATTAAACTTGGAAAATCTTCAGCTCTTTGCTGCAGGCACTGGGCAGGCAGCTGAGCCATTCAGGGCTATGAAAAGATAGGCACATCCATCCCTGGATCCTCTTCAGAAAAGAAGGCTCATACAGTATTTTACAAGTAAAATTTCAACCGCGCGCCAAATAGGAGGGAGATATACTCAAAGCAGGTTTATATCTTTTGGATTTTCCAACTTCTCAAGGGTATTTTGCTGCAAGAATCTCCAGCCACCTCCTTCCTTCATAAAAAAATCAAGCGCTTGTTGTAACTAACCAACTAACCCCCGGCTCGTTGTAACTTGTCACTTTTCAACTATTGTTTAGTTACTAATCTGGCCCTGTAATAAATTGAATTACGATATAATCTCACCGACATTCACTTCTGATTCTTTTCCCCTCACTCGTCATATTATATTACTTACCACATTTATTACTTGGGGGGTATGACTGTTGTGATTTGATTTAATTCCATCCATCGAAACCTTCCTTTACCATAAGAAAACACAAAACACAAAACACAAAACAATTATTCACATCGTCTATCTTCTATCGCAGATTCAAAAATTCAACAAAAGAGTCAAATTATTAATCCTATTCATCGCAAGTCTCTCGGAAGAAGTGGACAGTCAACGAAGCATTTTCCTGTCGCAAATCGAGTACCCCGCCATTAATCATGACTTCTTACGATTATGAGTATGATACGGTCGAAGAACCACGTCGACATCGATCACATCGTCACCGAAAAGATGATCGCGAACCAAGATATGCTGATGAGCCACGTTACGTCGAAACTCAAGAAACTTACGTTCGTTCAGCGGCTCCTACCAAAACTTCTTATGCTCCCGACGCTCCCATCAGAGAAAGAGAAAGAGAAGTTACCCAAACCAGAGAACTTATACGTCAACCTCGTCGTGAGGATAGCGATATGTCAGTTGAAGAAGTTAGAAGAGACTTTCCCCCACCAGCGAGTGGTGCGGCCTACGTTGACCAACGTACGTCGGTTCGAGAAGCTAGGTACGGCCCGCCAGCCCGTCGCTCTCGATCCGTCGGGCGTGATGGCCGATACGGAGAATACCTTGATGATAGCAGAGGTGATCCACGACGCTCTTTCCAAGACCTTGATCGACGAAGTGATTATTACGAAGATACCGAAATTGAACATAAATCATCTATTTCACGAAACCAAAAAATTGCTGTGGCCGTTGGGGGAGCTGCTTTAGCCGTCGGTGCAAAGGAATTATGGGACCGAAGATCTGCAGAAGGCAGACCAGTCGAGCGAAACCCATTAGCTTCTGCTATAGTCGGAGCTGCTGGGGCATTCGCAGCATACGAAGGAACAGAACTTTACGACAAACATGGAAAGAAGGAAAAGAAAGTCAAGAAATATGCGGCGCACAGAGGTCGAAATGGTGAAGTCCAAGAGATTTATTACTCTGAAGAAGAGGAGATCAAACCTGAAAAGAAGAAGGGTCGCCGCAAGTCAATTGTTGAGGGTGCTATGGCTCTCGCAGGGTTAGGAGCTGCTGCAAAGGGTGTTGAACATCATCGAGAGGAACATCACCGAGGTCGCAGAGGTAGTGGAGATAGCTATTATGATGAGTCAAGCTCAAAGAGAAGCAGATCAAAATCAAGAGCACCAGATGGGACGGCCAAATATCAACAAGCCGCCAAAGCAGCTCTCTTGGCTGGTGCTGCGGAAGCATTCCGAGTTCGAAATGAGCCTGGAGCCTGGGGTGGTGAGAAGGGTAAACGTATTCTTACCGCAGCTATCGGAGCTGGTGGGATTGATGCCGCTATTGACAGAGATTCCGACAAGAAGAGCAAGCGTCACATTCTCGAAGCAGTAGTTGGAGGTCTCGTCGGAAATCGTGCCATTAACGGGTCGCGAAAAGAGGTCGAAGAAGATCCTGTTACTGGACGTTCTCGATCCAGATCTCGAGCACGTTCTTCATCCCGAGGTGGAGGAGGAGGTGGTGGGAAAGGTCTTGCTGCTCTTGCGACCGCAGGTCTGGGAGCCATTGCTGGCAAGAAATTACTCGATCGTTCTAGATCCCGTTCCAGAGCTCGCTCTAACTCTCGCGGACGCAGAGATAGTCACAGCCGCAGTCCTTCACCAGATCATAACAAGCGTAGCAGGAGCAAGAGTGTCAGTTCAATGGCAAGAAAGGGTTTGGCTGCTCTTGGTCTTGGAGCTGGGGCTGGAGCTGCTGCAAATGAAGTCGGTCGTAGCCGTGATCGTAGTCGCAGTCGAAACCGTGATAATTACGATGATTATGACGATTACGATGATCACTCAAGACGCTCTCGAGGTCAAAGAGGGGAAGTATACGGTAACCCACGTCATGCCGACTCTCGCGGAAGTATTGACAGTCATGGAGGTGGTAGGGCGAGGGATGGGCAGAAAAATAAGAAGAATGCTGAAGGAAAGAATGGATATGATAGCGACGATTCTTTGATGTCTTCATCGGAGGATGAGAGAAGGGTTAAAAAGATGAAAGGTAAGCAATTTATTACAGCTGGTTTGGCAACTGTTGCCACCATACATGCAGCGCATAATGTCTACGCAAGTATGGAGAAACGTGATGCGCGACACAAGGCTGTTCAAGAAGGAGAGATGACCCCAGAGGAGGCAAGGAAGCTTAGAGCAAAGGCAGCATTGCAAGATGCAGCATCTGTTGGTATTGCAGCACTCGGTATTAAAGGAGCCATCTCAGAAATTAAGGAAGCAAATGAGATACGACATGAATGTAAAGAATTCCGAGAGAAGAAGGACGAACGTCATAAGAAACGTCTTGAAAGACAAAAGAAACGTTTAGAAAACGGCGGAAGAAGACAAAGAGATGATTCTCACGATACTCGCGAAACTTATACTTCTTCTTATGAAAGCCATTACGATGATCGCCGCTACAATTCGGGTCCTCGTTATTATGATGGAAATCCATATTCTACAGGTTTACCAGCTCCTCCTCTCGGTCGTTAATCTCATCGCATATCGACAAATTCACCAACCACATTCGTTTTTCTGGCTTTCACATAATACAATGCCTTTGTTCAAGCTTCGCATAAAAATCATTTATCGCAATTTAGAAACAACAAACGATCTACAGCAAGATTTATAATGATCGGTTCAACTTTGGGGTCTTTCTTCGGCGCAGGATTTTTAATGAGTTCACGGCCATCACACAGTTTCTCCATACCTTGACGAACTTTCACATATGTTTTTCATTTCAAGAATTAACACGCAGACATTGTTTTTTCTTTTCCATTTTTTATGTTTTCCCTTTTGTCGTCAATTAAACAAACTTCTTCATTTTACCCTATAAAAGAGATAGATGAAGAAATGTTATAACGATCATAAACACTTTCCCAGGTCCCACATTTTTATATTCTCAAATTTATTATATGAGAACTATAGCTGATTGGTATATTTTATCCACATTATTAGCTCGCTCCCATCGCCATTAAGCTCTTGAATAGAGCATGCACGCGAAATTGCAAAGTGTGACAAGTACACGTACGAGTACGAGTATGAGTATGAGTACAAGTACGAGTGCTAAGACATACTTGTAACGCCGTAACGGTAACGCGCGGATAAGGAATAAGGAATAAGGAACAAGGAAGTGGAATGGAAGGATGGAGGGGTGGATAGATGGATGGATGATGATGGATGGATTATGGAAAATATGAGAATATGAGAAGATGAGAAGATGTGATATGTTACGGTTACGGCAATCTTATGAATTGATGACTAGTCTTTAGCTTGGGTTTATTTTTTTTCAAGGCAGATTTTGCAGATTTTGGGTTGGTTGTGGGGTGGTGGTTTGGTGGAGGATTGTTGGTTGTCGGTTGGTTGTCGGTTGGTTGTCGGTTGGAGGATTGAGGATGGAGGATGCGGGTAAGGATGCGGGATTTGAGGCGGTGAGGGGGGAGGGGGAAGCTTCGTGGGGGTGAGATTTGAGGGAAGGGGGCGGGGAGATGGATGGATGGATGGATGGATGAATTTGGTTTCATGACTTTTTCTTTTTCGTTGGGTTGTTTTCTTTAGATCTTTTTGATGTTTTTTTTCTCTCTTTGGATATGAGAATGAGGATGAAATGGGAAATGGGATATCATGTTTTATGAATAAAATGATATGTTATGAAATGAAATGTTGTGTTTGCGATGCGAATGTGAATATATAATGTGTGGATTTGAGTGATATATTGTGAGAATGAGTGGTTTGATTGATTGGAATAGTTCAGTTGGATTGATTGAGTGATTTGATTGGATGATTAGAGTATTGTATTGATTAATATATATATATATACATAATGCTGACATTTTTATAGTTTTTTGGGATATCTAGGTGTTTGTTATCTATGTATTACTATAGATCTATAGATAGGTCATAGTGATAGATAGGTAGGCCATGTAGTGCGAGGATTGATGATGATGATGGGTGATAATGGGTGATGATGATGGGTGATATAATACGATATACTTGATATGGAGTACAGTAATTGGGGGGATGAAAGAGGGATAGAAGAGGGATGGTGAGGGTTGAGGGTTGAGGAATGGGGGATGGAAATAGAGAGGGGGCGAGGAGGAGTAGATGGAGAGATTGGGTATTGGGTATTAGGGATTGGGTATTGGGTATTGGGGATTGGGAATTGGGAATTTGATATGATATAATATGTATAAAAAAAAAGAGTAGATAAGATATAATAAGATGAATGGAATGGATGTTGATTAGTTTGGATATCTATAATTGATAATAACATATGTTATTATAAGCAGGCAAATTATTTTCACCAACAAAAATCAACCTCACGAAGATTAAAACCTTCAATATAGCTAGGTTACCTTTTGAACTTTCGAAGATTCTTATCGAAATGAAAGGGTCTGGAAAGGTTTTCAACTTCACTTAATCATAATTTCATCAACAATCATAATATATTTTTGAAACGTGATAACCAGATAATCCCGATAATTAGCTTTTGAATGATATCATTTTCATCAAATTCTAGTCAATATTGATGATGCAATTAAAGATTCAAGATTAGAGTCATTCTCAACCCTTCATTTTGATGATTAAGCGAATCGCCTCACTTTTGAGGTTACACAATGATATTTTCACTTCACATTTTTATTCAACATCTGGATGTCGAACACCTCACTTAACCCCTTTGTGAGGTACTGTAGTGACTGAATTAGTGTATTTATCGCAAATTTGCAGGTTTTGCTCACGTTTTGCTAATCAGGCTATTAATAATACAGTAACAATACATACGTGATTTGACTTGCAAATTACGAATTTGCCTGTAACTGAATGTCGAAGTTCGAATAGGCTCTGAGTTGATGGATGGATGGATTAATGATGGATTCTGTGATATATAAATCATTATAATCGTAGTAGTAACTCGCAAGATGATGCGGATGGGGATTGGGAATTTGATGTGATGTGATGTGATGTGATGTGATGCGTAACCTGGAAGAGTACTAATCGATGTAGACAGACACTGAGTTTGCTCGGATATATTGTAATATATTTATAAGATCATATTGGTTTCTAACTTTTTCTCAAGAGATTGTGAGATTCATTGGGTTTGTTAATGCTAACATGAGCAACCTTCAAGTTGATGTCTATCTAGTACCTAGGTCGGTATCTCTTCCATCACTTCCATCTTCATGGATGATGGAACACCCAAACTCATTCAAAACCATTCCCGAATCCCGATATCGGATAACCACACTAAACCCATAAATCCCTAGTCCCTCCGAATCCATCCAGTTTGTCCTGTTTGCACAACTCAATCATTCGCTTCACTAGCCTCTTGTGAAAACTCTGCCGCGCACGGATTTCCTCTTTTTTCTATATAAACTCTCCCCTCCGCGAAGTATGGAAAAAAATTAACGATAATACTGTAGGCAATGCTGTATCCCACCTTTCAATACTCAGCTAACACACCCAACAGTCAAAGAATCATTTCTTTAGTAAACATCTCCTTCTGTGTTCTCTACAACAGTCACAGACTCCAACCGAGACGATGAGTCGAACCTCGATACCCTAGAGTGAAACCGTTTTGCTTTCGTTCTCTCCGCAAGGAGGGCGTCTGTGTTTCTTCTGAGACGCGGATGTATAGAAAGTGGTGATGATCTCGACCCTGCACTGATGGTTTTAGGACCTTGGTGTAGGGTGGGTGTTGATGGTTGTCTGATCGGTTTTCAAACTTTTTTTTTTCATTGGGCTACTGGCTATGTGCTGGGGTGCGAAGAAGATATCTTGTGGGCGTGTTTGGGTATGGGTTGGATGTTTTTAGAAGTTGTTGTGGGATTGAGTGTGCGAAGAGTTGTTGATGGTGCATATGTACTGGCACAGAATGGATTGTGCAGCAGAGGGGTGCAAATGTCAATGTATGGATGGGAAGGATATAGGTTAAAGGTTTCTGTTCTGCCATTCTTGTGCAGGTAGCTAATTGGCTATCGGTTAAGGAAATGTGATCTACCACTTCAATTGATACTCAAGTGAAAGTATTTTTCTGCTGGCACACCATTAGATTCATCATCATTTCAAATCAATGATTATTCATATCGCTCTACTTTTTCTTCCATTTCGCTTTTCATGACTCGTATCCATTCCCACAAATATGACTGAAAAAATTTCACTCCTAACTTTTAGCAGCCCCGCATGTATTGAGCTAGGGTTATACCCGAATATCCACTATTCACTCAGCCAATCACATTTCGTAGATGGTAAGATGGAAGAATGAATGTACTTTTTCTGTAATACCGTATACTCGTATACTATCGAAGAATTCGGATAAGCTAAGCAGTGATTAAAACTTAAGGTTATTCTGACAGGCCTGACTTCTGTATTCCTATTGGCAGGAATCCTTCACCTGATTGGCAATTATACTATATTAAGTCAAAATGTGTGGGATTTGATCCAGTTTTCCCTATACCAAGAGAAATAGCTTATCCGAATTCTTCGAAAGTATACGGTACGTACAGTACTTGAGTATATGCTCATTGTTCGTTTTGTTTGATTTGGGTTATTTGGTTTGGTGTGGTGATGGGGTGGTTTTTAATGTTTGTATTTTGGGATCTGGATATTTGGAATGTATGGGTATTGTATAAATACAGGTACAGATACGGTAGCCTGAGGTTGTGCTGTTGGGGGGTAGGAACGGAGTGGAAGTGAGAGTGGGAGTACTTGGGGTGTACTTGGGGAATCGGAGTGAGAATTACGGATGTGATTCATGGGAAGGGTTGATCACAGTCGAGAAAGGGAGGGGAGGGGATGAGAGGAGATGTGGGTCTAATACTGGTTAATGGACAATGTATATTAGATGTAGGGAAGAAAGCATAGTATTTGGAGATGAGGCTTTGTTGGGTTCGAGGAGTTGTGATTTGAGTGATGTGAGTGAGGAGAGGAGTGGGAGGAGAGAGGGAGAAGACGGAGGAGTGGAAGGTAGGTTGTTATGGGTAAGTATTTCCATTGGATAGAGTTTATCGGGATTCTGGGGTGCTTTTTGTGTAGGCTGTGTATTAAATTACTAGTGAGTGTGAGGACTTGGTGTTTTGATTTGTCGTTTCTATCTTCTTGGGGTGAGGGGTGTGGGGGATAGAGGGAGAGATTGTGAGGAAATTGGGAGGGAGGGGAGGGAGAGGGAGAGGGAGAGGAAGGGAGGGTGGAAGAGGAGATCGAGTGGGCTTGAAGTTAGTTAAATAGGTTGAGATGAGAGTTGCTGTTGTCTTGGAAGGAGGGATACAAAAAGGAGCCGAGGCAAACGTTTGGTCTTGCAACTACTTAAGGATTGGAATGAGGATTGTGGGAAGTTAGCGAGAATAGGGGCTTTTGGGGTGGTGATCGATACCCTCGAATCTTTTCTATTAATGTATTTACCAACAATTGGTAATCTGACTACATAGAGATATTCCCCGTTGTTATATTGACTGCTCAAATTCCTTTGGTAGATACTATTCTCAATTTCATTCAGTACTACAGCTTATTGTAGAGTGGTGCTAAAATTATAGACTTTTAAAATCTTTACACGTTGTTGGTTGTTGGTCTACTTCTTGCTTTACACTTGCTGTGTATACCAACAATCAAACTTACCAATTGAATAAGATGGACTTGATCAAGATGAATTAAAGAGGAAGGAGACTCCTACTAGTACTCCTTGCTTTTGTCAATTAGAAATATGTATCCCTTCTAGACAAGAACATCACTCCAACTTCATAGAAACCTGACCTTTGTTTCAATTTACACTCCCAACTCAAAGCATTTGTACATAGTTCATATAACGACTAGTTTGTATATGAAGGTATTTCTTCATGGTCATTCTCGAATCTCAACGACTAAGCAAATACTTTCAAAACAAGTTAGACTGCCGAGATCAGGCAACTGGTAAATTCATTATTAACCCTAGTAACTTCAACTTCAACTTTCGTAATCCTTCTCTTCAACAACAAACATCTGGAATTGGTATGTGAACTTTCCAAGACTTCTAAATTATTTTGATAGGGACAAGATCATTAACAATTGATATCAGACGCTCGGACCATCAACCAAACCCACATGGGCCTTTCACCAATATGGCTCCTCAAAATAAACAAAGCTCGAAACAAGCAATACCATCCAAGACTCAATCTACAACAACACGTCTCTATAACCTTCAAGGAAGAATAATCAGTATGGATAAATCTGAACCTTTTATTGACTCAGGCTTAATTGCTGTTTCTCTTGTCATCAAATCACAAACTGGCCCTAACTTCGTTTTTCACTATCCACCTCGACCATCCTTTGCTCCACCACCACGCAATTACAGATATGGCACTGAAACCGATCAGAGCGAACTTGAGGAACAAGATGAGAGCGACGAAGATGATAGTGATGACTTCTCCGATTTAGAAGACTCAATTACCTCGAAATTCGGAAAAATTAACATGGGTGGGAAGAAGGTGAATAGTGGAAACAGTCGATCGCGTCACGTGGAGATCGAAGGCGACGATCACTACGAAAGTAAGGACGGCGAGCAGATTGTTCCTTGGGAACAATTTGGTGAATTTCCTACCGTCGATCTTGCGAGTATTCTAACACCACCACGCGCATACCACAAGAAGAAGTTTGAGTTATCAATTGACAATCTCTACTTCGTCTCCTATCCATTGCACATCCGCGAGGATGGGTTTTGGAAGAAGCCGAGAAAGTCAAAGAAAGGTAAAGAGGTAGCCAAGGACGGAGACGAAGTAGATGAAGGTCAAGCAAAGAAGGGCAGTGGTTCGGATGATGGTGACGATCGTGGAGCAATGACAATGTTCAATGTCGTTTTCGTTGTCAGTTTACCTAGACACGAACAAGACGAGAGAATTGAAGAACTTTATGAGCATGTTATCAAAACATTCAATAAGGCTCTCAACCATGCTCAAGCTCAGAGTAATTATGTCTGGAAGGAATCTGAGATTATTCTAAATATGAAGGAAAGAGCCCGCGAAGACAGTAAGTCCTCCCTGCGCACTAATTTATTTCACAATCTAATATTTTTTCAATAGAGCGCCCAATGAGTCAACTATGGAGTCAAATCTTGATCAAATCTACATTGGCAGACGCGATGCGCAATGTTTACGATGCTGTTGTCAATAATACCATCACTACCGTCTGTCTCGACACCAAGCCTCCCATCGATTTGTCGCTTCACATCCCGATTCCCACATTTTTAATGAGCTTTCCAAATCCTAACGAGCGAGCCAAGCCCGGTGTATTACTTTCCAGTGCCAACCCTCTTGTCGACGAGGAAGGTAATCCAGACCCTATGCATCTTGATAAGCACTTTGCTCTTCTACTTCTTAAGGATGAGGTCGATGTCATTGCGGAGATATCTTCTGAAAATACTGAGCTTTCCACTCCTTTAATTCAAGTCATCAAATGGGCCAAACCTACTTTGTCCTTCCACCAAGTCGCTCAAACCAACAACGTTGATCTCGATGAAGTCATTACTCTCGCGCAGCACTTGATCTATTGGCGCAAAGCAATTGCGATCCCACCTATCCATGCCCGCGACATGTTTATTGTTTCTCCTAACTGCGATATGCACAAGTTGATTCCAGCAACCCAACAGTGGAAGAAGGCATTTCCTTTTGCTCCCTCCTTACAAAGTTTCCTCGGACAAATCTCTTATGCTCCACGCGCTTACAAGACTTTCGTCCCTTCCAAGAGTCATCGTGAAAAATACATGGAGATGTTGGCATGGCTCATTCGTGGCGGCTGGGTTACTCATCTGCGAACCTTTTGTTGGATTTGGGTCTGGCCCGAGATCATCTACGAAGTTGAATATCAATTAAAAGCAGAAGCTATCGAGAGAACCAGAAACCCACCTCTTGAAACTGCACCTGGATCTCCTGAAACCAACAACTCTGAAGAAGCTACCGATGCCGAGAAGGCGATGGCTCTCGATCCTACAGCTCCACTCACCACCGAACAAGCAGCCGAAGCCGCACGCCTCGAAAGACTCGCCGCCAAGACCATCGCCGACGCCAAAGCTGCCGAGGTTGAATTTGAAGAATTGCCCGTCCCGGTCGCTACCGAGCATCCTTCTATGAACCATGCTGAACATTTAAAATACATGTCTTCCTACGCCATTGTCGATCCGCACAAGGCTAATCATGTCGAAACAATGTACATTGCAGCCATTGGTAAACGTTGGACTGACCCCAAGGCAAAGGCATTGTGGCCAAAGTTCGTCAAGTATTTTAATGGCACAACTGCGTTGGAGGATATTTGGGCTAAGGAAGGATTGAAGCGTAAGGAGACGTGGAATATCTTGTTGGCTTATCAGGAGCAGATTATGGTTATGAAGCATTGGTAGGTAGACCGTAGATGTTGGTGGCTTGCAATTTCTTTGTCTTTTGATGACATGAATGAAGTGAAGTGAAAGGACGGGCGAATTACGAAGGTTTAGGATGGATACGGCGTTATATTACATAAGGTTAGGAAAGGAAAGGAAAGGATGATACCATGGCATGGCTTTAGTGGATACTTTCATGATAGGACAGGATACCCCTTTCATATGATTGATAAATGCCTAAAAATTCCTCGAATTCAAGTTGCTTGTTTGTTTACTTTCATTTGATCTGGCATATTGTGTTCACCGATGATTTATAATTTCCTGACTTCTGTGCAAATTATTTATGTGATGTTATAGAGGGAGGGGGCTGGGGTATATACAGTATATTATTCAAGAAAGAGTCAGTCCAGGGGAGAGATGAAGGGAGGAAGAGAGGAAGAGAGGAAAGGAGATGAGATTACCATTAGTAGTTATTAAGTGGTGGTAATGATGATTATGGGTTTTAAAAGTGACGGTGATGTTGACGGTGAGAATGATAATATAATATGTGATTTACATGATACCAAATCAGATGAATGTAATCGGTAGTCCCGCAGAGCTTGAGTGAACTTTATGTAGCCGCAATATGTTGTTACCTCCTTCTCAGTGCCATATAGGCAGTCATATCAAATCACTTCTGCGATTGCTATAATAGCCCATTCATCAAAACTTGATACATATCTTTGCTCAGCACTCTCACAACGAGAAATCCGGCTAAATCGGCACTATAGGTACTTTTGCGGGATTTTCGTTTTTATATCCCACCTACTCATATCAGTACAAGCATACTCGAGTATACTAGACTACTACTGAACTAAAGTCGACAAGAAGTCCATTACACGCCTCATATTCACCTCTTTATACTCGAGTATACGAGTACATAGAGTATATGCATCAACAACGCCAAGTTAGTAACTACAGTACCTCTATTCAAAATGTCCCTGTATTCAGTCATCTATCTTTATTCTTTCCTATCTTCATATTTACCAGATCTCTCGATTCAAGTCTATGTTAAAAACAATTTTCCCCCCTGACTCCCTTTTGGGTTCTCGTAGCGAGAATATTAGTACCAAGGCCAACACCAGTAGGGGTATTGTGTTTTGTTGGTTGGGTTGACTGGAATGATTTGTAACACAGAGATCTAGCAGATTAGGAGGTATTAGAATTATACAGTATCAGTATATATTCTCGTCCAATGAGCTAACTTGAAAGACTAGCTGTCGCCGAAGTCTGGTGGGTGTTAAAGGATTGTCTAGACTTTAAGAGAATAGTAGGATTTGTTTGTACTCGAGGAAAGTGATAGTGGTAAATGGGATTGGGTATTTGAAGTTCAGTTGATAATTGTTTAGAGCAAAATCGGATGAGTATACGTACTCTATACGGAAAGAACTCCTGAAATAAAGAAGGGATGTAATATTTGTATTCCTCGAGTAAAACAGAGAAGTCATATAGTCGTGTCCACCACATGCGATCTTCTGCTGCTCGCACATGATTTATGTTGTGGCTCCAGAGGTACTTCTCTGGCTCCTTAAGTAGCATTATTTCAGTTGATCATTGTATAGTATCTAATTCACTTATTCGCTGAAGATAGTGTCAGCTTCATATGCCTCACATTACGAGATAGTTTCATAGATCGTTATTCACCCATTCAAAGTTTCTAACTATGCTCACTTTGGTACAGTTACTCTATTCTTAGCCTCTGAATATCCACACTCTACTATTTAAACTTTCTCTCTAAACTTTCATTGCATTCCTCTCTTCATCTATCTTGACCACGCTTTCAAAAAGAGAGAAAAGACTCAAAGGAGTGAACGAGGGTCCTTTGAGGGACCCTCTTATGATAAGATTGAAGAAAAAGGCTTATTTTCAAAAGAAATTTTCATTTGCACTTTTCATATTTGCTGCCACCACTCTGATTAGTATTAAAACTTAGAACTTGGTATATATACATATTCGTTTTATTTTGATTTATGGACAATACTATTGAAACCAATGTAAGAATGTATAACGACAAACGAAGTGTTTTCCAGACTCGCAACACAGACTGAAAGTTGTGAAGAGGAGAGGAAGCTTGGAGTAGTGGAGTTTGTGGTGTAGAGGAATGGAAAACTAGAAGCTAATACTCGTTCGGACTTACTTCTCAGTACATTATTATTATTGTCAGAAAATATAAGTATTCTCCTTACAACTCATCCCAAAATTTGCGATGGATATACGACAATAAAACCTCTCTCAGTGACAGTGGAGAGTGGAAGTCACAGAAAGATTGTATTGCTTTTAGGGCTGCGGAATCATAGAGGAAAAGACCGCTCGGTGAAGAATACGCTATGCTTTTATCCCACCATTTGTTTTCTTTGGGTTGACTATGTTTATTTGCTCATATCATGGAATGTGTCGAGAGCTTTTATCTTGAATAATGAGAATTTTCCACCTCATGTAGACTGATTGATTCACTTTTTCGCCAGGGCGGGGGCATTAACATGGCGCAGTCATGCTCTTGTTGGTCTCATATTCAGAAGCCTCAGCTACTATCGGATGAAATCGTAAAGTCACCTCGTATTGAACCAACAGAGGACCAACATTTGTATTACTGTTGGGTGTTGGTTAGGTAGGGCTTACTAGACATATGTCTAGCTTCGCCGTCTTGGCACACATTAATTACTCTTCTTTAGACACCTAATTCTAATACATCTCTACCTTCATTATATGATATGCCGAACTTACTAATAAAAATCCCATCAGATTTCATCTCATCAATTAACAATATCAGATAATCGTAACACAAAAAGGAGTGCATATAAAAAATCGATACTGCTATGCTGTATCATAAAGTTGAATTAAATTGCAGGCGGGAAAACTTCATAGGGTGCAAAGCAGCTGGTATGGTTTCTAATGCAATGGCAGTACAGTAAACATTTCTACTGCAATACACTTGTGTATATGTATAGATAAATGTCCCCGGACGAACTTTGCATAAACTCCAACAGTTGTAAAAGGGACAACAAGAAATATGCGGCTGACAGGCACAACAAAAATAGAGAGTGAAAAGGTAAGTTTATGCATTGTCAAAATTCATCAAGGTACTACCATCTCGTACTGTATCATATTGTGAGAATGGGATTATATACCGATTGAGAAACATTGACTTCACATCCCCCTTCCACCACTGCTTAGTATTAGTGTGACTGCTGAATATTGTCTTAATTTCTTTGCGAAAGAATTACCCTATTAATTTCTATTCCGTACATCTACAGCCACGTTGTAGTCGGTCCAGATCCCCAAAACTCAACTTTCTCATTCAATTGGACATTTTCTTTGAAATTCGGATTCCGGAAAAAGCAAGGGCAAAAGTCTCTACTACACGTAGATATAGCTTCGTCCGAGTCAATCCAAATTTACAGATACTTTTGAAAACAATTGTAATTCTCAAAGGATAATGCCCTGAAAGCTAAACCAGGGAGCTATCTAAGAAGTGCATACATTGAATCCACAAAGTAATATTCATATTCCCGGTAAAGGCCATTTTCAACTCGGAAAGCCTATCAAGTTTTCACATTATCATATATCAGAGCTAGCTGCCGTATAGTGTATACATATAGAAAATGTACTTTTCATTTCGAAATCATAATGAAAGTATTATATTTGTCTATAGATATATAATCTTATTTCTCACCAACGAATAATGGCAACAAGAAATACAAATTAACAATAATAACCTAACAACAATCCAAAGACAACAGCAACTCCAGTAAATCAGATGATACCACATTCACTCAAAATCCTGCTTCAGAACTCAAGTCAACGCTCAATATTCCTTATGTTCTTCTCAATATCAATATCGTCCTTCTACAAAATTTCGATAGGTCAAAGTTACTGTTGGTATCACCTCGGGGGTGAAATGGCTATACCATATGGTCAAAAGTATTGTATTAAAAGTTGGTTGAGGCTATTCCCACTTCGAGAGCGGGGAGGCCTATATGGCCATCGATATCACGTGATCATATTGACTAGTATCGCAACAGTTACTTCTCCTATACTCCTACCACAAAAAAGTACCTAGGTTCGCGTAACTGATCCACGCCATGAAGACCCACCTGTCTTCTCTATCTATGTACACTTCCACCACCCAAATCCCGCTAGTTCCCCCATGATATCAAATGAGCACGAAGTATATTTTCTGGAGATTAGCTAAGACTCGGAATATTGTTGGAGTCGCACGATCCCTTGTAAGAAGCCCCACCATAAGCCCGCTTTAGGAGTCCTGCATGAGTAATACCAAAGAAATGCAAGGTGCGTTTGTCTTGTACAACTGTTGCAAACATGCCGTTTTGCTGACTACATATAATTTGTTGATTTCTTACTGAAATTATTCCACGGTTTGATCACAGCCCATCGTTGGAATTATGCAGTGTTGGATCCAACGCTTGGATCCCCTATTTTTTTTTTAGCAATCATTCGGAGATGGCCTGATTAACGGGTATCGATTCTATCATGGAAGGAGGTCTTACCCGATATAACCAATCGGGGCCAATGGCTGGTAAGCCCAAGAGTAAGGATCGGAATGGAGACCTATCCGTAGCCATCGACCATGTGTTACCAGCAAATTCACTGCTCGGTTTACATCCGGAATTTGAACCTGCCTCGGGAATAGAAAGAACCAAGCCATGCCTTAAACGATTATATCATACGGTATCCATCCCACTCAAGCCTCCAAATACTTCGAAGTAAGCCATCTTTCTCCAATCCACACCTCCGCAAAACACATTCAAACCGCCCAGCATGCCACGCCAAGATATCGAATTCCAAACTCACGACAATGTGACTCTTCGCGGTTGGTTATACACACCTGCGAGCGTCTCGGACGACCAGAAGCTGCCCGTCATAATCATGTCTGCCGGCTGGGAAAGTCTCAAAGAAATGAGTCTCGATCAGACTGCTGAGGCATTTGTTGCGAAGCTTCCTATCGCAGCTCTTGTCTACGATCATCGAAGCTGGGGCTCTAGTGATACGGCTCCGGGTCAACCAAAGCATGAGATCATTCCATCGGTTCAGATGTCCGACATGCAAGATGCAATCACCTATGCCCAAGGACTCTCGAATATTGATGCATCCAAGATTGCGCTTTGGGGAAGCTCCTACAGTGGAGGTCATGTTTTGCAAGTGACAGCCATTGACAAGCGTGTGAAAGCCGTCATTAGCCAGGTAAGTTATTTACATTGCTAACATTGCCAATAAAATAATCGTGAGCTAATTCTTCTACCAAGGCACCCATGGTCAGCGGCTGGGAAACTCTCCTTCGCCTCATTCGTCCCGATCTTGTTCCTGGCATCAACGCAATGTTCGCGGGCGACCGCCTCTCCAGAGCTGCAGGAAATGCCGCAGCAACAATTCCTGTATCCGATGCGAATCCTCTGGTTCCTTCTTCCCTACCAAGCGCCGAAGCTTTTGCATTCTTCACTGAGTGGGGATCAAAGCTTGAGGGAAAGTGGAAGAATGAGGTGACGGTTCGAAGTCTTGAAGCTAGCCGCTCATATGATCCTTCTCTGTTCATCGAACGCATTGCACCTGTACCATTGCTCATGGTGGTTGCGAGGGAGGATGTCACCACGCCTGTTGATATCTCTCTAGCTGCTTATCAGAAGGCTCGTGAGCCGAAGCAGCTTGTATTGCTTCCAAGTGGGCACTTTGAAGTGTATTCGGGTTCAAATTTTGCCCTTAGTTCTTCCAAGCAAATTGAGTTCTTGCAGGCGAACTTTGACATCCTGTCGGAAATAGTTCAAGACATCCATCCCGCAAGAAGCGCCTATATGCTAAGTGAAACCTGCGAATTTTTTGATGTTTGAAAAGTATAGCATTTTCAAAAATATAACATAGAATCCTAATGTAGATGGTAGATGTTCCTGATATATTAGTGTAGTACTGAGCTCGGGTGAGCACAATGAAGGCCCAGGTAAAGGGATCTGATCACTTGAATATCACGGTAGTAAGCTTCCTTCCGGGATATCACTTCATTACAAACGATTATAATAATCTATGCTGGAGGTAAAGTATATTGAAAACAAATATAGTTCGCTGGAAGTAGCTCTTGTACTCCGAATCCAATTCTTTCCCGCCCACCTTTCGTCTTATTAATCTGCAATTGCGTCGACCTCGATTTCCAAATCTAGTCTTTCCCTCTTCATAAAAATAGAGAGCAAGGTAGCCAGTGCGCCCGCCGCAATTAGCATAGAATACATTTGGCTAATAGCATGCACCAGGATTGCAAGGACATACGTCTTCTCAGCAGGACTGAGATCCTTCAGAACTGAAGCACCGACACCAGCGATGAGAGATTGAATCTCGCCCAAGGAAAGATTCGGGAGGAGCGCTGAGATCCTTTGTGTCGATAAGTTGATGAAAATAATGTTGGAGATAGACAGAGAGAAAACAATTCCGCCTATCTGCACACAGATTATAAACAAGGATACATCTGCAAGCTCCAATGGGTGAACTTTTGCCTGCGCAACAGCAAATGGAGCCTGGACAAATAGCCCTGCTCCAAATCCTAGCATGGCAGTATAGCCGTAAATTGCGGCTGACGCGGTATTGATGATGATGGTATGAAGCAGGGCGCTGCCAATAATAACCAAGATTCCGCCAATCGTAAACCATGGCGAATAAATCCCAATTGGCCCCATTAGACCACCATTTATCAAAATTCCAACGACTAGAACACCGATGAAGGGAAGAATACCGGTACCAAAGTGGCTGCGCTTCCCGCAGCTATCTGGATAAAAAGAATTGACATCTCAAGTGACTTGATGAACTGGAGAGGGAAGAAACGAAATTTGGTGTTGTCAAGAAACAGAGCGACTGCTGTGTCCAAAATAAGATCCAAAGGACTCCAGAACAAACGAAGAGCCCAATGATACTGCCACTGTTCCAAGCGTAGAGAGCTCCTCCAAAGGAAATCGCCATGATGATAGAACATGCGGCACCGATGAACAGAATGCTTCCGAGAAAGTCGATATTGCGGACGCGGGCCATGATGGACGCTGCTGGTTTGGATTTGGAGGAAGGAAGCACAAAGATGTAGGCAGGTGCCGATGCTGCTGCAATGCAAAGATTGATATAAAAACCCCATCGCCAAGTTACTCCATCTGCAAATGCTCCTCCTATAATTGGACCCACCCTGAAATGGTTAGCTACATCTTTGAAGCTGAAAAAGATTTCTTGCACAGTTCCAATACACCAGACAGCGCCAACAAAACTCATGTACAGCGGCCGTTCAGCTGGAGCCAACAGGGATGTGATGATATTGACCGTGCCGACATAAGTTCCCGAACCACCCATACCGAATATCGCCCTTCCAACAATCAAAGTATTCATATTTTGAGCTGAGCCGCATACAACGTTTCCAACTTCGAAGATTACGACAGCGGTGATGAAGAGGTATTTTGAATCAAACTGTCCGTGCAGTTTACCCCTACTTAAGATCAGCGCTTGAAGACTAACTTCGTTGTTGTGATCTTCTCAATACTGACCATATTACATTGACAGAAAGCGCAGCCAGCTCATAGGATACAGAGATCCATGGTAGCTTGTTTGTTTCCCCAAAACCCTTGATGATGATCGGCTGAAAATCTGCTACCATGGTCGTATTTGCGGCAAAGAGAAATGTCGTAGATAAAAGAGCGATCATAGTGATTGGCCAGAGGAAGCCTTTGGGTCGTTGTGACTCGAAAGCTGTCTGCTGGAGAGCTTCATTCTCACCCATTCGATCCGAAGGAGATACTTCAGAAAATGGGTTTGCACGTCGATTTCCCAATTCTACCTGTTGGAGTTCCATGCCCGCTGGTGGTTCTTCGCCCAACGGTGACTTTTCTTTTTCTTGTTGATGAGACATGGCGTCGTAGGTAGGAAAGTGAAGTGTATGTATCTGTCTTGGCAAGTTGTGGTATACTAGTAAGCTTGTACCAGACAGGCAATACGCCTAGCACCAGCCTCTTCTCTCATTTGGATGACTAATCTCGAAATGGCAGCCCCCTCTACCTATCCTACCTTGGGGTTACTACTTCTTTGTAAAAGATTCTGTGATCTTTAAGCTAAACCCAAAAGATTAATCTTAACACCAAGAAAGTCCAAAAGAAATTCAAAAAATTATCATTTTGTGCCAAGCTGTGCCATGCCAAGGAATTAGTGTAAAATATAACGGGAAGAGGCATTGCTAGGTATTTATCCGGTGAAATTCTACCATAGCCTGTCGGTGGCCCTGTTTTTCGGGTACAGGTAGCCCTGAAACACCCTGGTCGAGGCGCCTGTCGTTTGTCAGGGGCTTGACGCAGTCAACGTCAAATGGGAACTATGCAACTATCCCATATACCACACGGTAAATCATGTTTTTATAGCAGACTTACCTGAGGCCGTGCATGACATATTAGAACTATATGCATGTATTAACATCGTACGTTTCTTCAGCCAGTAAGTGCTAGCAACACTTACCCCCATAGCGTAATTATTTCATTGGAGAATAAATCTGTGATTGTGCGGCGTGGATGAGGAGTAAGGCTAGGGAAGTCCAAATGTGGTAGACTGGTACGATGCCTCTGCTCCACCTCTTCTGCGGGGTCTACCAAGCAAGTCTGGCAGTCTTTGATTCGCGGAAGTATGCCTTTTCCCACTATTCTACCGGATAGATCTCTCGTGGTGATGAAAAGATCGAGATCATGGATCGCCTCCCCACACCATGACTTTTGCCGAGTGATATTCAAGCTTGAAGGACTTTTTGGGAATCCGGGGCCCTATTAGATCTCTTGATGGGAGAAGTCTTTTTGATTCTCAAAAAGCTTCGTTATTCAATACTAGCTTTGGTTTCAAACGGAAACGGAACGAACGGCAGTCTAGACTCTGTTACAGGTCCAACTTCCCATCATGGTAACATGACAGATGATGCTTCCATTGGGAGCGCTATCAAGCCTATCGCGGTGGTTGGCTTTTCGATGCGCTTTCCTGAAGACGCAACTGCTTCAGAGAACTTCTGGAAAATGCTCATAGAAAGAAGATGTGTAACGAAAAACTTTCCACCAGATCGGATCAATTCCAATGCATTCCATCATCCTGACACTAACAGATCCGGAGCCTGGCAGCACAGTGGTGGCTTTTTTATGGAAGGCGATCTTGGGGCCTTCGATGCACCATTTTTCTCCATCACGTCTCAAGGAAGCTGCTGCAATGGACCCCCAGCAAAGAGGAATCTTGGAGACAGCATATCGAGCTCTTGAAAATGCCGGAATTCCTATGGAGAAGATTCCCGGTTCCAAAACCACAGTTTAAACAGCCTCTATCTGCGACGACTACAAAACACTTATGATCAAGGATCCAGAAAACGTGCCTAAACATACAGCGCTGGCGTAGCAATTTTCAATACTTGCAGGCATTTCAATCGCGTGCATTAACAGTCCTGGAAATGTAGCCATTTCAGGAGAAGTGGATCAAATCGATGCGCTGAAGAAGGTCCTTGATCTCAAGATTCCATATTTGCTCGAAAAAAATTGCAAGTAGACGTTGCCTACCATTCCAAGCATATGAATATCATAGCCGAGAAGTATGCTCGCTAACTTTAAAGTCTTTCCCCCGGCGATGTTCCGGAATCTGCCACCATGGTGTCTTTGGTCACTGGAAGAACTGTCTCAACGGAGGACTTGTGCAAAAGTGAGTCCTGGGCGCAAAACATGGAATGCCCAGCAAGATTCTCAGAAGCATTAACACAGATTGTCCAGAACAGCGAGCTCGGAAAATCGGAGAGTGATGGAGAAAGCGTGCTCATCGGTGATCTCCTTGAACTCGGACCGCATTCAACACTCCAATGGCCAATTGAAGACACGTTGAAATCAATTATCGACGGCGATAAGGTCTCCTACACCTCAGTCCTGGTTAGGTTCGCTCCAGCACTTCAAAGTACACTTCAAGCACTTAGTCGACTACATTGCCTTGGCTGCAGTGTTCGCATTGCCAACATCAACGAGCATGAGGGGAAGCTTTACAAATCCCTGCATAATCTACCTGAATATCTAGTTGATCTCGTTGTTCAGAAAAGATATTTATGCCTCGAACAAAGATGAGAATAGTACCATTTTTTTCTATTTGAAATGGTTGCCAAGCTTGCACAAGCCGGATGATGCGAAAACTTGGAATTATCGCAAACGAGCACAACCGCACAAGGAAGATATGCTATCGCTATACCAGGATATCACTTTGTGCTTTATGCGTTTCTTCGGGAGGCCATGAAAACAGTGGATGACATTCGGTCGGAAGCAACGCCTCACATTCAGAAGTACTTTGCCTGTATAAAGTGTTAAATCGAAGAGGCTAATAGTGGGCATCTACCACACAGTCGATCAGAATGGAATTCCTGAATCGAGGATAAAGAATACCTCCATGCTGCGTGTGAGCGAATCCAGCCTTCGAAGAGGATAAATTCTATCTGACAATTGGGAACGCCTTACCATAGGCGCCGAGTACTATCGAGGATGGAGCTCATGTTGCTCAAAACAGCAATGGATTACATTACTTGAACAGAATGGCTTTTCTCGAACGAAAATAAAGATCTGAGACACCGGTGGCCTTGGCTGCCAGGTCTTCAGTTGGCTGGTCTCAGCACTAGAAGAAGTTACACCATTACCTTCCGGTATTGACCCAGGGTTTCTCGACTCATTCTATTTCGTCAAGGATGAAAGTGCCAACAAACTACTAGGTCCGATGGAGATTGAGATAAAAGTTATTGCAATTGGCCTCAATCTTCTCGACCTGCTCACGGCTCTAGGACGTGTCGACACTCACAAAACCATGGGATGTGAATGTGCAGGCGTCGTGATTCGAGTAGGCTCAGAGTCTTCCCAGATTTATATATGCACAGAACTTTACTTTTAGTACTGTACTGTGCGCCCCGGCAACATGGACTTCTTCCTGCTCCTCTCATCAGTATGTGGGTTGATTGGCTACGCAAGCCAAGCGAACTACGCAGCAGGCGGTACATACATGGATGTCGACTGGTACCGTACAATATATTCCCTACACAGCTACTCTCTGTCACATACGACCTGGATAGACTGAAGAGAATTGGGCATCCCGTCCGCTCTGCCATACACAAGCTTCAGATCGGTGGATTAGTAGTTGGGTGGGTGACCACCAGCGAATCCCCACTGTTGTATGTTTTTTTGACCTTTTTGCCATTTTGAATCAATGAGGGTATATTGAAAGGCCCGCACGCAAGTCATAGTCCAAAAGCCGTTTCTCTACAAAAAAAAAACGTGCGGGCAGCGGGCCACACGATTCCCATTCCCGTGGCATATTTCTTTGCCATACGGGACAAGTATCTACTGTCATCCAGATCTGGACGTAGGAGGCAATGTGCAAATTGCGTTTGGAATACAGACAGACACCCACGGGACTCAGAGAACAGAATGTCGAGATTCTGCAGTGGATGACGCGGGACAAGTTCAATCATCTTGATCAGTTTATCTCTGGAGATGGCGGATCCGCGGAGACAGGAACCTTGATTGACTATGTTCTAGCACAAATAATAATCGAAGTACAATACTAGTAGCATCCGTATCAACAATGGATAAAAATATTAAAATGGAAAATATAACACTTATCGGAAATATGAGCATTGTGATTGGTCGGATCATTAGACATCATTCTGACTAATCGGTGGCCCTTAACCGAGCTAATCTACGAGAGAACATTCTTGCTCAATCCAACATCAACTCTGTCAACCTCAAAACGCAAGTCGCCGCTAATGAATCAGGAAATCCATGATAAGCCCGTCTCAGAAGATAAGCTTTCTGGGGATCATGGGGCAAGCAGTGACAAGCTTTTCATAGAAAGATTCGCGAGAACGAAATATTCTTGGCTCTCTTGGCAATATATTTCAAAATGAAGGGGCTCGCAACTTCACAATCGTACATTGCTCATTTTGAGTGTATTCATCGACACATTTTATATCCGTTAGTTTGGACTATCGGTACAAACGTCTATTTGAACTGAAAACCTGCCACAGCAATTCAAGGACACCTAGTCCGATATGATATCGAGGTAGGTGTCGTAAGCTTAAGAGGCATCGTTTGAGCGTGGACCTTGACCTTCCTCGTTTGAGCAAGTTCATCATTGCTTGATCAAAACCCTCTTGAAAAGCCCTCCCCGCACCATACCATCGAGTGTGTTTCAATTATCAATCACTCCTTTTTCTCCCAGAAACACAATTATTATTCTGTGTTTTCCATAAAACTTTGTATTACGCACATTGATGTTCACTTGAAATTTCCCAAATTCTCCGGTGCAGACATTGTACCCTTGTGTACTCTCCTATTGTGTTATTGCACAAGTCCAAGAGCAGGACTCGCCCTTATCCTAATTCTTTTCTATAATTTCTACTTGATTCAAAAATCGATTCAGGATGGATATGTCAGATAGTATGACCATGGGTGGTGCACCAACAGATGGCACAGCATTGAATGCTACTGGCTTTGACCTTTTGAATATGACGCAGGCTGCTGACTTTTTGGGAGAGATATTGGATGATTCTGTTTTTCAAATAGATGGAAATGCTGCTGCGAGGCATTTCCGGTATGGAGTCTGTGCAGTAATTGCCACAGCTGCTTTCTTCAACTTCGCCCAGAAAGCCACCATGATTTTCAGGTGAATCTATATCCACATGGGGTTGCTACCGTTCATTAACAATTTATAGATTGAGAGCTGCTGCATCAAACAGATCCCGGCGTCACCATCCAACATTTTCACAACATCCCTAGCTACTGTTACAGCAATTGGTCGTGAAGTATCTTACCCCCAATTTATGTCACAGAATGTAATAGGCGCAAAGTTCTTCAAGTTTCCTCCTTTGGGAACGATTATCCTCTTGGTGGCATATCTAGTGTGGGTAATCATCCTTGAGTTCGCCAACAATAACATTCCCGGAGCACAACATTTCACATCACTGGGTGTTCGTGCATCCTGGTTGGCTGTTGCCCAGCCCCCCCCCCTATTAATACTACTCGCTGGAAAGAATAGTCCAATCGGGCTTGTCAGTGGCGTCTCTTACGAGCGATTGAATGTTATTCATCGATGGAGCTCAAGGGTTCTTCTGTTTCTTGTCACCCTTCATGTGATCTTCCTTCACTTGTCTTGGAACGCATACGACCTAGGACCTTTGGAATATTCTACCGATTCATGTATTCCAACTGGTTGGGGAGCATACGCCGTTCTAATATGGATGAACATCAGTGCTTTTGCGCCGATTAGGAACTTCTCTTATGAGTTCTTTGTGATTCAGCACATCATCACCTTCTTCGGATTTATCATTGCCGTTATGATGCATCTTCCCGACACTGCTCTATACTCTCGAGTATACATCTATATCCCGATTGCGCTGTATTTAATCGATAGAATAATACGTACAGGAAGATATGCTTGGAATAACGTTCGTACTCCCACAGCAACATTGACAGCTTTAGATGGTGGCGTTACTCGGGTTTACATCGAGAGCAAAGCTATCAAAAAGTGGACTCCTGGCTCTCATGTTCTTCTATCAATACCCGAGCTTGGACTTTTACAATCGCATCCTGCAACAATTGCTTCGACGCCCTCATCACATGATGGCAAGCTGATCTTCTTACTTAAAGGCCATCGGGGATTTACAGGTCGTCTGTTGAACGCAGCAGAGACTTCACCAGCAGTGAAATCGCCCTGGAAAGCCCTTATCGATGGACCATATGGCCATACTGCCGACTATGCTGCGTTCGACACCGTTCTTCTTATCTCAGGCTCAACTGGTACAACTTATACCCTTCCAATCCTGTTAGACATTGCATCTCGTGCACAAACCGCCCAACTCCCGGTTCAGCGCATTGTCTTCGTCTGGATCATCAAAAATACCTCCTGGACTTCCTGGATTGCAGAAGAACTTAGCTCGGCGGCCGAAAAGCTCGACGCCGTTGGAATCGAACTTACAATCCGGATCCACGTAACCTGCGATAATAACTTCACAACCGGATACAACAATACCGAAGTCAATTTCTGTGCTTGCGACAGAAGTCTTAGTCCTTGTTGCTGCATAGTTGTTGAATCTGATTCTGATGGCGAGGAGATTGCATCTATTGATGAGAAAGGCACGAAAGTCATCTCAAAGCTAAAAGTCACCAGCGCATCGAGCATTACTTCGGGGACTCGATCATCAATTTTACCCTGTGCAGTGTTCCAAAGCGGAAGACCTGATTTTTATCCTCTTTTAGGCGAGCTCTTGGAGAAAGCCGAGGGAGAAACGGGGAATGCTGTTTGTGGACCGCTTGGGTTGAGTAGTAGTGTGAGGACTACGGTGGCGAGATGTAGTAATGATAGGGCTGTTCATAAGAGGACTGGGGCCCAGGGTATATATTTGCATGCTGAAGCCTTTGGATGGTAGAATTTGGGTTTCATCGGATTGAGTTTGGTGTTTGTTGGGGTTGCTGGAGTTGTTGAGGTCTCGATGTTTGGGGGGATAAATGATATGAATTTTATAATAGAGTAGAATGAACAAGGCGTTATAGAGCCATATTAATAAATTAGATAGTCTTTAAATGGCCACCGAACTTGGGACTTTCGATCTATACTGAATTGTAGAATAATAGAATAATGAAATAGTCTCTATATATTTAAATCAAAAGAAAAGAAGAAAAGAAGAAATAATTGGAAACTGGAACTCTTTATAGATAGATTTTGTTTATTGTATAAAGCTTGATATTTAGTAAACTAATAAAGAATTATTATATATAGTAAAAGATAGTTTACTCTTGTGGCTATTGAAGTCCTAATTGGTGTAGAATGGGTTCGAGTAGTTATGATGAAACTAAGAGCCCTAAAAGCCGAGGATCAGCCGTAATAAACCATGCACCTTTTAAACTCCGATTGTAACTCAAGCCTTTAACCTTTTTTGACTTGGCTTACAAAACTCCACTTCCGCCCATTCAATTCTCGGTCGGATAGCGGCGACGGACAAAAACATCATAATACAGTAAAGCAGCGAGAACACCAACGGTGTTTCCAAACCTGCATGTTCCGTGCTGCTTTTCAAGATGGAGTCAGTTAATTCAGGTCTACACCAGCAGATATCCACTCCCTACAGACAACTACAACCACAAGCTGAACAAGCTCTCCAGCATGGTCAACATCACCTCAGTCACCATACTCTTGCATCTCAGCCTGGTCTCGATCTGTCGGGTTTGGTCCAAGATGATAACAATTCAGTCTACCCAGACTTGAGGAGCTTGCAGGATCCAAACACAGGACATACTGTTGTTCATCAGTATCCTTCTCCAGTTCCCTATGATCGAAATAATGGTCACCAACAGATGCATGTTCAAAATACTGATAGCCCTCATACCCCACAGCAGCAACTACAACAACATCCTGGACCAGGACAATTTGGTATCTTGACTGCAGGTCCCCCTCTCCCTCTCCCTCTTCATCATAATACAATCGGTTGTTTGCAGCAAGGATTGCAGCAAAGTTTGCAGCAAGATGATGATTTATTTGGCACACCTGATGAATCAGACCAAAAGAGCACTGGACATCTTTCTCACAAAATCGTTCCTAATCCTCCTAATCTGGAAGCATGGAGAGAGAAACTGTTTAATGTTGATGAGATGATCACTCTGAGTGAAGAAGAGTATGTTAACAATAACTTTAACATGAAAGTGAAGATTCACTAATTGCTTCATTTTCAGATATAATACTTATTTCCCTCATGTCGACAATGTTTATTCTCATCGATCTACTCAAAAATATAAGCGCAAGCCTTTTGTTTCTCACTATTGGGATTGTCGTCTAAAAGGTCGTCCACCTGGAACTGCCAAATCCGATGACCCAAACAAAAAGAAGCGGAAGCGGACTGCGAGAGAAAGAGATCTTTGCGATGTCAAGATTAAGATTACAGAGTACTTTCCAGGTGCTATGTTGCGAGCAGACTTCCAACCAGATGGAGGACCATCATCAGATCCATCCCAAGCCAACAACTATTTTGCTCAAGCCGGAACGCACCAACAACAATTTGCCATTCCTCTGAACAATATGAATATCCAATCAAATCATCCAGGTGCAACAGGCCAACGTTATTACACAATACAACGCGTCAATGGAAATGGCGGCAACGGAAAGGGTGATGGTGTTGCAGGGCCTCATAAGCATGATTTGCAGAGAAGTGATGAGATCAAGAAGAATAGTATTCTACGATTTCTTCAAAAGCGAGAGAAGGAAGACAAGAAGACTCAGGTGAGGAATATCAATTTTACTAGCAACACTATTCAGCACATACCACATGGGGTAATGCAGCCACAAGAATCTTGGTGACTGTAGATCTTCCTTTCCCACCTCTCCCTAACTACATCATTTCAATCATCGAGTGTTTTTGTATCTCATGAGAGTGAACACTCCGAAGTGTAGCCGTGGAAGGTTTACCTACTCTTATTCCTCCAAAAGCAACCCTATCATTTCTATCCACCAACAAGAGCTAACGCAACTGATCAACAGAAAACTTACCACAAGAGAGCCAGCGGTTTTGCTTTGAACACCGTCAAGAAACATTCTAAAGAGAATGATCTAAAGTTGTTTGCCAGTTGCTTTTGGTAAGTTCCCATCATGTGCAAGCCATGTCACATTAGTGAAACCTAACACTCAGCTAATATCTCGTGTCAGTCCTTTTGTGCAGCGAGTATGGATTGCTTTAGAAGCCAAGGGTATGCAGTATCAATACGTTGAAGTTGATCCATACAAGAAGCCTCAATCTTTGTTAGAGGTCAATCCTAGAGGATTGGTTCCTGCTATTCGTCATGGGGATTGGGGTTGTGGTGAAAGTACCGTGTTGATTGAATACGTGAGCCTTCCTTCTCCTTACTCTTCTATATTGGATTTCCTGAAGTCTTTTGTCTTGAATAATCGCGTAGGAAATTACTAACAATTCATAGCTCGAAGATCTTCAAATTGGTCCACCTCTTCTTCCCCAGGGTGCTCAAGCGAAAGCTCATTGCAGACTTTGGAGCGACCATGTATGCTGCTCCAACCCTTTCTGTATTTAACTTACGCCACTAACAACAGTCTAGATTGATCGTAAAATCGTCCCCGCGTTTTATCAACTCCTCCAATCCCAGGACTTTAATAAGCAAGCTGAGAATACCAGAAAACTTCGCGAGGAGATCTCTCAAATCGTTGATGTTTGCGATCCTCAAGGTCCTTTCTTCCTCGGCCCAACTCTCTCCTACACTGATATTCAATTTGCACCTTGGATGCTTCGCTGCAGTCGAGTTCTTAAACATTATCGAGGTTGGCAGGATCCTCAACCGGGTAGTCGATGGGCAATCTGGTTTGATGCAGTCGAGAATAATGAGTTTGTAAAGGCGACGACGAGTACGGATGATTTGTACATCGATAGTTATGAGAGATATGCGATGAACAGACCGAATACTAGTGAGTTGGCCGACGCGGTTAATGGGGGATTTGGTTTACCTTAGGTGGGAGATAAAGCAGGGTAGGGATGGGATGGATGGATGGATGGATGGATGGATGGATGGAAAGGGGAGTTGGCCATCTACTGCTGTACGGAATTTCCATACTAATACCATCGGTAGGTTAATCTCTCTTGATATTGTGGCGGGTGGAGAGTGGGGAGTCTATTCCTGAGGTGCGGCCTACTGATTTGCGTTCACATTCACCATTTTCTTGAAGTAAGACAAATTCTGGTTCGGGGCAGGGGGAATCACAGCAGATGGTTCTCCGGAGTTTATTGCAAGTCAAATTGATTATTGAGAGTACAATAGTTGGTTGAGGAAATTAATAATGTGTTGTATGAAATTCGAGTGCGTTTGTGGTGTGTTTTCGTGTGATAGATGTTGGGCTGGGTTTGATTGTGGTATGATTGCCGAAGAAATGAGAATCTTGATTGGTGTGCGCATGTACTGTATGATACATTTGATTGAGATACAACTTATGAGTTTACCATGTCCATCTATTCACCCATTCAACCATCCGTTCGTCTATCCGTATCCCCATATCACAATCTCGCAGCTTCAATCCACCCCCTCGCTCCCTTCTCCAAAAGTCCAACAGACCAAAAATTCCCCATTCCCCCATTATCTCTCCCATCCCTATCCTCTCCCCCCTTCCCCCTACCCTCCCCCTCCCAAAACTAAGCTACCATCTCCCCCCCAACCAACGTATCCCAATACCCACTACAAAAGCACCTCCTCTGCTGCATAACCAACCACTGCAACGCGGGTCTCTGACTCAACACATCCTCCATGACCGCCGCACACCTTGCACACCTTCTCCATCGCCTCGCTGCCGCCGTCGAACCCGGTGCTGCGATGCCGTAGGCCGACCCTGTTATTCCTGGACCCGGTCCCGTGGATGTGAGGAGCGAATTGACATTATTATCTTTGTCGCGACCATCGCCGAGTAATTTGTTCGCGGAGGAGGATTGAGAAATTTTGGGCGGATTGTTCAACCATGTTTTTCGGAAACAATCCATGGTTAATCGAGAGTTTCTCCTTTTCGTTATAGATTCCTCGTCCTCGTCGACTTCTAGCATTGTGAAGTCGGCGAACCAGAGGTTTGCGGGGTCGATTTCGAGACGAACGCTGGATAGGTAGCCGATTCCTCCATTTGCGCCAGTTGCTGTGTTATGTCCATTCTTCTCGTTATCTTGCACTCCTGCGAAAAGTTCGATGATGACTGGTTTAAAAGCTGTTGGAATTTCTCCTCCAAAAAGCATTTTAATTTCGAGATTGTTGCGTGATGCTCCCATAGGGTTGTTGCCTGAAAGTGGAGGTTTATGGTTTGCGTATGCGGATTTGATGGAGGAGGTTAGGGATGTCAGGAGATTTTCAAAAGTCCTAATGCGGACTATGCAATTATTTGTCAGGTTGGCAATTTGTAGGTAAGCCGCTCTCAGCGCTGGAGAAACGGATTGTTGTCCTGATCCTCCGGGCTGGATTTGGGCATTGGTACCGGTGTCAATAGCTTTGCGGGCTACGTAGTCGAGATGTAGGAGGCGTCGACAGATGGCGGTGAGGAAGCCGCGAGTGGGGGAGGAGAGGAGAAGGTGAAGAGAGACATTATTGGTGGTGTGGAGGTACGTGAGAAGGTCTGGTAGGGAGAGTTTGGAGGGGTTAGTTACGGATAAATTAAAAGGGAGGGTGCTGGGGAGCTCGAGGAGGGTGTCGGTTATCCAGGCCATGAGATCGAGAACCCAGCGGACGGAACCAGCGAGGGCGCTGATTACCTCTAAAGATGTCGTTAGCTTGATGGAATAATGAGACGGAGATGGTAAAATACCTGGATCATCTAAGGGTGTTGAGGTCTTCTCATGAGTTGGGCCGGGAACTTTCATGTTTGCAGCCATAGTGACAAGTACAACAATGTTCCGCAATTGTAGAACGAGCCATGAGAATTTCCCAGCGAACTTGCGGGGATTAAAATCCCCTCTAAAGCCTAACGAGTTTTGGATGCTAAGGCACAATTGTATTGTGGTATTTCGTATTAACACGTCATAGTGTGCTTCTTCCGAATAATCAACAATGATCTTCAAAATCTTAGCTAGTTCATTGAGCCAGTCATATGCGAGGTCTTAAACAAGTCAGTCAATGAACAAGAGCATCTTAGCTACATCAACGACTTACTATCTCTTGACTTTGCAAGATTATGAGCAGTGGCAACTATATCATCATAGTTGGTAGACATCATTACTGACGTAGAACACGATAGAGATAGAGCAGCAATCATTGCGGTATACCGTGCTATATCACATTAGCATCCCTTCCCTAAGCATATCAAAGCATCAACATACGATCTTCCATATTCGATCCAATATCTCCCAGATGATAGTCTAATTGCTTCCACTTGACCTTTCCATCATTCCTAATCTGGACCAACGAGCAGGTACTTGGTGACCACGCCACTTGTAAACCTAAAAGTTATTAGAAAACAATGGCGTATGGTACAATTGGCACTCACAAGGCTCGTCTTCAGTGTAGGAGAATCCAATTTGGGAGAGATGAGAAACTCGACCCAGATCACCATCATTAAATGTTTCATTCATAGTGATTCGGTCTCGGTACTCGACCGAACTATCGCTGTATGCAAAGCAGACTATCTTTCCAAGATATATTGTTTGCATGGCAACAACGATTTTATTGACTGTGAAGCTTTCAAGCTTTTTGAGCTGAGCTATAACCTAGGAGTTGTGAGCACAGTTTAAAGCAGATGATGCATGCAACATACCACAGGTTTCGGTGGCTGTGAATCATTGGTACTACTCTTACGCGATGACAAATGCTCAAAAGCAGAATGCACAGGTTGTTGATTTCTTTCCCTAAACTCCCATCTATCTATTGTTGAATGGGCCTCTTGATTGTAATGAGACGTCGATCCAGGCAAATAAGGCCGAACGGCCACAAGAATTGGAGGTGTCATGATATTCTTATTATCTCCAGATGGTGATAAGAACTCTAGGTGAGACAGCTGCACCATTGATGATTCCAGATGAGACGAATTTATAGTATCTCCCGGGACATCATGCAACCAACTCGTTACAGTGAGAGGCTTTATTCGAAGCGATGCATTCAAGAGTATGGTCATTGGATTTACTTTTTCTTGCGTTTGAGGAATTCCCCAGTCTACACCAGCTCGAATTATGCGTAACTGCTTGGATCCGGTAGCAAGTGCAATCAAAAGAGATGGAGCTGGCGACGAAATTAGTCAAAATGTGTCGGATTCGGATAGTAGCACTTACTTCTCTCTGCACTAATTGCTGCGTGGGTGATCAAGTCATCGGACGAAACGATGCTTTCAAGTTCTGTAATTGACTCGAACCATTTACCATTATTTTGTGGCCACAACAGTCGCAAGGATCCATTAGTAGTAACGTATAAAAGCGCAGATTTTGAGTGAATAGGATGCGTAGGTCCAAGAATGGGAGTCTGCGAAGAATCGTACCGAATTCCCGATGCTTCTTTGAAAGCTGGACCGTGTTGAATGACCTGCTTGGTAACATTTTAGAATTTTACAAAATCGGTGACTACAGAGTTCTTACCGGACGATTCTGAAAAGGGCCCAGATTCAACCAGAAGCAACCTACAACTGCATGTAGATCATCTGCCGAATCTGGGCTACAAGGACGACACATCATAGGTTTGTTCAAGGAAGAAAATATTTGCAAAATAGTTACACGGCCAGCAGAATCAATGACTGCTAATTCAGAGCCAGTGGGACTCCAGGAAAGGTGTTTTAATGGGCCGCCATCGAGGTTGTTCGTCAATTGAGGTATTATGGTCGGCTCACTTAAACCCCATGTACCATTTTCAGGGTGACACCGTAGATTCCTTAACTCTAGACCAGTTCCACTTGGAGTAATAGAAGCAATGCTTCCCCATTTCGACCAGGCAATACCTCTTCAAGTAGTAAGGTTAGTAGGACCAAATGCTGATGTCACGGGTTTCTTACTGGCAACATCCACTCCCTCTCAGTTCATCAATCCTTTGATGAAGTTCTTTCGATGGTGGTCTAGATGGTAAAGATAGTCCAGTACCATCACCAAAGAGGTCATCCATATCAACATCCATATTGTCGACGTCTTCCATCATGAGTGGCATGACCTTCTAGGAAATGCCCAAGTCGTAGGGTTGTAGTAGTAGATTTCGTAGGCAGGTTTAATTATGAAATCACTGGTAAGATCCAAAAGATGATATTGAATTATTATGAAGTTCCTTTCCTTCCAAATTAAGATTAAGAATATGTGACGATAGTTATGTAGAGAAACTAATAACAAGGCTGAGAAGTGATAGATTGAACAAAAAAATGAGGTTTAAAAGTTAGCCTTGTTCCTGTGAAGCGAACCTTAGCAAGTTGCATGAGCCAGGATGAACTAGTAAGGATTAAGCGGGAAGGACTATACATGATGAAGTGGATAAGAAGTGGATCAATGAAGATGTTGCTGGGTGAATGGAAGAAATGGAATGAAGCGTCATTAATTCAAAAACTTGGGAAAAATCACTATAAACAAACAATACTAATCTATTATTATCTCAATTGTTCTTTATTGATTTTATGATTACCTATAGTTATATATATTCTTTAAGCATTGTATTTTATAATAGATAGAATACTATTATAGAAATATATAAATATATACTAAGAGTATCTAGTAAGTAGTATCGGTAGTACTGAGTACTAAAAATCATGGGGTAGTATATTGTACCCATCCTATCATATATAAAAGCGATTCCATTCACAATAAGACTGGGAATAATGTGAAATTAATTGTCTATTGTCCCCCTTTTCAAATTCTATTAACAAGTTCAAACAATTGTTATGAATATTGTACTCACCCTATCATATATATAAAAGCAATTCAATTTACTATAAGACTATGGAATAATGTGAAAGGAATAGTCTATCCCGCCTCCCTCCCCCCTCTCAAATTCTATTGACAAATTCAATCAATTGTTATGAATTTCAACTATCTAGTAGTCTATTGTACTACAGTACCAGTATATCAATCGGTCCTTGTGAATAAAGACTTTTAGATTAAGCGAGACCACCATCCAGAATAAATACATCAATCACTATTTGTCTATTTGTCTCGAACCACCCACCAAACAACAACATTCAACTCAACATCAACCCCTCAATTGACTAGATTTGATACTCGACAACACTCCCTACATACATCAAGACAAAAAATGATTACTCGGAGTCATTAGAATATCCCCCTTTTTTTTATTTTTCACCTAACTCGTAATCTTCATTTATCCGGCACCATGGACAGCTCATCGCCGCTTTCGTCACCTCTGTCCAGTGTGGGCACCATATCAACACCACCGTCGCCATTCCCAACCGGCGATTATCCTTCTCCGCCATGTAGCAGTGTGCCCGATACTAGAGTACCGTCTGAAGCAGGTGATGCTCCAGATTTCGATGGCCCTCCACCTGCCAAAAGGCGTAAGATAATGCAACCAAAACCCAGAACAACCGAGTATCTCGACCTGCGCAGCTTTGGTGAAGGGTCCGAAGAACAAATATCACAGCAAGATGCACAAATGAAGCGTTTGGTATCGGTTTTGCGAGGCAAGCGGAAGATTGTGGTGGTGGCTGGCGCTGGTATTTCGGTTTCGGCTGGAAGTATGTCAGCTTCACCCTCCAACGCCAATCTTTGCTAACAACATGATAGTCCCTGATTTTCGATCCTCCACTGGATTATTCTCGAGCCTTCGAAATCAACATAAATTAAAATCGTCTGGGAAGGAACTTTTTGATGCGTCGGTGTACAAAGACGATTCTTCAACAACCTCGTTTCATTCCATGGTTCGCGAGCTATCCCACTTGACGAAAAATGCGAAACCTACACCCTTCCACCACATGTTAGCGACGCTCGCAGAGGAAGGCAGATTATTGCGACTTTACAGCCAGAATGTGGATGGAATTGATATCGCACTGGAGCCGCTTGCCACTAAGGTTCCATTGAATAGTAAATCACCATGGCCCAAGACGATTCAGCTTCACGGTGGCCTAGCCAAGATGGTTTGCTCAAAGTGCGGTCACTTGCAGGACTTTGATGGCGCTCTTTTTGAAGGTCCAGAAGCGCCAGATTGCGACAATTGCGTTGAGACCGACTCGGTCAGAATTGCTGCAGGTTCACGAAGGCACGGAATTGGCCGGATGCGACCTCGAATGGTTTTATATAACGAATACAATCCAGACGAAGAAGCAATTGGGGCGGTCAGCGCAGCGGATTTGAAGAAAGTGGCCGATGCAGTTATTGTTGTTGGAACGAGTCTTAAAATACCAGGGATTCGCCGTCTCGTCAAAGAAATGTGCAGTACAACTCGGGATCGTAAAAATGGGTTTACTGCTTGGATAAATCTCGATGGTGAGCCTGGTGGTCCCGAATTCAAGGATTGTTGGGATTTGATCGTCCGAGGAGAGTGCGACGAGGTCGCTCGCCATGTTGGTCTACCCAAATGGGACGATAAAGATTTTGGACAGTACACCGTGGACACAAACGCAGATGCAACTGAGAAGAAGCGTGGAATCGACAAGGTACTTGTGACACCTGCTCGCAGTACTGCAGCCGCGGATGCATTTCCTACACCTGGAGCCAGCCCACGAGTCAAACCCCTGACACCTACAAACGCTTTCTCGAAACTGAAAGCAATCACAGCATCAGATGGATTAGTCAAAAAAGTAGCTCCCATGAAAACGGCAAAGAGGAAGGCGCCTGGCGATGCAAAGGTCAAGAAACCAAGGGCTCCGCCAAAACCAAAACCAAAGGCGAGCTCGAAATTGAAGAAGCAAATTTTACCTGCAGAAAATCTGAAGCTGTCTATGGCCACTACCAAATCTGTGGGTGCTAGGGAAGGCAAGAATGTGAAGAAGGAGAATCCAAGGAAGAAATTACCATCGAAGCCCGAAATAATCGAACCAGCAAATATAGAGAACCCGTTCTCAGGATCAACTACTACCTCCGCTTTATTCCCAAATCTCAAGCCCATGGTACCCGTTGTAGCAATTCCGTTACCTACTATTCGTCCGAAAACTGCCCCTCCTACAAAGGCCTCACCGCTATCTACTCTTCGTCAGGAATCTACTCCAAAGAGATCTGATTCATCACTTCTCTCTGACACTCATACCATTCCCGAAACGCCGAGTCCTTCTGGGAGTCCAAAAAGTAACACCTTTGATCGCAGCGAAACGATTACCCCTCCTTCAAAACCTACTGGCATGAACTTTCTAATCGATTGAAACTACGTTTAGTTCTATTCAAAATCTATTGTTTCCTCGCTTGTATATTACTCATACACTACACAACATACCCATCTTGTATTAGACGGCTTCCAATCTTTCCATCATAAATCCGCATGGTTTGGAGTCTGGCGTTATTCCATACATGATCATACGAATATTATGACATGTTATGGTACCAAATTTCATTATACACGGCGTCTTGGGTCTCATATTCAAATACATGCACGGATGGTTCACGTGCATCGGCATGGCATGGTGTTTGCGCATAAGATACACATAATGCTGTAACCTTAGACTTGATTTTTGGGGGGTCACTCGTACTACTGAATAAATGGCGGCGTTTTACTTTTTGTTTTTGTTTTTGTTTTTGTTTTTTCTTCTCGATACTCTCGAGAGGATGGTGGGGTTGGTTGGTGTTTTGCATTGGTGGGAGTGGCGGGACTGGTGGGAGGAATGCCATGTTTCGTGGATGAGAGGTTTATTTGGGTACGTGCAAAGCACTTGGGAGGAGATGGATGTGAATGTGAATGGTCAGAAAATAAGGGATGAGAGGGAAAAGGGAACGAGAGCAAGGGAAAATACCTGAGGGTAATAAAGTATAAACACAATACAAAGTCTCTAGTTACTTGTACATATGAGTACATCAATATATCTATACTTCAGCGTCTGGAGAATATACAATGATATGATATTATATGAGAGGATGGAAGTGTTTCCTACTGTGTTATTTGTTTGAGTGTACTCGAGTACCTAGGTAGGTAAGATTAAGATGGCAAATCGAATGGAATCGGCGATGATAGTTGTGATAACTGTGATATTAGATAATGAGAATCAAAATATGAGAATATGAGAATATGAGAATATGAGAATATAAGGAGGTTGAGCTCGA